CAACCCTTGTTGCTTTAGAGCAGTGGTTCCCAATTTGGGAGTCAGAACCCCCACTAGGGGTCACCAAAGCTTCATGGGGGGGTCACAAGTTTTTTCTTGATTTTAAGAGGTATAAGAATTATTTTACAATACACACAATAGGACTATATCAGAATTTTGTTCATTTCTGGGGGAAAAAAAAAAGTAAATCAAATAGTTATTTTTAAAGTTTGGATCTAAAACTTTAAGATGTAAAATTTGAAGACATGAACACATGAACTATATTCATGGAGCCTTCTCTCTCTGACTGACATCCGTCCTGCTTAGAGCTAATATAACAATGGCCAAGCATCAGGGAGAAGAAAACACTTAATTTGTCAAAAAGGATGCCCACTAAGTATGTATGATTGTTAAAAATGTTAAAGAAAAATACACAATACAGACAGGTAATAAATGTTCCTAAAATATCTCTAACTCTCTAATCATTATTCACAGAAAATAAAATCTGATTAAAATTCATCCAAATCTCTAAGTTCACTACTTCATGTAGTTTTTGCGTTCGCTATTTGGGTTAATTGTACAGTTTATCAGTTTCTCTATTGTTATTGTTATGCATTGAATTTAAAATGCAATACCCCAGAAATATTGGTCCTTGATTATTGTGTTAAATCTGTTCTGTTTAGAAAAAGGTTTATGAGACTTACACTTGATGTTCAGAGAGATAATCTTCACTTACGATTTTCGTAATGTAAAAAAAAATGCTAACATTAGGCTATAAACAAACTGTAAGGCAATACAAGTAGATATACAGTAAAAAAAAGTGTCTAGGCTAAGATAAGAATATGGCGGTCTACTGCTCCCAGTGTTTTCCAACCACACTGTCTATCGCCAACAAAATCAAGCTGTCCTGTATTGCACATATTGCTTCAAGATTATTGGTCTCCTAACCCCCAATATTTCAGATGTCAATAACAGAGCCATCACTCGCACGGGACCATAGTATATGACTGACCCCTCAAACCATTTTTGAATCTACTCTACAGGACACTTGAAAAATGAATGGTTTAGCCAAGGTTTTGTCCCCTCTGTCATAGTGGTTTAAAATTTCATAGCTTGTACTAATGTACATATGTTATATGCTGTTGTATGTACAGTTATGTAAAAGTTAACATAGACGACGTCTAACTGGTACATCAGTGATCCACCAATCAGACTGTTGAAAGATCCTGAGTTCATCATTAGCAACAACATTTTTGGTGATGTAATAAAAAACGTTGCAGAGAAAGATGAAGCAAAGTATAGACAGACGTCCTGGTTTAATGTGCAACTGCATATTGGACGCAGAGCTAAAAAGGAATCTTGATTGCCTGGTTGTTAAATGCATCTTGATTGGCTGATTGTTAGATGCATCATGATTGCCAATTCCCAACATCTGCTAGCCACCCACTTTACTATCAGCCAAATAGCACTGTGATGGTACCGCTGTGTGCAAAGCTTCTATAATATAGTTTATAGTTTATAACAATTGTTAGTATCAATTCATTGTTGCATATATTGCAAGACTTAGTAACAAATGTTTAAATGTTTCCTGTAGTTTTACAGCCATGGAAACAGCGGCTGGTAGCTCCTTCAAACTTGCTACATTTTTCTTTTAATATATTCTGGGTGTTTCAGCTTTATTGCTGAAAACATCATTGAATGATGTTTGAGTGACCACCCCGCCAGCCCACCACATCGGCCGCTGTCGCCCCAGGAAGAGAGGAAGAGAGCCAGATAGGATTCATATGCTGGTCCAGCTTAGACTTAAGACTGCTCCTGAATAATGTCCGGTCTGGACAAAATGGGACTTGTGCTGGCAAAACAACGTTAAATCAGAGACTGTTGTGCCCACATCTTTACAGAGACCTGCTCCATCAACTTCCCAGATCCTAGACAGGTGGACCATGTTTTGAGCTGTCAGAGTCTGCATCCTCTCATCCTGCGCTCTGTGTTTACATTGATAATGCTTGGTGTTAAAATGTTGTCAAAGTGGATGGACACTGTTTCAAGATTAAATTATATTATCACTATCTTTTTAGGGCGGCTGTGGCTCAGAGGCAGAACCGGTTTTCCACTAATTGGAAGGTTGTTTGTTTGTTCCCTGGCTCCTCCTACATGTCGAAGTATCCTTGAGCAAGATACTGTACCCCAAATTGCTCCTGATGCTGTGCATCACTGAGTAAATTGTGTGTGAAAGGGCAAATGTGGCATGTAGTGTAAAAGCGCTTTGATATATTTGTTTATTTTATTTATTCCATATGTTATTCTATGAATTTAATTATCATGGGGTGGGCAAAGAGCCTTTACATTACATTACATTACATTATTGTGGCACATTGAAAAGCATTTTATAGAAATAGCAAGTGGCATTAGAAATCAATATTATTTAATTTCAGACATTATTCCAAATACATAGATACTACTAAAATGTGGCTATAACAACTCATTAAAATAATTTCAGCTTTTAAACAAGTCATTTTTAAATTCAATCTAATCTAATTTGACACCGAACTTTGGGTGGCCAGGCATATTTTAGGGGTGGCCGCTGCCACAGGCACAAGCTAACCACATAATGTGCATCAAATGAAAGCAAATTGATATTATTTAAGTTGTAATTATTTTGTAATAAATACCAGATTGGTCATAGGTTATCGTCTTTGCTACATGTGGCATTGTCCTCATATACAGGAGTTCTGGGCTCCATTTTTATGCTAAGAAACAATTTTTAAATGATCTCTAAGAAATGTGAGTGAGATACCATAACATTTTTGAAGGATTTTTGAGATATTTCCTGCATATTCTCGCTCATTCCACCCAAAAATGCATATTGAGTCTCAAGATAAGTACCTGTACAGTACAGGTATTGCTTTCTTATTTAATTCTTATTTTTAAAACTCCACTTACACTACATTATTATATATATTTTTTAGGCATATCATCCTGATGTTGACAGATCCCCTCCATACATATTTTAAGACATATACAAATTCTTTATCATTTGTGCCTGATATGGTTTTTCCACAAAACATTTAATCAACTACAATCTACTCTTTCTCCTTCACGTAAAAAGTAATGTTCATTTGAAAAGTTTAAAGATCCCCTCCAGGCATGTAAGACATAATACAAATAGTTTACTTAATATTTTGTTTCTGATATGTATATATAGGCTTTGGCTCCGAGGTAGAGCGGGTCGTCCACGAATCGGAAGGTTGGCGGTTTCCCCGGCTCCTCTCGCTGCATGTCAAAGTGTCCTTGAGCAAGATACTGAACCCCAAATTGCTCCCGGTGCTGTGTATGACTGTGTGTGAATGCTTAGTTTCTGTTCTGGCACCTTGCAGCCACTGCCATTAGTGTATGAATGTGCGCGAATGGGGTGAGTGTGGCATGTAGTGTATAGCACATTGAGTGGTCAATAGAAAGGCGCTTTATAAGTACAGTCCATTTACCATGAGTTTTCTCAACACAAAATTATATTTTTCACATTAAAATCCTTAAAAAGTAATCTACTCTTCTACCTTAATAACAATTCCACAAGATGTCTCCTACTTCACTGTGAAGTCCATTCTCAGTGGATGTGCATACTGGACCAGGCTTGACTTCAGAACTATAGTATAGGACATTACAAGCAAATGAGATAAATTCAACTTAACCTTTAGGATTTATCAAACAAAGGGAACCAGAAATAACAGCATTTATTAAGACATTGTGATGGGGATTTGTCATTTAAAAAATATGAAATGTACTTGTGTACTATGTATGTTTTGTTATCTTGGATTCACAAAATTTTAACTTTCAGTGACTTCAGTTGGTTAAATTATATTAACAACATTGAGATAAGTACCTTAAATCGGCTTTAGGATACATTTTTAAAGGGGTTTAATTGTTTGAATAAAATACTTCTAAGGTGGTTCATCAGCTATACAGTTGTGTGCACACAATACAGTTTTTCCACTGCAGTATGAAAGTCAACTTACAAAGGTTTCGAAATGTCCTTGAGTTACAGCAGGTAATCCTTCACTGTGAGCATTATATCTGATTTTACCGATCTCATCGCCGTGCAATTGTAAAATTGGAGTTGATTGCAGTTGAGCTAAAACTTTCCTGATGTGTGACTGAGTTGTTTGGTTGTTTGATGAAGGCTGACTGATACATCAGTTGGCCAATTGTTTTTTCCAATACATAATTACGGTGGCCGACAAGGACAAACGCGGCGCAAATGGCAAAACCATGGTACCATGGTAATAATTCTTGCTCTTATTCAGTCTGCAGATGTCACTGTTTCACAGAAACTAATGGAGCAACAATTATGTGCCAGTCCTGGCTGCATCTTCAATCAATAGAGCCATTTATTAAAGGAACCTCTTGTTCCTCATTTTGTTCTATTTTGGCAGTGTGGTGAAAGCTTGACAAATCACGCCTGGCTCAGAGGCTGTATTTCTGACATCTGCACCTTCTTGCTGTCCTGCAGCCATGTAACCTTCTATCTATGTGCTTTTGCTGCAGATGGCAGAGGTCCGGCCTGCTAGCTTTATGAGCTGTTAGAAACCCAAAAGCCATCTTGTAAATGACCAATAAAATGAAAAGAGATCGCCAGGGATTGCATACCTGCCCAGAAGGAACCATAAAATCTAATAAGAAGGGGGAAAAATTGGAATGTGCAGGAGGCTCTGCTGAGGATAATTGCAGCTGGGGAATTCCCCCCTGCCATCCTTGCTGAGGGCTGCTTCCAACTATTAAGCTGGCACTGTGGAGCAGGAGAGGGAAAAAACAATTTCCCACATTTTCATTCATCAGGTGATAAACTGAATGTGGGCCTCACTGATCCAGACACAAGCTGGATGTTTTCAGCCTGAGAAATATCTCTCTCCTTTGATGTGAGGAATGGGGTCATTAGCAGCAAGTGTGAAGAGATTATTATATTCTGCATACATGTCCAACCAAGTGCCATTATTGACAATAAATCAGACAACAGCAAACAGAAGCAGATTTTACTTTGCCTTATATCTGCAACACAGGCACGGCAATATTGTTTAATTTGGTGGACACAGCCAGTGATTGTTCTGTCAGGCTGCTCATATTGCTTGGTATACATTTAGAACACACAGTGTCACACATGGCATACAGAACAGACAGCACAGACAGAAAGAAACCCAGAGTATAACTGTTGTTTCAAACATGGAGGGGTCGCCTCTTCACATCTGTACATGGTGTAAAGGGAGGGGGGTAGGACAAGGAAGGAGGGGTCCATGAGACTGATTTATTTTCTATTCCCTCCATGACACATAGCCAGCTAACTAACTGGAGCCAATACTGCATCAACAGGGTGAGGGAACACAAAGAGAAAGCCTCCTTCATTAAGGATAATTCATTTTTCTTTAACTTGGGTCTTATTTTCATAGTTTTGGCCATCCTTCTTATCAGTAATAATAAAATCATAAAACCATAAAACAGTAGTAGTCCTCAGTAGTCAGAAGATAAAATAGGTTTGTTAACCAAATTGGTAACACCTTACTTTAAGACCCCCTATTTAGCATTCATAAGCATATAAAAAGATTTCATAAATGGTTTATAACACACTATAATGTGGTTGTATGCAGATATAAGAGCATTTTAACATGTACATACATAAAATGGCCCTGGGAATGAGAATAACAACTATTTGGCTTGGCTCTGATTGGTTGTTTTTGTTCAGGCCCGGTGGATTCTTGCAATTACCATTAGGAGCACTAGGAGGAGCCAGAGGAACCAGATTTTTTCACAGATTATCTGTTTCATGTACTACTGTCATGTGTGTTTCAGAAATTGAGTTAGTTTAATAAAAGTTACTTACTGCAGCTTGAAATGTTTATATACTGCTTATAAGGTGTGTGAAGGTTACTGGGGTATGTGCCGTTATGCGCCTGTATAACTGTTGGGAAGGACCCTTAGTGAAAACGGTGCAGAAGAAAATGAAGGCAAACTGTATTATTATTATTACTTAAACTTTCCATGACAAACATGCATCACAGTTCAGAGACAGACAGTTGTAGTTATGTCATCGTGTTCCCAGATCTTGGCAAAGAACTTGGTGAAAACACTGTTATTGTGTAGAAATAATGGCCAACCCTAAGAAAATAAGACCCAAGTAATAATAAACAAGAATTACCTTTCAACTATCATTACTTCTTATACACATAACAATGACATTACTCTGCATAAGTATTACGATGTAACATACTGTACATCACTGTCATGCATTGCATTTAGAGTATGGGACCTCCTCAGCTGAGGAAAAAGACCCATTTTTATATACTAGTTGCATTTGTCAAGAGCTGTCAGCACCTTATGGGCTCAGGGGTCCTGGTAGTTTGGTTCAAAATTGATTGCACAGTGAAAACAAATCTCTGCATTCCCGCACCATTCTATCTCTTCTTCTCTAGCTTGTGCACACTGTGACCTGGAAACAGGCAAACCCATTTTGGCATTGAGATGCAAGTTGATTTCTTGCATTGCTGCAAACCAAACTGCAGAAGTAAACAGTCTGTCAAATAGCTTCGCTCAACTGTGACAGTGTAGGGTCTGTATATTGTTCCTCTCCTTCAATTATAGAAAACATCTGCCAAATCCAGCCAAGCAAATAACCTCTGTGTATCAATATTCCACTTAAGATTGAGAACAAGTTTTGGAAGATTCCTGTGAGAAATACTGCATTCCAAATGATCCAGGACTCAGTTCCTCTCTGCACAGTATTTAAAACCAAAACTATCGTGCAGTGTTAGAATCCAGGCAAAAATATCATTACTCCTTGGTTGTCAGGGTGTTTGTATCCTAAAGTACCCTCAGGACTGTGAAGGACAGCCAATCACTGGAAAGGCCCAGAGCCAAAACTCTTATCCCACTGAGAACACTGCTGCTCTAACTGGTCCAGCAGTTTGTCCACTGAGTCCTCTTTGTTCTCTAGTTTCAGGTATCGTCTCCCGCTGCCCAAGTCTAGGCGAGGCCAGCTTCGGTGTGTTTGCTCCTCTGCAGCATCCACAACCTGCCCGGGGATGTTCACGCAAACCTGTGAACCAGCATCTCTCCTCATCACTACCAGCTGCTTTATTTGACCCTCCTCTCCAGCTGTGTGGAATCTTTCCTCAAGATGCACACCAGTTCGTATGTATGGGTTAGTCCTGTAGCTCATACTGTGGCAGCGTCTTGGCTGGTCAGCTGGGATATCCACCTCGTCCACCCCCAATGTGGACATTGAGCTGGCAGACATCAGACAGTTGTTGAGCTTGACGACTGGGGTGAACTGCAGATTTAAGCTGGTGCTGGCCATGTGGGCTGCAGACTGTGCACAACATTCTGTCGGACTGGAATTACATGAGTTGGAGTCGGAGCAGTCGAGGGAAGGTGGAGGCTCTGACTCCTGGTGGTGGAGGGCTTCTGTCTGGAGAACAGCTTGCTGGTAGATGCCCTCCACACTGTCCTCCTGGTCTCTGGGATGTCTGGTCTGAAGCAAGGGCTCAGAGCTGGTCATCTGCTGCAGACAGAGGATGTTGAGATGGGCAGCTGGTAAACTGCTTACCCACTGGTAGTGTTTGGCCATCGAGTTGGCTGCTGCTATTTCTTTAAGGTCCGCTGAGGGCACAGCCGCAGAGACCGAGCAGATCACACTGCGCATCTGAGCCAGCAGCATCTGAGTCTCTCTGTCCCTGTTCTCGTACAGGACTGTGTTGGCACATATGAGAATGAAGAGTCCCACCCCCATGATGACAGGTCCCAGCAGTTTCATCCGCTCACTGTGGATAAAGCTGGCTGCGGATAGGAGGCCCTGAGCTCCCAGACTCCAGCCAGAAGTCTGCGACTCTGAGATACTTTCCCCCTCTGCAGCTCCCAGGATGGATGATCTCGATATCCGGTATGGCCAGTATCCCGCCACAGCCAGAGCAGTGCCAACAACCACCACGATGACCCCCAGGACCAGGAAGGCTCCAGGCATGGAGCGGATGCGAAGCTTGCCTTGGATAACACTGTCCTTCTTCTTTCTGCCTCGTAAGCTGAAGCGAGACTTCCCTCGGCAGGAAGGTGAAGTTGTTGTAACAACTCTGGCCTTCTGGGTCTTCATGGCACAGGTCAATGCAGAGCTTCTACTGCTGGTACACCCTGTCAGAGAACTTTGACAAGTGAGGAAATTGAAAAAATGTATTAAGTTAGAACGGTGTGTCTACTGTATATGTTGCAACCATTAATTGAAATATAAATGTATGAGTCTGTATCTAGGGGTGCACAATTTTTTAATTTAATGAATATGCTAAGAGTATAACAGGCTGCTTGGTAGCACGAGCATCAACTTTACTGATGAGTGGTGGAAAGGGGCTATTTGATAGGACCCATACAAGGTCTTCTTGTGCCCAACTTGGAATCATACAGTCCCACATAATGTTGCTTAATGTTAGATAATTTTTGGTAATGACTGTTTTGAGATCAGGTCCAAAATAGTTATATATAGATAATGTTACAGTATCATTTCAGAGTTTCCGGATGGAAAGAAGTAGCGAACCAGCTAACCTAACTGACTCAGCCGGGATGCCAGGAGCCAAACCCAGCAAGAAAACTACCTCAGTACTGTATACTAGTGATGGGCAAATGAAGCTTTTGTGAAGCACTGAACTACTTGAGCCTATTGTTTCGAAAATTGGTTCATTACTCAAAGCTTCAGTTACAGTGACCTCTCCTGGCAAAGTGCAAGGCTGCAGTCAAATTAGGCAGGCTGGTTAGTGGACAGGAGGCTTTAATTACATACAGGCATTCATGCGCGCACACACACACTCTCTCACACTCTCTCACACTCTCTCTCACTCTCTCTCACTCTCTCTCTCACACACACACACACACACACACACACACACACACACACACACACACAAAATCGAGACGAGCCAGTGAATCGCCTGATTGGACGGTGAACCAGTCAGGTGATTCACTCAGGCAATGAAGCAGTTGCTGCTTTGGACGGCCTATGTCACATGATTTTTTTCGCACCAAAGCAAACAAGCTTTGAAGCAGTGGTTCTATGGAATTGTAGTTCAGGGTTTGAAGTACGTATCGAAGCTTCAGTGTTGCACTGCCATCACTACTGTATACCCTGTCAAACTGCCATCATCTTGGAAATTGTGTTCAGTCCCAGTCCGCCCAGCCATGTTCACTGCCTGGAAAGTAGACACTGACACTAGCCCATAGTGCCATAACATTATGACCACTAACTGGTGAAGTGAATAAAACTGATTATCTGTATCTGACAGAGATGGGGACTCGAGTTTGCAACTCGAGTCGCACTTAAGTCACACACAGAGACTTCAGACATGACTTTGAATCGTGCTCAAAAGACTTCAAACTCAACTCGGACTCGTGTTTTGGGACTCATGAACAATCATTATGTTTTCTTTTTTGGCGTATTAATATTGAGGAAACTCTGAAACGTCTGACGAGCTTAATGTGACTCCTTCCTTTTTTTCATGGTAACCATGGTAACCATATTACACATTGGGTGCGCGCCTCGCAGCCTCACACACTAGTACCTCGGATGACAACTATGGCGACCGGCAGCACACCTGCAGCTGCTGCTGTACCATTTGTGATTACATTTGGTTATAAAAACTTCAAACAGGACGGCATCAACAAAAGGAGTGCTGACTGCAAAGTGCAGTACCCGAATCAAGGATGCTGAATCCACCACATCAAATTTTATCAGGCACCTGAAAACTCACCCGGATAGGTCAGTCACATTAGCGCATATGGACGGTTAGTTCAGCATCGGCTATGTAACGTTCACTTAGCTTGCTACTAGCTTTGTAACTGAATATTTGAATAGATGAGTGAATGCTAGTTTGCATGTCGCACTTGTTTGCATTGAGTGGCGTTGACATGACGTAAAAAAAAAAAAAAAAAAAAAAGGTCGGGTAACGTTAATCATCTATGTTGCCACCATCTACTGGCTAACGTTAACCGTAGAAAAAAAACAGTTATACTGTCGGCTTACAGGCAGGCTACAGGTTAATTGTTGACCACGTAACGTTAATGTTACAGGTTTACCAGGTTACCATTACACTGAGTTTGAGTGAGAGGATAGAGGAATGTGTCATTAGGGACTAGGGATGCACCGATCCACATTTTTTCATTTCCGATCCGATCCAGATACCTGAATTTGATGATGTTAATTACAATGTCTTTGACTGGGTGAGGTGTAACATTTTCTATATTTGTTCTTATTATGGTCCCACTGAGCCTGCACAATAGGGGGCAAGATAAACTGTAACTATATGTTCATGTTGGAAGAATACAGTTTCCTTTAAATGAAAGCATTCATTGTGTGTTTTCTTCATATTGCATTGCAAAAGCCTGTTTAAAGTGATCATATAACAAACAACTAATCAGTACTGATACTGTATGCTGATAAATAAAGGAGTGATAATAATACAGTAAATGCTTTGAATTTCTTAGATATAGCTGTGCAGTATTCTTAGTAGACCGGATAGCTGCAGATGACAGAAGGTTCATTACAACCAGAAGAGACATATACCAAAGACTTGAGACTTGACCAAGTCTCACCCCACAAAGACTTGAGACTTGACTTGGACTCGTGACCAAAGACTTCAGACTTGACTTGGACTTGCAAAAAAAGACTTGTGAACATCTCTGGTATCTGATTATCTTTCAGAAAAGTGTCTATCAAAAGTATGTAAGTATTGTTAAAACACAGATGTACAGTTCTGTCAGTGCTTCCAATGTGGAAACTGTTTTATAGTTCAGTTTATAGAATTTAATCAACTGATTGCCATAACACAAAATGCCTTTTATCTGTCATCCTGTCTGAGACATTATACATCATACATGGATGCCTGGAATCCAGGCATATTTAGCCCCACCTTTGTCACCCATTAGTCAGCGGTTGTTTACCACGTACGGTCCTTTTTCAATGTTAATCACCACTGAAAATAGTTAGAGTGAAACTCCTCAAACTGTTCCAAACCTCCCATGTCTGTGGGGAGCTTGTAAATTCAACGAGGTACAACAAACGTAGTGAAACACTCACATATGCGCTGGTTTTCTTGAGTTCCCACATGGTCATAAACAAAGTGGAGTGAAATGGAAAAACTGCTTTAAACACCGAGTGCAATTACTGTAAGGTCCTGAGCATGTTACAATGAATGTAGAATGTTCTCACTGTGCTGTCAGACACCTCACTAAGCTAAGTAATTTCTTAAATATGTACAGATGGAGCTGGGCCTCCTCACACTTCATCAAAGCTCTTCAAACATGCTTTTGGTTCTTCTGGGTTAGATCTGTGGTTTTCAAACATTTTATGACTAAGAAATTATTGCCCTCCACCCGACCTAAGACTGAAGTTTTATCAATAATTCACAATATTGGGAAAGCTTCCTTTTAAAAGTTGAATTTTATTTAGAGTGGACCTATTATGGTCATTTCCAGCTCTATATTCTTAGTCCACTTGATGGCTTGTGTAATTTAGCTTGGACAATAGCAAGGGGCAGTGAATTTAATTAATTTACAATTCATCAAACAAATGAGAGAAGAATTAGGTTGGGAAATTGATGGACTCAACCAATAATATCATGATATCCAACAGTAATGACACAGAGCTAGACGCTAAATGCAGCCCCATGGGGTCCAGTTTTAGGACCACTGGGTTGGATGAAGAAGAACTCTCCAGTTTACAAGGTTCAAAACAGATCTCTGACATGTTTTTTGTTCATTAAAGCATCATCAACTGAAAGAAAAACATCTACTTTGTACATGTTTCAACCTTTTTTAATCTATTAACAGAATATGCCAAAATTCTGCCCATGGTATTCTGCTACACTCACAAATATCTACTGCCAGTGTTGGGTTTGTTCATTTTGGGCCACTGTAGAAACACGATGGTTCAACATGGCAACCTCCATAGAAGGGGACCCACTACCTCTGTAGATAAAAATAGCTCATTCTAAGGTAACAAAAAAACAACAATTCTTATTTTCAGGTGATTATACATTAATGTAAACATACCTATGAATATTATATTCCATTTATGACAATAGATACTCCTAAATGTTACACACTGGACCTTTAATTTATTAGGCCACAAAGTCATTGGTTGCAACATTTCATTAGTGAACAACTGGCTTCTATCTATGTCTCCTCTGATACAATTAATATCTTCTTTTTTTTTAGCGTTGGGTGGACTCTCCAACCCCAAATATGTAGGGCTGGGATGATGAACATTTTTTAATGATTAAAGCTCCAGTAGGTAACTTTTATAAAAATAACTTTTTGTTATATTTAATATAAACTTTCACTATGTTCTGGCAGTAGTATAGGAGACAGATAATCTGTGGGGGCAAAAAAGCGTGTTCCTCTGGCTCCTCCTAGTGCTCCTAATGGTATTACCAAGAATCCACCTGTTCTGAACAAAACAACCAATCAGAGCCAAGAGAGATGGAAAGACACTTTTTAAGATAGTTGATTGTTGAGTCTCAGTTGATTGTTGAGTCTCATTTTCAGCATCAATATTTGATGACCTGGGAATGAATCTCAACAATCAACTATCTTTCCCCGCTCTGATTGGTTGTTTTCGTTCAGGCCCAGTGGATTCTTGCAAATGTCAATAGGAGCACTAGGAGGAGCCAGAGGAACCTGATTTTATCACAGATTATCTGTCTCATGTACTACTATCAGGGTATAAATTTCAGAAAATGACGTTATAAACGTTACCTACTGCAGCTTTAATCAAAAATTAAAATAATCTTACATTGCAGCCCTAAATGTTAGACTGTTATTTAGGCAAAGGTCTTGTACAGATGTTTGTGCTGACACATTAAACAATGATCCATTTCAGATGTTTGGCTCATTTTGTTATATTTGATGTTGTTTTTTTTAAAGTGAAATCTGAGTTTAAACTCCATAACCATATTACTGTATGTCACACAACAGCCACAGTGCAGAAAATGTTAGGAAACTTATTTTTACAATAGCATGCCATTTACATGCCTTACCCCTTTTGGATTATGACTGCAGCAACACAAACATGTCCACTGGCAGGACAAATGAAAAGAGTAGCTGATTCACAGTGGACTGCATTCAGCTGCTCTGACAAGTTTTTGCCTGTAGAGCAGCAAGGCTGTACTTGTACACACATCAGATCCAGAAGCTGCTCAGACCTCCAAATTGATGTGATCTTATTTAATTTTACAGGAATAATTGATGGCAGTGTGTGCTGGAGAGCCAGAATATGAGTATAAACTCTGAGGTCCTGCCTGACACAGGAAGCACACATTCAGCGTGTCATCGTCATACTGGTCATCTTCTGTTTTCCAACCAGCAGAGGAAGCTGAACTGGAGCCAAATCACTCCTGGGAAGCCACAAGTTGTGTTTCATGATGGGATTAAACAAAGTGTATGGTGATACCGCCGTATGATAACCGTACAGAACGGAAGGGTGGAACCAAAAGATCACATTTTCGGTGATGCAAATGCACACAAGCAACCCGCTCAGCAAAGGCAGATTGAACCCGCTGAAACATTTTCATTCAAGGATCCAGCTATGAAATATCAGCTTCTTCAATCGACAGAAATAAAAGCGTTTTATCATTACCTTAACGTTGGACTGCCTTGCTGTTCCGTGCTCCCCTAAAATTATGTGTGCTCTGTAGAACTACAGACAGACAGGAATGTGTCTGACTGACCGTGCTGCTGCATTCCTCCACGACAGCACACACACACACACACACACACACACACACACACACACACACACACACACACACACACACACACACACAGAGAGAGAGAGAGAGAGAGAGAGAGAGAGAGAGAGAGAGAGAGAGAAAGTCACCGCGATCACTGAATTCAGCTGGTCTGACTGCAGCATTCACCCTTCAGGCTACTTACTGATCACAGTCTCTCTTTTACACAACCCTATCATCTCAGTTCTCTGTGTTTCAGACAATAAAGCCGTTGGTGACTTTCAAAACTTGCCTGTATTTCTCGGATCCTGTTGCAACTTGTTCATAGTTTGAGGACACAGAACATTCTGATCATCTGGGATGAATAGTCTCCAGGATGTACACAATCCAACTGTTACTCTTGTCCAACATGTTGACACCAGGCAGTAGACTGAAAAAGCCCACACCTCTGTCTTCAACAACTCCTCTGACAGAACACCTCATGAGGGCAATTAAAATCCTTCGGCCCTGCCGCTCTGAACCGCTCTGCGGCCTCTTCTACTGGACCACCCGTCAAGTGAGCAGCAACTAGTACGTCCGCTTTCACAGACCACCATCGGTTTTTCAAAATAAAAGTACTCCAGGAGCCCCAACAACATGACATACTTGCGATGACGTTTTTGGGGGTGGAGCCTTTCTGCCCTGGTAGCAGAAGAGAGAGCTGCAGTTGCTAGCTGATGAAATGAAAATGCATTATTAACCCTGCATCATGTTCCAACCCTATTTAACAATGTATGCTAAAAAAAATTTATTTTTATATCAAAATAATAATATAACAATAATTTCCCCCGTAAAACCAAATGTGACACATGTTTACATAAGCGGGAACCAACCAATTTCAATCAATAATATCATGACATCCAACAATAATCGTCAATTTTTAGTGGCACAGAGCTAAAATTCATCAGTTAGAGAACTTAATCAGTGATTTTGGTAAAACTTGATCATATTTAATGGGGGAAGTATATCTGTGTGGCACACTGGAACAGTGATTTCATATTTGTTAATTTTGGAATATCAATGTCTAGTCAAAGTAACTTGCTTTATATGTGTTACGGTTAATTTATATGATTATTATTTCAAGGTTAAAATATTACTTACCTGAATGCCTGCCTATTGGAAGATTGGAAATGTTTGTTCTTACCCTTTAGAAAACGGATACTGTCTCTTTAAGGGGACGGGTGAAGTGCGTTGTGTGTATACAGGCTGAAACAAAATGTGTGCTTGTGTTGAACCATGGACGATTTTCTTTTTATAAAGAAAATTGCTAAAACAAAGATGGAAATGGGCCCTCAGTAAATTATGGAATCATTTAAAAAAAAATAATTAAAATAGGCCTATTTGTGGAAAAAATATGTAATATTTGAGTTACATAAAAGCTTTTTATTTGTTTTCTTCCTAATTGTCCTTGAAATAGTTGTCAAGAACCCCCCCACCCCCAACACAAAAATGGTTTGGCCACTGATCAAAGTTTGATGTTGTCATTTGATTTGAAGTTCAGTATGCTCAAAATGTCCAGTCACTGTAGTAATAATAATAGTAATAATAATAATAAGAATAATATCAGTGATATTAACAGTTCAGTGAGGACCACTTTTGTCAAAATAACTTCTATTCCAAAGCAGAATATTACATTTGGCGGTATGGCTCTGTTCTGGGACCTCCTTGCCCTTCCACATGCATATGTAGTGAACCACAGTGAGGTGTTATGAATGCAACCCCGGTAGTCCAGCAAAACTCCTCCCATAGCTCGTCCCCCTGCCCAGGTGCAGTATAAAACGCCTCAGCTGGCTCAGTTTTGCCTCTAACTTTAAATCAGTGGGTTGGGAGCTGGGCTTGGAAAGGGGAGGTAATGTAGAGCACACAAGATGGCTACCTATGCCCTATTGGGTGATGCCTGAATTGAACATTGAGCTTTCTTTTCTTCAGGAAAAAGATAAGAGGAAAGACATGAAGAAGAAGAAGAAGAAGAAGAAGAAGAAGAAGAAGAAGAAGAAGAAGAAGAAGAAAGTTGGCTAAGTTTTGGAGAGTAAAAAGGTACGTTTTCCTTTATGTCTTTTTTAAACACTTGGCCGTAAATTATTATATTATATTATATAAGGCGCCATGAATGATAAGAGAGGAGCTCAGTGCATCACGGGAAATCCCCCGATAGTCTAGGCCTATAGCAGCATAACTAAGGGATGGTTCAGGACTCACCTGATCCAGCCCTAACTATAAGCTTTATCAAAGAGGAACGTCTTAAGCCTACTCTTAAATGTGGAGAGGGTATCTGCCTCCCGAACCAAAACTGGAAGCTGATCCCACAGGAGAGGAGCTTGGTAACTGAAGGCTCCGGCTCCTGTTCTACTTTTAGAGACTATAGGAACCACAAGTAGCCCAGCATTCAGAGAACGTAGTGTTCTAGTGGGGTAATAGGGTACTATGAGCTATTTAAGATATGAAGGGGCCTGACCATGAAGAGCTTTGTATGTGAGGAGGAGGATTTTAAATTGTATTCTAAATTTTACAGGGAGCCAGTGCAGAGACGCTAATACAGGAAAGATATGATCTCTTTTCCTAGTTCCTTTCAGAACTCGTGCTGCAGCGTTCTGAATTAACTGAATTAACTTAATGGACTTATTGGTGCAGCCTGATAATAAAGAGTTGCAGTAATCCAGCCTAGAAGTAACAAATGCATGGATAGTTTTTCTGCATCTGTCTGTGACAGGATGTGTCTAATTTTTGTAATATTGCGTAAATGAAAGAAGGCAGTCCTAGAGGTCTGCTTTATGTGGGAATTAAATGACAAATCCTGATCAAAGATAACTCCAAGATTCCTGACAGTGGTGCTAGAGGCCAAGGTAATACCATCTAGAGTAACTATATCTTTAGACAGTGAGTCTCTGAGGTGTTTGGGGCCAAGTACAGAGCGTCTGTGGTGCAGAGGCAGAGCGGGTCATCCCCTAATCGGAAGGTTGTTGGTTTGGTCCCCGGCTCCTCCTGCCACATGTCGAAGTATCCTTGAGCAAGTGTATGAATGTGTTAGTTTCTGTTCGATGGGCTTTGCCATCGCTGTGTGAATGTGTGTAAAAGGGTAAATGTGGCATGTAATGTAAAAGCACTTTGAGTGGTCGGAAGACTAGAAAGGCGCTATACAACTACAGGTCCATTTACCATTGACCATTACCAAGTGCAAGAATTCTTTTTTTTTTAACACTAATAAAAATGACTGATGATTATGATGATGAAAATGAAGAAGATGATGACGACGATGAAAACAACGATGGGGGACAATGAACCAGTGATTATAGTAATAATAGTATCTGTTCTACTTTTGGAGACTATAGAAACCACAAGTAGCCCTGCATTCAGAGAGCAGTGTTCAAGTGGGGTCATAATACTACGGTGGCAGACAAGGGCAAACACGTCGCAAACAACACATTTGTGCAAACAGAGGAATGATGCAAAACCAAAAACACACAAACACATAAAACAAATGCAACAGAAACGAAGCAGAAGCAAAAACTTACAAAACACCAAAACAAGAGAAATGCTGTAAATTCACTCCACAAAATGGAAGTGCGCCACTAGGGGGACCTGACCTGAGGGATGGACCAGTCCTGTGGGACCAGACCCGAAAGACATGAAGAAGAAGAAGAAGAAGAAGAAGAAGAAAGTTGGCTAAGTTTTGGAGAGTAAAAAGGTACGTTTTCCTTTATGTCTTTTTTAAACACTTGGCCGTAAATTATTATATTATATTATATATATAATATTAAATAATATTATTGTATTATTTAATATTATTATAATAATATAATTAATATTATTATCTTCTATAATATTATAAAAAAAAGCAGGTTTCTACCCTGTGTATTTACACTGCCCAATGTGGATTTCATTTTCTTTCAAGATGTTGAATTACTTACTCTAAACTCCTTGAAAAAGGTCCAGTCCCTTGTCTCCAAGGCAGTGGATACCTACGTCTCTGTGTACTTCAATTGTTGCAATGGTCAAGTCTGGCCATTTTCTCTGGAATTCTTTATTTATCTGTAGACCACACAAATGGAAGAATTCAGTCTTGCAGACAATTAGCTATGCTGTATTAATTCATACTAAAACACATTACTTAAAGAGGAACAACTCCTCAACCTATGTGAACTCTGACATACAGTGGGCCAGTCAAGTACCCTGCTAAAGCATTCAATTTTAATACATACAAACAGAAATTTGCCTACAGCTACAAGACTATCTATGTAAATTAAAAATGTTTGTTTTTTTACATAATATAGTTTACAGCTACACACACAAGAAGTATCATGCTTTTCCTATGGCACAAATAAAAATCTCTCTCAAGCTTAGCAGATTTGCGAAAAGAAACTTTATCATTCTTATCCACTGCTATGCTGCACTGAAGGGTAGAATGGCTAAACTGCGCTGCTAAATAGCCTTAACTATGTTTATTAGTACAAGACATGTTAGTTTAAATTACGCACAATATTTAATTGACGTAATTACCAACAATATTATATCAACACAACTCATAAAACATTTTTTACAACTTAAAAGGTCGATCTAAATTAATATATTAGAATTTTAACTACTTTAGCTATCATGCATTTAATTAAGTGGTCCACTGAGATACTTTTTACAGTGTAAATTTATGTCTTTGCAATTTACGGTCCAGTTTTGCTCGAGGGACAGAAAAGCTGTGTGGTTCATACCAAAATCCATTCTCATGCTTTCAAGTTGTAAAAAAGGAATTCTGGTTTTGTTGCTGCCATCTTTTTACTTTCAATTATTATTTTTACATGCTTATTTATATATTATGCTGGAATTATAAAATAGGTTTGTGAATCTCCCCAGATAGCTAAAACCACGCAATCTCATAATAGAACAAAATAAAATAACAGGTCCTTACTGTGGGACACAGCCATTTTCACTGCTGGTTGTTCAGGGTAGCACATTTAGATCAGTACAAGTCCGTTCTGTAATAATCTTTTGCCCTTGCATCTCCTTTTCTTCTTCAATGAGCAAAAGACCAGAGGCTGTCAGTTATGGAGGACTGAAAGTGCCACAATTAAAAGGGACATATTATGCAAAACCAACTTTTTAATCATTTGATTATGTACATTTGGGACTCTGGAGGGCCTATCAGCAGGCAAAGTATGAAAAAAAATGACTCAGTCATGTTTTTGTGGGCTGCCTCAGTCAGAACATAGGAGAGAAATCACGCAGGTTCAGAAGTGTGTAGTTTGTGATGTCACATGCTCTGCCTGTTGCCACCCACCTCTCTTTACTTCCTGTTGACTATCGGAGCTCCGCCATTGTTACTATAAAAGGCAAGCTAGCGGAGAACAAGCAAGTCCAGCCTGCAGCCTGCAGCCTAATGTCTGGGCAAAGGCCTCAGCAGGCAAACTGTTCAGTCATTGGCTGCACAGCCCAACACAAATTTACATATGTAAATTTATGTAAATGTATGTAAATTATTTTTGACGGCAATGTCCGGCTAGAGTCACAAAAACCGGAAGGTGTGTGTGAACCTTCGTGTCGGACTGCTTTCACAACCTCGGTCAGTACAACACTGGACTGACTGAAAGACTGTTCCTGAAAGAGGGATTGTACCAACTGTCTGTGGAGAGACGGCAGAGGAAATAACTGTAAGTATTTTTAAGAGTTTATACTTTGTTTTTCATTGTTCGTGTAATGCTAGCACATGCTAACCACTGTTAGCTGCAGGAGCCTCAGTGATGCTAACGTAGTTATTGTTTGTTAAATGTTTGTTAAATGTTAAAAGATGAACATGAAACTTATAAGGTGAAGTTAATTTATTAACCAGCTGGTGCAGATGTCTCCATATTCTCCCCTGCTGATATTTTTATAGAGATTCACACAAAGTTTATTATAAGTTTATACCGAGAATCACCAAGCTTCGTGCCGGAGGGGGGTAACTCCGTTACTGTTGTGGGTTTTGTGTCGGGGGTAATTGGCTTTACGTTGGTCTGTATTTAGTTAAAGTGCTCAGTCAGTAATATGTTTGTGTCGCTGTTAGAAAGAGCAGAAAACCTCCAAGTGAACAAACTGTAGCTGCTCATCAGCTGCTAGCTCGCTGAGCTAGCGCTAGCTTTGTTATTCCGGAGCCATTGTCCTGCTCCGCTCAGGTGTGTGTGTGTGTGTGTGTGTGTGCTGCTGTATGTAAATGTACCGGTGGTAAAGATAGAGCTACAGTGAAAGAGAAATAGTCAAACTGTGATCAAGCCTCCTTAGAAGCTAACAAAATACAGGGAGTGAGTTATGGTGATTATTGTGTAACTTTATACTGACGTGCTAACGTTATCTCAGCTAGCGCTAGCTTTGTTGTTTCTCTGCTTTGTTCAGGTGTGTCTGTGTGTGTCTGTGTGTGTGTGTGTGTGTGTGTGTGTGTGTGTTACGGTGTGTAAATAAACTTGATCAACGTGCACCAGAGTTAACACTAGAGCTACAGTGAGAGAGAAACAGTCAAACTGCAGGGATTCATTAGTTTAGTAATATTGTGTAACTTTGATTAGCACCCAGCAGCTGGGGTTGCTCACTAGGCTTTATGTGGAGTCAAACCGACGAAGTTTTCTGATCTGTTTATTTAGCGTTACTGAAGTACTGCTATTACTGACGATATAAGTGTAGGTCCAGTGTAACATCTTATACTCATATAATCTCCTATTGTATTATAAACACTGAGGCTCACTGCTAAATGTCTGTTATTGCACCGGGAACTTGTTCCAACATCAGTTACAGTCAGTAAATGTCCTGTGTGTGTATCTGCTGCCATTAGATAGACATTGTGTTGGTAACCTCAGACTGTTTCAACAACACATCACTACAGTTAGCTGCAACAAGGAACCCACCAGTGACACTGCTTATTATTTTAGATTATAACTTAGGACTACTGTGAGCCACAATGAGCTGTTGTACTTGTATTATATTATACTGTATTATATTACACTGTATATTATATTATACTGTATATTATATTATACTGTATATTATATTATACTGTATATTATGTGCTGCCTTACAAGTAACACTGAATCCTCCATGTTTTACAGGTGACCTGATGAAGCTCAGGTGTTCCTGGACCCATCAGAGGACAGAGACAGCTGCAGCATCAGGACAGTCTGGGTATCCAAAGGAAGACTGATGAAGATGAACACTGACTGCAGAGCTCCATTACCAGCTCACACTTCAATATACTAGAAACCATAAACCTTGATGGAGAACATGATCTGCACAGTTTACATAAAAGTTATAGCTTTGTTACTTACAACTTGTGTAACTGGAATATGAATGAAATATTAATAATGTGTTTTACTTTTAAGAAGAGTTTTGGTCATTTTTAAATTCAGTAATAATTGTGGTTTTATATAAATAACATGTTATTTCACAAAGGTTTTATGAAGATTTCCTGGATGTACAAGAGTTGAAAACCTGATTCGTGTAACATCTATCAATATGAAAATGTGGAACTTAAACCTGTATTAATGACTGTAAGCAACACAATACATTACTGTCTCACATTCAAACTTTATTACATTGGAAGATAAATGACATCATAATACAGTATATAATATAAATGATAGAATATTCAGTATACAGTATTTTTAATGGGGTTCAAACATAATTGCAGCTTTTACAAATATCTGAAGGTTAACTTTGGTAATAATACTTTTAAGTTAAAATATCAGACTATGAAATATGGATACAGTACAGTTAACAGTTGGTTACTGGGCAGTTTTTAAACCACATGAACAAGTTGCTTTATTAGATGAGTGATTCCTTCAGTTATGTTGACATGTTGTACAGGATAAAGTATTCCAGGTTTCTGTTTCCATGGTCTCAGTAAACTAATGTGTATAAAGAATATAACAGATGGGTAAATCATTATATATTATTGATTACTTTGGTACATTTACTGGCTGTTTCTTCACTAGAAAAAACTTTTTGACTAATGTTAAAGGAGTCATATTATACCCTATTTCAACAAGTTAATCTAGTTCCCTGGTGTTCTAATGTAATGTCTGTGACAATGTTGAAATAAAGGTGCCAAAAAGCCCTGTTCAGAACGGTAGGATTTGAGTGCTGTTCTTTAAATTCAAATGAGACACAGGCAATCCACCCACCTTTTCGGAGTGGTTTTCCCTGGTCTCAGTAAACCAAAGTGCCTGATAAAGAAGGAGCTAGCGAAGAAGTTGTTCAATGTAGACTGCAACAAGACGTTTCTGAATGGGGAGTTATAAGCTTTTTTTTTTTTTTTTTTTTAAAATTTTTTTTTTTTTTGGGTAAAAAAAATAGCTTAAAAAAAAAAAAACACCCCCCCGGGGGGTTTTTTTATAACTTACTGCTAATAAAAATCTAGATTTCTGTTAATTGAGTTAAATAAGTAACGTTAGCATGCTATTCCTTACAGTACATTTCAAGTCCGCAATATCAGCTACGAGTGGGAATATAGCACTCGTTTTTTTTTTTTTTACGCCGTAATAACGTTACATCATTATTCTGTCCGACATCAAACGTTAGTACTATCCACAGCTATTTTTTTAAGGGGGGGGGAATTCATGTATACCCGTATTTACTGTGTTTCAACATGATGCAATAATTCCAATTAATAACGTACATCGTTGCATAAGCTGACCTGTCGTTATTGCTAACAACATATTCAAATAAAAAACTATAACTGATTTTTTTTCCTTTTTTTTTCTTTTTTTTATGTATTGTGAGAATTGCACAGCAATGCCTACAGAGCCAGAGAATGTCTGCTGCAGGGAGAAACCACAGTAGTACATGGATGCTTGTTGAATGAAAATGTAACTATTCAGTCATATTATCTGTCATCAAACGTACTTACCCTTTCATATTTACAGGTGATAGAAGACTAAATCAGCTTCAAACCACCTTCCTACATGTTTACTTTTTGGCTGTTTATATTCTTAAAATGCTACATATCAAACACTAGAAAAGATTAATTTCTGCACAAAATTTAACTTGCAATAACATAATTTATTACATTTAAACCTAGGTCCAACACCAATTTGCTGCTAATAAATGGTTGTATTGGCATTTTGATATTGTGCAGGAATTTATCTTTCATACTTTTGGATACTCATCCACTAAGAACCTGTCTCTTAATGACCATAATGTTTATGTCACATATCAAACACTGAAAGTACAAAAAACAGTATACATTTTTATTTTCATAAATACAAGTAAGAAACAACTGTTAGTATTATAAATATTTAAAAAATGTGGCTAATATAAATTATGTTAAATATAAATGTATAAATATCTGTACCTGTTTAGGTATTGGCTAGGGGTTTGGAGTGGTGTTGGGGCTTTTAGTTGTGTGGACTGGTGTGTGGTGTGCGTTGCGGGGGAGTCCGCGCTCAAGGCCGGGGGTAGGGTTATATGTGGCTTTAAGGAAAACTTTAAACAGGTGTTTTGTTTGAAGAAATAATTTGTGTTTTTTGTGTTTTTTTTTTTATTAAAAAAGAAAAGCCATGAACTGGTTATTTATATTTTATTTATTTACAAATGTTGATATGTTTATATTAAATATAATTGTTTGTATACCTGGACTGTTGTTTCTGGGTTTTTGTCGATTTGATTGTGGCTTGTTTTTTTGGTTTTGTGTGGGGGGGTTTTGACCGATTACTAAATAGTTACTTACGTTTTAACTATTTGTTATGTTGTGGCTTACAAAGGAAACAGCTGGTAGGCATGCCGATGAATTACTTTTGATTGCTGCGTTTGTTGGTGGGGTTACGTTCTTTGCTTATTTGAGGACACACAACATAGTACAGTTTTCTGAAAAGATGCCATTTCAAATACAGAAATAAGCTAGTTGTGGCTTAAACCACGAGCTCCAGTAACTAGTCCCCTGCCAAGCTAACGGGCCGCGGCCGTGGCGCGGGGGGGGGAGGGGGATTTTCCGGTATTAGGCATATACTTTGTGTAATCTCTATAAAATTTGCGCAGGGAAAATATGGAGAATCTGCACAGTGGCTAATTAACGTCACCATATAAGTTTATGTTGACATCTACAAACAATAACTACGTTAGCTTCACTGCAGCTCCAGCAGTCAGAGCTGTTAGCATTAGCTAACATTACACCAACAATGAAAACAAAGCATAAATTCTTAAAATACTTACAGTTTCTGTGTCTGTCGTCTTGACGGATAGTTGGTCGCCCCTCTATCAGCACAGTTTTGGGCCGTCCTTATTGTACTGACCGGGTTCTTAAAACAGTCACTGGTGAAGTGGTTGGCCAAACCAACAGCTTTGCCAACTCTGCCGGACATTTCATTGTAATAAAATTAATCCTGGACTCGTTCTCTTCTGAGCGGGGATAGTGTGTGTTTGTGCTGTTCTGTGGCGCCGAACATTTGTGTTGCCTTCCTGATGTGTCTGTGCCTGCTCGTAGGGACATGGCGGGACGGATGAAGGCGGGTAGCTGAGGTGGGTGGCACGGCGGTGGGTTGGATATGCTATGGGGCGGTTGACTGCATCCTCTGGTTGGTCTGTATTTGCGGGCGCAAAACATGCTGGTTTTTTAACTTGCCTGTGTAGGCCTGTTAGAATGTTAAGTTGTTTGTAATGTTTAATATTATGTAATATATAATATGTTTAACTTCACTGGGCTGTGTAGACTGTAGGTCACTGCTCACTGCTGTACCTGTAAAGACAAGCATAAAACACAGTGTTGGTTCTCATAGTTAACGTATAAACACTAACATTATGTGATAGATAGAGGTTAATATATATATATATATATATTAGTTATATGTATGCATATGTAGTTAATATATCAGTATTTACCTGAGGAAAACGTCACAGAAAGCTGTAATCCTGATTGTTGATGTTGTTCATTTCTCCGTGATTTCAGGTCAGACTCCCGCTCTAACATGTCCGCTGGTGAAGTTTTTGCTTTAGAAGCAGTTATTGAATTAATATTGACGGTAGAAATGAAGCTAAACTCAGTAGCACTGAGGAGCTACCTGTCGGCAACGAAGGGGAGGGGCCAGAGCGTCATCCGCGTGAGCCGCGTCATAATGCCGACCAATCAGAGCAGACTGGGCTTTTCGGGAGGGGGGTCTTAAAGAGACAGGCGCTAAAACCGAGCGATTCAGACAGAGGCTGAAAAGAGGTGCTCAGCTATAGGCAGTATGAGAAAAATAGTGTGTTTTTTGAACATTAAAACATCTAAACCTATTGTAGGAGAGCCACAAAATACAATTATGAACCTGAAAAAGGGTAATAATATGACTCCTTTAAATAAATAAATACACCATTAAATAATTACTTAAATGTGTCATTAATTAATTAAAATTGGAATTAAATACATAAATGTGATATTAAATGTGGCATTAATTAATTAAAATACCGATTCATTTAATGTAAAATACATATATAATTATTTCACTATTCACATTTACATTTCATGTTCCTGCGTTGCAGTGCTTCATGAATTACTTAAAACTGTCAAAGTCACCCATCAAACTCAGTGGGTGGGGCCAACGCGAATCTAGCCTGATCCATTGCTTTGGTCTGAAGTAGAGTGCCAGGAAGATCTTCATGAACTTTCTAGGGTAGAGGTCGCTAACAGGGGAGTCTGGACCCAGACACCGTCCTATGCGGACCCAGACCTATAATCAATTCATTATTGAGGATTCTACATTTTGATGGGGAGCTTCTATTTTAACCAGCACAGCTTTTTTAGTCTTTACGGTATTTGTTTAGCAGTTCAGGAAGCTCACAGACCAATCGCATGCTAGTTAAGCCATCCCACGTGATGCTGCTCAGCCAATCAAATCTGTTTAAACAGCGCGACTGAATACAGAGATGAGAGCGATGAGAGAGGAGAGACAGACAGAAAGAGAAGTCACAGATACATGGAGAGGAAACGGAGAGATGAGTGAGCGCGAGACAACAGAAGATTTATGGCGCTCTCTAAGAAGAGAAAAGTGGATAGAAAATCGAGCTTTTAATGGACAGATTCATTCATTTTCATTCTTCCCACTGGGAGCACATAACCAGTGTGTCTCATGTTCAGAGACTGCGGCGCTGATTAAAAGTGCCAGTGTGAAACGCCACTATGAGACAAAACACAAAGTTTTCATCAAACATACCCACTCAAGTCTGAACAAGGTCACAGAAAATAAGCAGTCTCAGATCCCAATATGATCACTCCACCAGTATCCTGACCAGTGTTGGGAGTAACGGCGTTTAAGTATAACGGCGTTATTTTTTCAGTAACGGAGTAATCTAATTAAGTACTTTTCCCATCGTTGCAACGCCGTTACCGTTACTGAGAATGTAAAGTGGCGCGTTACTTGCGTTCCTACAATGTGGTGAATGAAGCGCAGCGGTGTCAGGCTTTCTGACAGCCACACATCAGCTGCCAGCAGAGGGCAGGGTGGTGATGATGACACCGTTGCAAATGCGATGATGATTGGCTGGGTGGGCGGATGCCAAGACAGAGACAATGGCGACGAGCTAGGGAAATTCAAAGGTAGCGATATCAAACTGGAAGTACCGACACTACTACTCTCTTACTGAAGTTAAAGGCAAGAATGTTTATGTAACATGTGTGAATTTTATTTTCAATATTTATTTTGTATATATTTTTATTTCTATGCATATGGCCGGCTGCAATCTATTGAGTTCAAATAAATACCAAATGTTCTAAAATACTGTATATAGTGTTTTTATTCTTTATTCAGTGATTATAAACATCTTAAATGTTATAGAAGATGTTACAGAATGTAATTATAGACCATAAAAAATAACGTTACAGTTACTTTGCTGAGTAACTAATTACTTTTACAATGTGGTAACTGAGTTACTAACTCAGTAACTGAGTTACTAACTCAGTTACTTTTTGGGATAAGTAATTTGTAACTATAACTAATTACTTTTTTAAAGTAAGATGACCAACACTGATCCTGACCCATTCATTCACTGCCCAACGAGGGAGAGAGGTTAGAGCTCAATTCTCTCACTGAACAACAGAAAGTGTATAGAAAGATATAAAAGGGAAAGAAAGAGAAACTGTTCAAGTGTAAAGATGTGTTGATATTCATTTATAAAATTTGTTGAGACTGTTAATCAAGATATGAAACAGTTAACAAAGAAAAAGGGAAACTCAAGCTGCTGCTACACTTTATTTTTCAAAGTTAAACACTTTATTTTATTTTGTAGACTTAGCAGAGGATGTGGAAGCAGGAGCTGCTGACCCAGAGCATGTAGCGAGTAAAGCAGAGGAACTTATTGAAGTTCTTGGAGTTATTTCCGCACTTTCTGACCAAGATATTGACCACAGAGTGACTGCAGATTTAGAAGAAGTAGTCCAATAGCGCCACCCAGTGTATTGGAATGTGTTCACTAGCTCTGCATCGATCCATTATCTGGAATTGATTTGTCTTGGCTTGATGCGCAATCAGCTATTAGGTTCCGCCTACCAACTTTTGATGGGTGAATTTGACAGTTTTAAGTAATTCATGAAGCACTGCAACGCAGGACCATGAAATGTAAATGTAAATAGTGAAATAATTATATTTGTATTTGACATAAAATTAATCTGTATTTGAATTAATGAATGACATATTTAATAACATATTTATGTATTTAATTCCAATTTTAATTAATGAATGACACATTTAAGTAATTATTTAATGGTGTATTTATTTATTTAATTGTGGCACTTTTAGTCCTCCATACTTTTAGTCCTCCATAGTCAGTGTCAGTGAAAACTTTACAATGTCGGGGAAATGTCTTGGTTAGAGATTGAGATTGATGAAGTTTCTTTTCTTGTTCTATTGGATCCATATCAGTGGTTACAAATAATACAAAAGAGTTAGAGGACATGGCTATTTGTCTCCACCTGGTGGATGGACAGTGGTATCATATTATGTAAAACGGTTAGTAATACTCTGACACAGGATTTTGTCTTTTCTTGTAACAATCACAGGGTAAACAGTAGAAATATGGTTTTCATGTTATAAAGTAATCCATCAGGAATATGCGGTGAACTGGTAATCCAGCCAATGCACCTGGCAGAACATTTCTGACGTCCAGTGAACACACCGCACACAGTAAACGTTAAATTGCAAGTTTGATTAGGTTCATGGATTTTACTCAGGCTTGTTACATAAATGTGTCCAAGATGTGCGTCAATATATCAGAATTAATTTACGTCTCTCTTATCACATTGTTTAACACTATCAAACGATAATGTCAGCTAGGAAGTTTTTGAAAGATAACGTTAGCTGTTGTCTAACAGTATAGCTTATGTTACCTTTTTAACCTCTCTCTCTCTCCGAACCGTAGTTGGGAGATGGTTTAGTGTTTTGGCTCTTTGCTAGTAATTGGCATCTTAGAGTCCGGGCCAAAGTGTGGGAAGGAAGGAGTACGAAGTAAAGACTTTCGTGCAAAACCACACATTGAATTCCTTTCTTTAGCAAAGGCAGAACACAACACCGGGCCTGGTCAAATTCTGTCTGGACACTGCTGTGTATTAATGTTGCGTTCATTTTGTCCACCCGACTCGATCTGCGAGTCGGTTTCCTGAGTTACGAACCGGAAGTTGCAAATAGAACGCTCCCGAGGTCGTATAAACGACTCCTTAGGTCGTCTGAACTCAGAGGACCCGAGTTCAGTTACCAAGATGGCTACTCCAAGCATCACACACAGTAAACATTGTGGTCTTCTACTATTTTAAGCACATTTGTCTTTGTTGTAACCAAATGAAGAAGTCGTACACACAGCACTGTATACTGTTACCTATAGGCATGTCACTACAGTCTTATTATGTGTTAAATACCGCCTAATTAGTTATTTTGTAGCTTGTGCAGCTGAAATTGGCTAGAGACGCTCCATGTTGCTATGACAACAATACCGAGTCTTGAGCAGAAAGCAGAGCAGTAGCCACGGTAACGTTAACGTTAATCAGAACGGAATATTCAGATATCAAACTGTGTGATATGATTGTGTAATATGTAATGAACATGTGAAATCCGCGTTGGGTGAACTGTAAACCAGATAATCACTATACACGTTACCAAACCTCCAAACTGCCTATTGCAACCAAGCTCGTCGTGTTGTGTGGCCAAACAGAACGCAAAAATCCGTGGTTACTTGTTTTCAAACACGGATGTGACGTCGCTCTCGAGCTGCAAGTCGCGATTACAAGACAAAACGAACGCACCATAAACACCTAGGCATTAACATGAGCTAGCTCTTCGACGTCCGTCTGTCACCGTGGATGTCTACCTCTTCTCTTCCTGTTTTCCCTCCTGAACCTGTATGTCACACACACACACACACACACACACACACACACACACTGGGCCACCGTCTTAAAGGGGCAGGGCTGGCCGGTGACACTTATGAGTTATCAAATGTGTTGTGGAAGCGGTGAAATGATAACGATTTGTCAGGTTCCGTATGTTTTCATGACTTACAACCCAGACCACATAATATTTGAGCTACACACAGAATTCAAATCAAACTGTCAAACTAGGCAGTGCTCAATATCGTCAGAGAAATAGTAAATATAGCAACTTAAAAAAAAAAATTTAAATACTTAATACCTAATACTTAAAATGAAATAGACCTAGTTACTGTGATCTAAGACCTTGTTCTGAAGTGAAATTTTGAAGCTGTCCTGTAAACAGCTTTCTGATATATATAGCAACTTCTGATTGACCATTGTCCATTTCAGGCCTAAATTAACAATTCAATTCAATTCAATTTTATTTGTATAGCACCAATTCATAACAAGTTATCTCAGGACACTTTTCAAATAAAGCAGGTCTAGACTGAACTCTTTATAACATAAACAACATCGAGTCAGTCCTGCTCCCAGCCCGTTTGAGTTTAAAAGGAGGCTAGCACTGTGGTAATTAAAGCAAAAAGCGCAGAAATTTGAAAGGAAATGGCATTGTACCGAGCTGGAATAATCCCATTCTTCATCACCAATCTAGTAAGATAGTCTTAAAACATATAAAGGCCCTCCATTATGCTACAGCAGCCTATTATTCATCACTAAATAATAAAATAACAACAACATATATAACATTATTTACAGAGACCCAACAGTTTCCACCAAGCACTTGGTGACGGCAGCAAAGAAAAACTTTCTTTTAAGAGGCAGGAACCTCGGACAGACCCAGGCTCTAGGTGCGTGGTTGTCTGCCTCGACCAGTTGGGGTGAGAGAGAGAGAGAGAGAGAGAGAGAGAGAGAGAGAGAGAAAGACAGAGAGAGACAGAGAGACAGAAAGAGAGAGCGAACAGAGGTAACGACAAAAGGACAGAGACAGAGACAAAGCTGCACAGTAACAACTACACTAATAGCAGTGACTGATGATGATGATGATGATGATGATGATAATGATGAACATGAAGAAGATGGTGACGACGACAACAACAACAATGGGGGACAATGAGCATTGATTATAGTAATTATAGTATCTGTAGTAATAATAATAATAACAATAATAGATAGATGGTTCAGGACTTACCTGATCCAGCCCTAACTATAAGCTTTATCAAAGAGGAATGTCTTAAGCCTACTCTTGAATGTGGAGAGGGTGTCTGCCTCCCGAACCACAACTGGAAGCTGGTTCCACAGGAGAGGAGCTTGGTAACTGAAGGCTCTGGCTCCTGTTCTACTCTTAGAGACTATAGGAACCACAAGTAGCCCAGCATTCAGAGAACGTAGTGTTCTAGTGGGGCAATGGGGTACTATGAGCTCTTTAAGATATGAAGGGGCCTGATCATGTAGAGCTTTGTAGGTGAGAATGAAGATTTTAAATTATATTCTGAATTTTACAGGGATCCAGTGCGGAGACGCTAGTACAGGAGAGATATGATCTCTTTTCCTAGTTCCTGTCAGTACTCGTGCTGCAGCGTTCTGGATTAATTGAAGCGTCTTAATGGACTTATTGGGGCAACCTGATAGTAAGGAATTGCAGTTATCCAGCCTAGAAGTAACAAATGCATGGATTAGTTTTTCTGCATCCGTCTGTGACAGGATGTGTCTAACTTTTGTAATATTGCGTAAATGAAAAAAGGCAGTCCTAGAGGTTTGCTTTATATGGGAATTAAATGACAAATCCTGATCAAAGATAACTCCAAGATTCCTGACAGTGGTGCTAGAGGCCAAGGTAATACCATCTAGAGTAACTATATCTTTAGACAGTGAGTCTCTGAGGTGTTTGGGGCCAAGTACAGAGTGGCTGTGGTGCAGAGGCAGAGCGGGTCATCCCCTAATCGGAAGGTTGTTGGTTTGATCCCAGCTCCTCCTGCCAAATGTCGAAGTATCCTTTGGCAAGATACTGAATAGGCAAATTGCTGTGAATGTGTATGAATGTGTTATAATAGAAATGACTGATGATGATGATGAACATGAAGAAGATGATGACGACAACAACGATGGGGGACAATGAGCAGTGATTATAGTAATAATAGTATCTGTTCTACTTTTGGAGACTATAGGAACCACAAGTAGCCCTGCATTCAGAGAGCACAGTGTTCAAGTGGGGTCATAATACTACGGTGGCAGACAAGGGCAAACACATCGCAAACAGCAAAACGCTGCAAACACAGGAAGGCACTATACAAGTACAGATCCATTTACCATTGACCATTACCAAGTACAAGAATTTTTCATGATTGTACCACGGTGCTAGCCTCCTATGTTTTAATGTTTTCCTTTTTATAGGGGTGAAAGAATCTAATGTTGTTCGCAGTGAGCCTGCAGCACTATTAACAAGATATCTATTTGGGAAGGACTAAAGTTATGATAGGACTCTATATATTGTATATTCAGACATGGCATTGAATAAAACACTGATGGAATCTCCTCCTTGAATTTAGCTACAGCACTGTCAGATAGACATCTGCTGTAGGACGTTTTGCCTAATAGCTTGTAATCTAGTAATAGGAATTCAAAAGTTATTAAATAATGGTCAGATAGAAAAGGATTTTTTAAGTTGAGATTTTTACAGTATGAACAGTATTAGCAGTAAATATATAGTGCGCAGGCCAGTACCAGTAATTAAATTGGTTTATATACAGACAGCTAGATATTAATACACTATAGGTAGAGTACAGTATAGACAGATGCAAGTGAATGCACTATAGATATATACGTTATACACACGTTATGTGTAATTATGGGCTTAAATAGTCCAGGTAAGTGCAGTAGTGTGGAGTAGTGTGGTGGTATAGTGGAGAGGGGGTCAGTGCCAAGGAATATGGGAAGAAAAAGAGTTTAGTCCGTGGAGGGTGGGGTGGAGTGGGAGTTCAGTCATTCAGGGGAAGGGGGATCTCCTCGGTGCAGAGTTTGAAAGCTGATGGCAAAAAGCTGTTCCTGAGCCTGCTAGTTCGGGAACGGAGAGACCTGTACCGCTTCACAGAGGGGTAGAGGGCAAAGAGTCCGTGTCCTGTGTGGGAGGTGCCCCTAACAATGCTGCATGCCCTCGGCCTCCGCAGACACTGCTTGCTCTGGACAGCCTCAATGGTGGGGAGAGGTGAACCAGTGCAGAGTTTTCCGGACTGAGGCAGAGCAGTTTCCATACCAGACTATAATGCTGTTGGTAAGAATGCTCTCGATGGTGCAGCAGTAGAAGTTCTCCAGAATCGTTGTCACTGATGAGGCACTGTTGTGTTGTCTGCAAACTTGATGATGGTGTTGATTGCGGCCTCCTGGTTCTCCCTGTCAAAGCGAGCATAAAGGTTATTGAGCTTCAGTAGACATTTTAGAGTACAGTCTAGACCTGTTCTATTTGAAAAGTGTCCTGAGATAACTTTTGTTATGAACTGGCGCTATACAAATAAAATTGAACTGAAAACTTAAAAAGTCTTGCTGTAACATCCCATTGTGTAATAACTCAACAAAATGTGATACATTTTCACCTCATTGTGTAATAACAACTGCATTTTGTAACAATCTGCCAGATTTTGTAATAAACAATCGAAACTCAATATGTAATGCATTTTAAATAATTACATGGTGGCTATAAAAGGTGGGAGTTGGAGTTTTCTTTATGAACTGTCTTTTGAATAAGCTGAAGTTTTTGATGGTCTTTTTGGGGAGCCACGTCTCAGGTCTGCATTTGACATGAAGTCCCTGAGTTTGGGTGTATTTCTAAGATGAAAACAAGCTGCTTTTCTATGGGGCTATTTAGACTAAAATCAGTCAGCTATAATGCCAGGGGGCAAAACAGGTTCTACACATTGCACATTCTACACCCTACAAAGGACCACCTACTGCTGCATTTAACACCATTGACTATAATATCCCTTTACAGAGACTTGAGCATCAAATTGGCATTAAAGGAACCGCACTAAGCTGGTTTAGGTCATACTTATCAGATCGTTCTCAGTTTGTACCTGTTAACGATGAATCTGCCATAAATACTACAGTTAGTCATGGAGTTCCACAAGGTTCTGTACTTGGACCAAGTCTATTCACTTTATATATGCTTCCCTTAGGCAACATTATTAGGAAACACTCCATTAACTTTCATTGTTATGCAGATGATACACAGTTATATCTATCGATCAAGCCCAACGATATTAACCAGTTATCTAAATTATAAACATGTCTTAAGGACATAAAAACCTGGATGAGCTGCAATTTTCTGATGTTAAACTCAGGAGCCTCCTGCCATGGTCCTGCTTGACTCAATTCAATTTTATTTGTATAGCGCCAATTCATAACAGAATTAACACGGGGGATTTCCCAGGATGCACTGAGCTCCTCTCTTCCTCTTTCTCTCTTTCTGCACTCATTCATGTCCCATTAATGCATGTTACTAACTTCACTTTCTCCCCGGAGTTCTTGTGCTTTCTCGTCTTGCAGGTTCTCATGGATCCTGGTGGAGCCTCCTGCCATGGTCCTGCTTGACTGCCATTGCTAATATCACTGATATTAGTGTTATTATTATTATTATTGGGTTCTGTGTATGCATCATGATATATTTGTACTTCTACTTCTATATCAACATTATTAGGTACTACAAGGCAAGACAACTTGAACTAATCAATATAATATCCATCATTCACTTCGAAAAATTTTGAAACCATTAAAAAAAATGCTCAGAATTGTATATAAAACTTCCATATAATTATAATTATATTAATAATTATAGAGTCATTATATATAATGGCACTAAATGCTGCATGGTTCTCATGGTTTTTGCATAAATTTAAATGGCCAGGATCATTTATATTTCATACTACAAAATTTAGACTAATTTTAGAATGTTTTACATTACAGCAGACCTGTCACCTCGTCATCCACGCTTCACCTGCTGTGGTTCTATGTCCCACCAGTTTGAGAACCAGTGCTCTGGCAGCTGCCATAAGGCGAGACTGACTTTTCATTGCATGTGGGATATTTTTAGGACTTTTATTGCCTCTTTTTAAATGGAAAGCGATGACTAAAGTAAACAGGAAAGGGGGAGAGCGAAAAAAAGGGGATGACATGCAGCTAAGCGCCACAGGTCACTCACTGCTGCTGCAGCAAAGACTCAGCTTTGTACGCGGGGCACCTGTTCTACCAGGGCACATAATTAATTCTTTTTCAAAATTCTTAGGTTATAGGGTAAACGGGTTCAAGTCAGAAGCACTCCCTTTAACAGCTTATTGTGCTTTTACAGTCCTTTAACCAGGTGCATTTTAGTGGCCCAAGTAAAGTCCTATTCCCCCCTCAGATGAAAGACCTGGTTTAACTTCATTCTGATCCATTGTTACATAAAATCTCGTGATGTTGAAAGAGGCACCTTTTTTAACCCAAGATGTTGTTTTACTACTATGGTTTTAAGACAACTGGTCACTTCCTCCTGAAAGAGCCTGTCTGGTATTGTATTGCACAATCTGCACTTGCCCCATTTACACCTCTGCATGGTATATTTAATTCTTTTGAGTACTGTGTACAACAATGTGGAATTCTCTCTCAATTCCTATGCAATATCTGCAACCCTGCCATATGCTACCAGAGAACCCTTTGGATATAGTGCACCAGCTCCCAGTACTGCAGAGTAATAAGATAAAGTACTAATGAGCTATGGGAAAAGTCATGAGGCTTCAGTGTATCATTCCATAATGATACAGAATCTGGGTAATGGGGCCTTATCAGCTCTTAAGAAGACATGGGGAAAAGATCTGAAACTGACAATGGATGGTAAATGGTAAATGGACCTGTACTTGTATAGCGCCTTTCTAGTCTTCCGACCACTCAAAGCGCTTTTACACTACTTGCCACATTCACCCTTTCACACACATTCACGGCAAAGTCCATCGAACAGAAACTAACTCATTCATACACATTCACACACCAATGCACGGCATCGGGAGCAATTTGGGGTTCAGTATCTTGCTCAAGGATACTTCGACATGTGGCACCAGGAGCCGGGGATCGAACCCACAACCTTCCGATCTGCCTATGGTGTCAAGTAAAGCAAAGCCCTCATTCCATTTAAGATCATCAGATGTTTCTACTGGACTCCCTCCAGATTGTTTATACTTGGGTTAAGAGACATGCCAGACTGCTGGCAATGCAAGGGAGGAGGACGGAAGACTGGCTGTCAGGCTGTTGGGATGGCAAAAGTGGCAGCATTTGAAAAGATGTCCTATAAACAGTATGGAAGATTGAATGTAAATATTAGAAAATTGGGCAAATACTTGAAGTGATAGTTGGGATATTTTTGAAGTAGGGTTGTATGAGTTATCCACAGTACCAAAAGTAGACTGTTTCGTACACCCCCAGTTTGGAAAATCAAACTGGCAGCAGAAAAAGCCTAACTATTCAGCCACATAAAAATGGCCACCTCAAAAGAATCAATATCAGTTTAATTGTGTGCTATATTTAGAATATTTCTATCACTTTACCTCGCCACCAGATATCCTTTTTCTTTGGCACTAACTGTAGAAACGTATTACCATGCAGCCCCACTTTACCATGCACTATATTACATCTCAGATCAGCTGTTTGTCAGAAAATTGCAAGATCAGACTGAAATCATGTCCATGTGTTCCCCAGTCTGTATCACTGTAACTCTTCATTTCACTCTGATTTCACTGTTTGATTTTTCTAGACTCTCAATTGCCAAATTTATAAAGCTAATCAGTGACTATTGATCTTTCTCTAGATACAAAATCAATTCTTCTGCCATGGCACTTTATAGCTCCCAATTGTTAGACCAAAGTGTGAACCTAGTGAATCAGTGGGTGACATGGAGCTTCTCAATTGAGTGAGCGGAGATATTTTGGCAACTTCCATCTTCAATATGTCGATGGGTCACACATGTTCATATATCACAGATAACTAGTACACCAAAATATGTTTCTGCATGATTTGAGAGAAAGAGGAACATCATGCTGTATGGAAGAAGACTTGAAACTAGTAGTCAGGCCATAAACTCAAAACTGTTTACTGAGCTAACAAATCAAGTAAGAATTAGGCTCGTTTTTCCATAAGACTGCATGGATCTTTTATTACAGGCATCGGCACTGTCCCCTGCTGGTAATAAGATCGAATGCATGTTTAAGACACCTTCAGCTTCACGTCACAGACCTGGAAGCTCTGTACACACCTGCGCACGCGCACACACACCTGCGCACACGCACACACACCTGCGCACACGCACACACACACACACAGTCAACGGTTAGTCCCAAACATTTCACAACCATTTTTCAGATACTTTAAATATCTTTATACACTAAAAAGGTGTGGCTTTACTGGGTTGTCAGTTTATCTGTTTAACACGGACACAAACCTGTATGAGGCCAAATCATTTGTTGTATAGTGAGATTAAAGTGTCAAAGTCAGACTTGTGTGTACTTACAGTAAATTTAAACAGGTTTATACACTTGAATAAGATCCATTACTATCACTCATGTCCTTTTATGTTCTTACAAAAATAATCCATACTGTCAACATAAAGACAATGTGTTCTGTTTCAGCAGTAAATGGGCTCTGGTAGGCTGGATGTCATACAGTCCTGTTCTGTAGATAACTCTGCTGGCTGCCAGTGACACTCGATCAGAGCATCATACAGTTCCTCACTGATCTCCATGAACTTCCTGTTGGCCTCTATTACATCCAGCTCCAGACTAGGATCTGCAACACAGGGAGAGTTCATTTCAAGTGTGTGTGTGTGTGTGTGTGTGTGTGTGTGTATATATAAAAAAAAATATATATATATTAGTGCTGTCAAACAATTAAAATGTTTAATCGCGATTAATCGCATTGATGTCGCAATTAATCGCACATTTTTATCTATTCTAAATGTCCCTTGATTTCTTTTTGTCCCATTATTTTTTCTCATTTTAATGCTCTTATCAACATGGAAAAGTGGATCAGCTTGCTTTGTGCAAATGTTGTTTTATTGAAAATCATCCATTGTCGCCTGGCTATGACGAGGGGGCGGAGAATTTGCATCAGCTGTAAAAAAGTGTGTGCGGCGTGCCTGTTGTTTTGTTTCTGGTCTAGCTAGATCCGGTGTGGTGTTGCAGTTTTTCTAACGTTACTAGTTGTTGCAACAGCATGTGAAAAAAACTAGTTAAACAAACATTAATCTCGAGATGAAAAAATTGACACCGTTAAAATGGGTTTGCGTTAACGCCATTAATAACGCGTTTAACTGACAGCACTAGTATATATATATTATTTATGCATGGTTATTTATACATTTAAAATCTTTTTTGTTTGGTTTTGGACTGTTAATTATAGGGCTGTCGAGATAAGCCTTAATCATAAAAATTATTTTGTAGCCCATAAAAGGGGATGGCAAGCCACGGCCAAAACCCCATGTGACGTTACATCATCATGTCATGGTCAATACTTGTTTTGTTTTTTTTTAAATAAAAAAAAGAAATTGTCCCAGAGTGGCGAGGCTGAAGAAACTCAACACAAGAGCAGCTGTACCCTTTACAAAGTAAGTATCACCAAATGGCCACCCTAAATCACTGCAGGTTAAATTCCTTCATTGTGACAGCCCTAGTTAATCAGCAAAAGTAAACAATCTCCAGCAATCACCTTCAGAATAAACAATCAAAATTCTAATTGATACACAATCAATTGGATATAACAGTAATTTGCAGTGTCCGTCCTAATACCAACCTTCAAGTCCATCATCCTCAACAGCTTCACTTTCGCTTTCCTAAAGAGAAAAAAAAAAAACATGGTGGAATGATTCAAGTCTGTTAACAATGACTGATGGATGGGTGTCAACACAGGCTGCTATCAGAGAGAGCTTACTTGTGGTGGTGGATACTGTGAGTACTCATACTGCGGGTAGTTGTAGCCATAACCGCCTCCAGTCTGGTCGTAGCCCCAGGATGAGTAATACCCAGAATAGGCCTGTTGCTGCTGGTACTGGTTATACTGGTCATAGTTGTTTCTGTATCCTGAGCTGGACTGCCATGATCTGTGCTCTGACTGCTGCTGCTGCTGCCTGTTCCTTAAACTCAAGAGGGAGGAAAAGACACACTGCTAAACTCAGGTCCCAATTAAATTTAGCTTGTTGACGACAGGAGTGAAGTATTTAACAAGAACTCACTTGTTAGCAGCAAGGCTCAGTCTCAGAGGCTTACCACCCAGTCCCACAGCACCCTGACACTCCTCTAAAGCCCGCTTCTGCAGCCGCTCATCTGGGAACTGAACAAAGCCACAACCCCTGCAACAAAACACACAGGCAGTGTTCAAATTAGTGGGGATGGGGGCAGATCAGTACAGCTTCATCTTTATTCACAGACTTATAACTTAAAGACATTTTTTTTAAATGCAAGCGTATTCCGATGAGTACAGTTAGTGTGAACCCACCTAACCAACTATGCATCACTTATCCTTTGCAGAGTAGTGGGATGCTTGAGCCAACCCCAGCTGACACTGGGCTAACCTTGAACAGGTTGCCAGCTCATTCCTGCTCACATTCACACCTACAGGCAATTCAGAGTCACTAATTAACCTTCATGTCTTTGCCTTACCGACTAACACAGGTATTAAATAATGACACCAGGGACGTGGCTTTTCATGGGACACAACATATAAACTGACAAAATGTTGCCTAACAAACATTAACAAATTAAAATTGTAGGTAGGTTCATTAATCCAGTGATTCTCGACGACTGGGATAAGACCATTAACCTCCAAATTACAGCTGTGCCCCAGCTGCCAGAGCTCTAGACAATGCTCGAGATTCCACAAGAAGTGCCGTGCCATGTCCCAGAAGTGTCCCATAAGTGTGTCTCCGCTCTGCTCCTCTGGTCTATTTTTGACAAAAGCTATGTCAAGCAGCACAGAGCAGATCGGAACGGACAGGAAGTCAGACACAGAAACGGCATAGAGAAGTAAATCATGTGCGGATCATGGAGTCAAACTGCATTGCACACGCAACATCATAAGGCTGTGCCCACTGGAATTTCAGGGTAAGACTGTCAACAAATATTCCGGATTCTCTCGATTTTGTGAAAATTAATATTTGGTTGTGGAAAAAGAAAGGCAGCACAACTGCAGCCTGTCTTGCGAGTTGTTGTGTGGGCCTGGCATGCACTGCGCGATAGTCAGGAGTCACACAATGTTCCTTTCTTTGACTGAAAATGAAATGTAGGTCAAGATGAAGCAAGAAAATAATTAAATTACAACCATGTAGTAATAATGAGTAATTATTAGGGGGAGGCAATTCTAGGTAATGCAATTCTAATCCAATTAACTTTTTGTCAGATTCAGTGAATACCCTCTTACAGTCTCCCTGCTTTCCACTCTGCATATGTGCTGAAAATCATATGTTTGTACACAGCCCTTAACCTGAATGTGCCAAATAGTTTGTTACACAGACCCATCTGGAAAGTTGTCATTTGACACCATTTGGAAAAGGGCAAGCACTTTATAAAAAATACTCGACAGGTCTATCACTGTCAATCACAGGCAAACTTCAACCAATCAGATCAATAAACCATATGACGTAGTCCAACTCTTACTGAAATCAGTCGGGAAAAGAGAAAAAACATCTTTTCCATGGAGAAAAGCCTTAAGTGCTGTTCGTTGGTCTTATTTCAGTGAAGAAATACTCTCCAGTTCTGATAGAACTTATGCTAGCAGCATCTACGCTAACCCCTTTTAGCAGCCACCATTGTTGTTTAATGAACAGTGTCTCTCTGCGCCATACCTAGGGCCCATCCCCATAGCTGCCATTACTTCCTCAAAGGATGCTGATTGGTCCACAAACACATACACTGGCAAAAATGGTAATTACAATTACCACCCTAGCTCTGTAAATGAGGAACAAGCTGGGTGGCTCTGACTGAGCAACCCCACACTAACTTGTTATTCCAGTTAGGATTTATTACTTACTACTCACTTTCTAGTTAACCAAAATATGCAGTTGTTGTGATGTTAGCTATAGTAGCAGGAGAGCTGGGATTATTGCTGCCTGGAGCTGGTGTGCTGGCTCTGGGAAACCAATACAACTAGTAGCGGCTGTGGCTCAGAGGAAGAGCGGGTTGTCCACTAATTGGAAGGTTGTTGGTTCGATCCCCGGCTCCTCCCACCACATGTTGAAGTATCCTTGAGCAAGATACTGAACCCCGAATTGCTCCCGATGCACAGCATCGATGTATGAATGTGTTAGTTTCTGTTCAATGGGATTTGCCATTGCTGAGTGACTGTTCGTGAAAGGGTGAATCTGGCATGTAGTGTAAAAAGCGCTTTGAGTGGTCGGAAGACTAGAAAGGCGCTATACAAGTACAGGTCCATTTACCAAGCATACCATCCATCCATCCAACTCATCCTCTCTGCACGTAAGCTGCACAGCAGAAACTTTGTCAACAGTTTGCAAACCCACAACATACTATAGCTAACAAGTGTACACCAAGACTCTCTCATGGAAACCACTTGGATAAGTTTTGAGAATGGTCGAAACACATACAGTACTACACCAGTGCAGGCCAACAACATATACAGCACCTGCATTTGTTACTTTCTCCATATTGTGTTGTGACATGTTAATACTCACTTGGAGTTGCCCATGCTGTCCAGCACCACTTTTCCACCACGACAGGAAGGGTATCGGTTGTAAAAGAACTCATAAAGCATTCCATCATCGACCTCTGGTGTCAGATCTCCCACAAACAGAGAATACATCTGACTGCAAAAAGAGGACAAAACAGAGGCTGGGTCTTTATTCCTAGTGCAGCCAAGAAGACATTCAAGGTAGATATTTTAATCAGGGTTTCTGTAGGTTTTCTTTAAGATCATTATGAATGCAATTTAAGAACTATCTTATTTTAGGATTAAAACTTTTTTAGACCCCTCAAACACTCTGTTAATCAGTATGACACACAGACAGTGTCATCTCTGATATGCTGCTTCTCCATCTGGTCTCACCCACTGTCTTGCTTCCCAAAGGTGGCTCGGTTTAACTTGAATCTTGTGGGCTGTAGGAGAGAGACATTTAAGTCCACCAGTTATTTCTCAGGAACTTTAATAAGAAATAAAAACATGGCTAGTGTGAGTAAATGCACTGCGTACCGGATTGGCTCCAGGTAAAGCTTTTCCGTTGATTTTGCGGAGACATCTCTCAGCTGTGGCCTCGTCCGTCATCTCCACAAAACAGTAACCCAGAGCACCCCTGGGTGACGACACACTGTTTAACGTAAGAATAGAACAACTGCAAAAAGAGAAAAGTGCTTGCGGATTTAGTTCTTACCCTGTCATCTTGTTGCGTATGATCCGCACGTTGATCACCTGCTCACCCATGGTGGAAAAGGCTCTGGTGATGAACTTCTCATCCATATAGGTCTCTAGCTACAGAGTGACAGAAAGACATGCAGTTAACAAAAACATTAAGTTCAGGTGAATCGCCATCATTAGACCACTTAAAGGTCCGGTGTGTAGGATTAAATGGTATCTAGTCCAATCCAATCCAATCCAACTTTATTTGTTAAGCACTTTAAAAACAACCAAAGTTGACCAAAGTGCTGTGCTAGCGGCATAGTTGACTCTGCAATTAAAAAAAAAAAAACAGAGCCACATTTTTTTTTTTGGCTTGAAAAAATATCTCACAATTGGGCACCCAGTTAGCTCAGTCTGTAAAGCTGGTGACCCATATACGCAGCGGCCCGGCTTCGAATCCAATCTGCAGCCCTTTGCAGCATGTCATCCCCTCTCTCTCTGCCCCCTTTCCTGTCTATCTCCAGCTGTCTCTCTATCAAATAAAGGCCAAAAAAATAATACTTAAAAAAAAAAAAGTATCTCATAATTGTGACATAATAAGTTGTTAATTTAAAAAAAAAAAAAAAAAAACACCTTTCACCAGGAGGTTATTGATAGTAAGATGTTATAGAGGTTAAAGTAAAACTTGGCAAGATTTTTTCCCCCACAAATCTAACATGGGAGATGTTAGTGTAGTCCAGGTTTGAAAAACATAAGCACACTAGGTTTTAATGTAGACCTGGTTTCATTTCGTACCTACAGAAGTCAAACTGGAGCCTGACCGGGATCATTTTACATGATCAATTTTTTTTTTTTTTCAATGATCAAATCAATATACAACAATTAATCACAGCCAGCCCCATTTCTTCCCTTGATGTTGCAAATAGTGGTCGACCGATATGGGTTTTTCACTGGCCAATGCTGATATTTAGAGAGCAATGCTCTCAAGTAAAATGTTTCATTTTACAGAAAAGTCATTTTCTTATGCATTAGCCTATTAAAAGCTATTTAGGAAGTATAAGTGTTCATTGCTCTACAATTAACAATTATCAACCACAACAACAAATGTAACTTGAGTGAGGGGCTAAAATACAATTAAAATATGATGTTCCAGGACACTTGGTAACCCTGTGAAGGAAAATAGAAAATATTGTATTGCAGTATTTCGTTTTGTGATATTATATCTATTCTCAATAGCACTGTATTGAATTTTTTGTTTAAATCCCAAAAAGCGAGATAGCTTAACGTTAAATCGAACCTGAGCCCTGTGTACATGTGGTAAATCCAAATGCAGATCCCATCATAATACATCACCTTGCTTAGAGTATTGCAATATATCACACTATACTGAATTGTAACCCGTGTACACTGATACAGGCCATGTATCGTATCGCCATTCTTCCCAATACACAGCCCTAATACTCATTGTTGAGTTTGTGTTTTTTATTTGTTGAGTTTTACTGTATTTTAAAGGCCCATCTAGGGACGACCATTGTAAATTAGCTTAAACTATAAATGTTGTGGTGTGTGGCAGTTGTTTAAGCTATACAAATACATGTCCCTACACAAATAAACAAATACAAGATGAAATCGCCATTTTTACGTTTCCTCAAACCGATGTAACCCTCGTGTAGAAGACAGCAGACTACATTACATAAAGCGTTAGCCGGTTAAAAACGTTACACTTAATCGGAATGGAGTGCGTTTCCAGTGTGCCGAATTGATCAGTAACTTTCAGCTACTCGATACAAAGTGGTATCCAACAATAAGGCAATGTTAAAGTGCTGCTTTTCTAAGGTTCTGAATGAACGTTGCGTTCCAGCCATACACCGTACCGTGTTATATTGATTTAAAGCTAACATGGTGGTCCAACTGAATGATTTATGGCAGTATAAAATGAACAACTCACGTTCCCCATCCACAGCGTGCTCATGGTGCTGCCGAAGATGTGAATATGAAGTGAATTTACAGAAACAAGTTGTCAGTGAATTAAGCTGAACCTTCAAAGATGCACACGCTAGCTAACTTAGTAACGTTACAGGAGGAAAGTACACCAGCAATACCTCCTGACGTCATCATTTTCCTCTTTGGAGTTTAATGGCGGTTGGCAAATCAGCTTAGAGGTACATTGTCGCCACCTACTGGATTGGAGTGTGGAGCAGTAGCTTGGCAGGGAACAAAAATAAAAAACAAAACAGCAGAAGGTAAACACAGACAGTAAAAGAAAAGATCATGCCAGGAGACAGAAATCATATATTAACCTTATCTAATTTAATTTTCAAAACTTAAAAAGATGGTTTATAATTGAAAAATTTGATTTGTGGGTGTGTGATGTTGCAAGAGGTAGGATCATGTTGATGATATAGTAGCCTACTGATTCAAGAGTAAGAAAAACATTGCCAAACAATACATTTTCATATATGAAAGAGTAAAATCAGAAACAATATGGGAAATAAAAGCACAAATATCTTTCCAAAACGATCATGAATGGGGACGAGATCAAAATAACTGACGTAAATCTTCTGGAGCCACTTGACAAAATGAGCATGTTACATAAATATATTTTCATGTCACAAAAGCAATTAATGATTTTTAAAGTCACTTCCTTGATAAAATATTTAGACACCATATTTTCTTCCAGTCCAGATCAGGATATAAGTTACTCCAGTAGGAAACTACATTTGGTACAGAGACCACTTGTTTTTGAAATATGGCATGTATGTCAGAGTTATTATTCTTATATTAGATTTATTACTTACCTTGCCTTTATTAAACTTCTTCTTAACTTCTAACACAGGCATCGGCAATGGTTGGTAAGTATACCTAACAATGAATCCAAGCAGCATACTTAAACAGGAATTTTAAAAAAAGAGAAAAGAAAAACAAATAAATCATGAAAGCAAACTAATCTAAAAAACAACAATACCTATAAAAATAAGTTATCACAGTTCTTGTCAAAAAAGGTGCAACCTATAATAAAGTGAAAAGGTCTAGGTGCTATTGGTGTGCACATTATGGCCCTTTTAAATACATGAATAAGGATGTGTGTAAATCACTCGGAACACAAAGTAAAATCTTCTCGAACGTTATATCGTATTCATACACCTGAACTCATTGTAGTCCAACATATTGTTTTTGTCATCCATTAGATGTTGAATAGACTATTTCCCCTTTCTCTATCCATTCTTTAAAATAAAGCAACTTCTTCTTAATTATTACACATCCATTGATCCAAATTGGTGTATTATGGGGAGAGAAATTATGTCTATAGATCAGCTTCCATTAATAGAGGACTTGTTGGTGAAATGTATAATTTGGCTGACTTTAGGGATTCCCCTCTTCACTTTGAACCTTTTGCATGTGCCTAAAGGTACATGAACAAAAACAACAAAGATAGTTGATTGTTAAGATTAATTGCCAGGTTGTCAAATATTGACGCTAGGCTCTTAAAGTAACCAACCAAAAGTGTCTTTCTACCTTTGGTTCCGATTGGTTGTGTTAGTTCAGCCCTGGTGGATTCTTGCAAATGTCAACTGGATAACTAGGAGGAGGAACATGATCTTTTCACATATTATCAGTCTTACGTACTTTTAAAAAATATATTTTTTATTTTATTTTAAACTTTTATTAAATTTGCATACTGCAGCTTTAAAGTTAAATGTAAAAAAAAAAAAAAAAAAAGAGGAAGAAGCAAAAGAGCAATGGTGCATCCTGGTAATCACTTTAATTCACTGGAGTTTATTGACAATTACAGAAACTACTGGATGAAGTCTGATTCTCACTGAAGACTGCAGATGAGAAACACAAGATCATTTACATGTTCCATAACAAACTAAATAACTGATTCTGGCTTCCAATACCTAAAATAAAACTTGTAGAATGTTGTTTATAGCTTTAAAATGATACATTTATAGCTATACAAACCCAATTTTTCCAATATGTAACAAGACCTGTATTAGATAAGGCATACAGACAGAAAAACACAGCTGTATTGTATGGGTCTGGGGCTGTAACATCATTTGCAAACTTGTACCAATTTATTTGAGATCCCCTCCAGACATGTATTACAACATATACAAATGATAGGTTTGGAACAATAATGATCTGATATGTTTTTTCCACAAAAAAAGTATAAATTCCATGGATTTTAATGATCCTCAGTACAACAGAGGTTGATTCACATCAAACATTTTAATATTTATTTTATAGTATTTCTTTAAAGGTCCAGTGTGTAACATTTAGGAGGATCTATTGTCAGAAATAGAATATAATATTCACAGGTATGTTTTCATTAGTGTATAATCACCTGAAAATAAGAGCGGTGAGCGGTGCTCAGTTAGTTGCAATCTACAACTTCCCTGCTAAATGCTACTAAATCCTACACACTGGTCTCTTAATGAAGAGTGAACTCCTATCACATCTCTAAAAAAACAGAATTCCACAAGCTTTCAGCCTTGTTGTCCTTGTTTTTAGCTGCATGTCTACTTCTATGTTCCTCTAAATGTGTCTTCTGTGAACTGTGTGTAAGCACGTTGGGAGCAACTTGGAATAAAATTCCTTGTATGTGAACACATACTTGGCCAACAAAACTGATTCTGACTCTAACCTCAATGCCCTCAAAGAAAGCTAAGGCCTTGGATCCAAATCAATACAACATGTGGTTGTAATATAGAGAAGTTTGCAAGTCATGTTATACCACACACACCTCATAATACACCTTGGTTAGTAGTATTATGTTTACAAGCAAAACATATGCAAAAACCACAGTAGAGATATAATGATCAACTCCATAGACAAATCAAATAATACCCTACAACCCTGGAACCTTTAGGCAACTTTGAAGCTGTACACAATGGAAAGGAAATATTTGAACTGTTTTCTCAATTAGGGTACAGTGTCCAAACATACTACAAATAAGGTGCTGCTGACAGACTGTCACTGCTAAAACCATCACTTCCAAAAACAACATCTGTATATACAAATATAACTCAAATGTACTGGTGTGACAAGGATATGTCCATGAGACACTGCACATATGAAGGTTAATGTTCATTCATGTGATCTTGTGAAAAGTAGTAGTAAACAAAACAAGTCCATTTATTACTGTAGCTTCCTAGCAGCAACAACTGAACTCCGGTCCAATCTGATTTTCAGAATTGTGTGCACACAAGTTAAAGCTGCAGTAGGTCACTTTCACTATACAGAAAATCTGTGGAAAAAATAAGGTTCCTCTGGCTCCTTCTAGTGCTCCTAATAGCATTTGCAAGAATCCACCGGGCCTGAACAAAAACAACCAATAAAAGCCGCTTTATGTTGGAGGCTTGAAGATGGTTGATTGTTCAATTCAATTCAATTCAATTCAATTTTATTTGTAAAGCGCCAATTCATAACAGAAGTTATCTCAGGACACTTTTCAAATAGAGCAGGTCTAGACCGTACTCTTTAACATTAATTACAGAGACCCAACAGTACCACCATGAGCAAGCACTTGGCGACAAGGGCAAGGAAAAACTGCCTGTTAAAGGCAGAAACCTAGGACAGACCCTTCGGCTCTAGGTCACTCACCCAATGGCTTATACTACTTGTTGGTATGATTTGATACAGGTAATAAGATAAATGTTTGCATGAAAAGTCTAAAATACATAATTGAAAGCTAACACCACACAGCTTACATGTGAAATCATACACAGAAGAATACAGGGTGACCAATTCCCCTGAAACTATAGTCCATCTTTAATCAACAAGAGTGACATATCAAAGCCCAATCAGATCTTTAATGATTATATGAAAGTTTCAAGTGTCCGTGCCCTCTCCACTGAGGGGCAGGTATGTAAGGCAGTGGTCCAATAATGGAATTGGACTTATTCTCATCTAGAAAGGAACAACACAAATTAGCTCTGGTTCTTGAACCACTTCCATTTAAGATTGTAGGATCTGTGTGCTATCTAAACCAGCCTGTTTTTCCACAAGTTTTAAGTGGAATTAGTGTAATGAAAGGATGTGTCATCAACTGAGCACACTGCACTTGGGTTCCCAGGAAAAAACTGCTCTTTTTAGGTTCCAACTGGGAACCAACTTTTTAGGTCCCCAAACCAATTTAGTTTTGGTCCAAATGCTCAAACAGTTCAAAACAAGGTAAGTGAACCGGACCAAAGCCAGTCACCCTGTTGGTGGAAAAGGCCTAACTGAGGAAGCAGGAAACTGAACCACACTACAAATATCAATGAACAGGTGCACGGTAGGCTATGGAAGTCAAGACTAGGTTTTTAGGCCTGACATCCCATTTTAATTACTATAATAACCATCTTGAGATAAACAGTTTTGACATGACCACAATATAAAAGACCTTTTCACAAGCCAATTTGACATAAAAATAGTAGAATAAATGCAGTTTTCAATTATACTAACTAAGGTTCTGTCCCTTTCAGTATATCAGAGCCTTTCCCGTGAGCCAACATGCACAACAGCAGCCACCCTGACCTTCTGTTGTGGTTTGGCCTTTTGTTTGCACGACAATGCTGTTTTGTGAGTCTGAAAATACAAACGTTTAAAACCAGCTTCAAGAGTGCCATCTTTTGAAAACACCACCCTTGCCATGGCCACGTAAACTGGCAATATACATTTACTGTGAAAATGGTGAAGACACAGTCTTACCACGTGTATGACTATTATGTTTTCAGCAAAACAATGTGCCAAGCCTCCAAAATATTGGTGTATTTTGACTGGCATTATTCACAAATAATGTTTTCTGAGTAAAAACCTCATTCATCATCCATCCAGACAAAATTAAGAAAAACTGTACGTTTTCAGGAACATTTTTAAAACAAAGTGAAACCTTTTGTTTTTAGCAAAATCGTTGCCGTGTAAAAACGGTCTCTGTTTGACCTGAATGTAACGGAACCTTCATTAGTATCATTGGTAACACCTGTGTTGATCCTATTTTGTCATGTCAGTATGGCTGCTGTCGAAAAGGTCTATAATCTACATTTCTCACGATACATATATCACTACACTATAATTTGCCAGCTATAACAAGAAACTGAGTGATTATGTTAAGTCTTCCACACCTTTCTTTGAAAATGTGAGGAGAGATGAATGGTGAAACCCAGGTGGACAGACCATGAAGTACAGAAGTCAATCAACAACATAATGAGACAGCAGGACAGAGACGTAAACAGCTGTCAAAATTTGGTTGTCTTTTCAATGTAGTCGGGCCTAGTACATAGCATATCTAAGTACAGGAAAGGAAAAAGTTGACAAGGTTCTGACTGAGGCTTACTCGCCTGTTATTGGAGCACAGTCAATTGACAGATTTCTCTGAATGTTGTGTAAAACATTTAGATAACTCCTCCTAGTAGCCACTACTGTAGCTTCTGTGTTGACTGAGAATGATGTAGTTTGAAACAATAAACTAGAAATAAAATTATCTTAAGAAAAAAGGCAGTCAAAAAAACTGTAAGTGAACCATTTGTTATAGTTCTTCTCAAGCATAAACAATATTTATCATTCCGCAAAACACCAAGGTGTGTTAGTGATTTCTTTGTTATTTCTTCTCCACAGGTTGTAACCAAAAAAAAGAAATGTTGATTAGCACCACACCAGACTTGTCGCTGAACAAACTGAAAGATAGAGAGATAGAAAAGTCTGGAACCAGGAAACAAACACACACACACACACGTTTGTAAGGCTTGTTACATTCAAAACTGAACATGTACAGTTGCAAGAAAAAGTAGCGAACCCTTGGATTTAATAACTGGTTGACCCGCCTTTGGCAGCAATAACCTCAACCAAACATTTCCTGTAGTTGCAGATCAGACCTGCACAATGGTCAGGAGGAATGCTGGACCAGTCCTCTTTACAAAACTGTTTCAATTCAGGCACCTAGTTAACTCAGTCGGTAGAGCTGGCGACCCATACACTGCAGCGGCCAGGGTTCGAATCTGACCTGCAGCCTTTGCTGAGTGTCATCCCCTCTCTCTACCCATCTTTCCTGTCTGTCTTCAGCTGTCTCTGTCAAATGAAGGCCAAAAAATAATAACTTTAAAACTGTTTCAATTCAGCAATATTCTTGGGATGTCGGGTATGAATCGCTCTATTGAGGTCATGCCACAGCATCTCATTCGGGTTGAGGTCAGGACTCTGACTGGGCCACTCCAGAAGGCGTATTTTCTTCTGTTGAAGCCATTCAGTTGTTGATTTACTTCTGTGCTTTGGGTTGTTGTCCTGTTGCATCACCCATCTTCTGTTGAGCTTTAATTGGTGGACAGATTACCTTAAGTTCTCCTGAAAAATGTCTTGATAAACTTGGGAATTCAATTTTCCATCGAAAAGCCACAAACCATGATGCCCCCTCAATCATACTTCACAGTTGGGATGAGGTTTTGATGTTGGTGTGCTATGCCTTTTTTACCTCCACACATAGTCTTGTGTGTTCCTTCCAAACAACTCAACTTTGGTTTTATCTGTCCACAGAATATTTTGCCAGTAGTGCTGTGGAACATCCAGGTGCTCTTCTGCAAACTTCAAACATGCAGGAAAGGTTTTTTTGGACAGCAGTGGCTTCCTCTGTGGTGTCCTCCCATGAACTCCATACTTGTTTAGTGTTTTACGTATCGTAGATTCGTCAACAGAGATGTTAGCATGTGCCAGAGATTTAGCTGTCCTTAGCTGACACTCTTGGATTCTTCATCACCAGTCATTTTTACAGGATGGCCACTCCTAGGGAGAGTAGCAAGTGTTGAACTTTCTCCATTTATAGACAATTTGTCTTACCATGGACTGATGAACATCAAGGCTTTTAGAGATACCTCTGTAACCCTTTCCAGCTTTATGCAAGTCAACAATTCTTAATCGTAGGTCTTCGGAGAGCTCTTTTGTGCGAGGCATGCTTCACATCAGGTAATGCTTCTTGAGAATAGCAAATTCAAAACTGGTGTGTGTTTTTTATAGGGCAGGGCAGCTTTAACCAACACTTCCAATCTCACCTTATTGATTGGACTCCAGGTTGGCTGACTCGTGACTCCAATTAGCTCTTGGAAAAGTCATTAGCCTAGGGGTTCACATACTTTTTCCACCCTGCACTGTGAATGTCTACATGGTATGTTCAATAAAAACATGAAAACATATGATTGTTTGTGTGGTATAAGTTTAAGCAGGCAGTGTTTGTCTATTGTTGTGATTTAGATGAAGATCATTACATATTTTATGACCAATTTATGCAGAAATCCAGGTAATTCCAAAGGATTCACATACTTTTTCTTGGAACTGTACATACTGTATATACTGCTCTATTTATCAGTTAGATGCATCATATATGTTTCATTATGTGCACATTTAAGTTCCATGTCTTTAAGTGTAAGAATTTAGGGTTAATTGACACAAATAACTCATGAATACAATTACTTAAAGCTGCAGTAGACAACTTAAAAAATAACTTTATGCCATATTTGTTGAAACTTTCACTCTGATTGGTTGTTTTCATCCAGGCCCGGTGGATTCCTGCCATTAGGAGCACTAAGAGGAGCCAGAGGAACCAGATTTTTTCGAGGTTTATCTGTCTCATATACTACTGTCAGCAAATATGACAAAAAGTTATTTTTATAAAAGTAACCTAATGCAGATTTGATCTATCTTCAAAACTGCACTAATCTATATTTCTATATAAATAATGGATCGAATGACTATGTGAAAGGTAAAAGGTGATAAACCCCTAGAGAATTATCAGCACAAAAGAGCTTATTAGCTTCCTCCAGCTCAGTTTGCAGTAAAAAAAAAATAACCCCCTAATAACTCCTTGTACACTACCTGCCCAGCACCAAATGAACCAAGTTGGTGGCTGGTGACAGATTTGCCACATCAACATCAACCATTCTAAGGTGACAATATGTCAGATATTGTTTTCAGCTTGTTGCACTACCCACAACTGTTAAAGAGAAACTTTAAAGCCCCCATACACCCATAGTTCACCCACGCAGATGTTTTAACTTTTGTTGCTTAGTTAGACCTCTTCTCAGGACTGTTGCTCCTGTTGTACCTGTTAGGGTGGGACATCTTCATTGTTATTATTATACATTTTATTAGTATGCAGAGTTTGGTGACATCATGTCATTTCCAGCATAGCTCCAAACAACATCAACCTGACAGGAGGTCTGATCAGCCAGAGTAACTGAAAACAACTGTGTGAATGTGCAGGGCCTTTAACTAAAAGGTGTGTGATGGAATTCAATAGAAAAATGTTTTCTTACATTTTTACAGATTTCAATTTTTAAAAGGTCCTATGTGTAACACTTAGGAGGACTTATTGTCAAAAATAGGTATATTTTCTTTAGTGTATAATCACTTGAAAATAAGAATTGTTGTGTTTTCGTTTCCTTAGAATAGACTGGTTTTATCTACAGAGGGAGTGGGTCCTCCAGTAGCCCAGAACACACAAATAAAACACTTGCTGTAGAAAGGGTCTTAGCATTTTTTTTTTTTTTTTTGCAGTTTTGCTGCCACCATAGATTCTCCTACACTGGAGTGTGAGGTAAGTGCTACACTGCTAGATGCCACTAAATCCTACACACTTGTCCTTTAAGAATGGTAAGTGAAGGAGAAAATGAGCAGTAGTGTTATTGTATAGAAACAACGTTTTTGGTGGAACACAACACTGACAAACGAGCAAAAGTCAACTTAAAGATACAGTAAAGAAAGAAAGCAAATGTGCAGTACAACAGGATAAGGTAAAACAGGTTGAAGACAAATGACAGATAAACAGTGTTGGATGAGAATGTCTAGAGAGCAATACGGATGCAGGAGATCAGTCAATATAACAAGGTATGCTCAACTCTCCCCCCCCTCCCTCAGTCCATCTTCTCCTTGTGAACCAGTTTGGGGGCATCCACAAAGTCTTGGCCGTTAAACAGGATGATAGTGGCTGTAATAGCACTAGCGGCCCCCCAGAACATCACATAAGCCAGGGTCTCGGTCCACGTGTCACCTGGAAGATAAATAGTTGTCAATTATGCTGATTTTCAAAACCACAGTAACTTGTCACCTGAAGCTCTTCAGCAAAAGGCCTGTCTACTCAGGAAGTGATTCAGCTATGGATTTTAAGTCTACTGGCTGTTTCAGTGCAAAGCTAACTGAAACTTGAAACAGGGTCAAGTCTCTCTCTTGGTTTTGACTTGTTAAACCATTCACGTCGTTTTTTCATGTTATGTCCATCATGCGTTTTATGTAATAGTCTCAGTGTTGGGAAGTCTGCAATGACAGGGTTCCTATCAAATGCTTTAAAACTGAAATACCTAGCCTGTTTTGAAAATGGAAGGAGCAGGAAGTACAGATATTTATGTAAAAATGTAGGATTAAAAAAAAAAAACAAGTAAAGTACAGATACCTGTATTTGGGTACTTCCAACTTCTGCCAAAAACCTCTTCATCATATTATCTCAAACCCTCTCTCCCTACCATCAATTTCAATTGACAAATAAATGAACCAAACTGTATTTTCAAACAAATCAAATGCAAATCAGAGTGCTTTACAAGTGATTGACAAGACATAGATTGTTTAAAAGAAAGTATTTCGAGACTAATGCACGCAAAAACAACCAAAAGCAGACACAAGACAACAATAAAAAAATCGGTAGTTAAATTGGTAAAATAAAAGTCTGAAGATATTTATTACACTAGAATTACACTAGTATCACACTAGACAATGCGTCGCCTGCAAAACCATAGTTCCTATGGTATAGCATCCCTGGCGTGTGCTCCTCTCTTGCACTGTGGTTTTCTCAGTCATCGATAGGCTTGTTCGAGATGAGCCAGGCCTGCGCAGAATCGACCACCAGCAATTACCACACAGTGCATGCTGGTTAGATTTGTGTCCAACTTGGCAATGAGACCCTAACAAGATCGAGGTGGCCGCAGTTTTTAGAAACAGGCACTGCAGTTGCTCTCCACTGACTGCAAGACCGAGGGCATGATCGGGAAACGCCTTGCTGTCGCCTGATCTGAGAGCCGATTGGCTCTTAGTTTTGACAACAAATACCACATTTTCTTGATTTTCTGTGTGATTTTAATATTTCACTTTATTAAACTAGATTGTAGCTGTTCCATGTTTTATTTTGTGCATTGAAGGTTTAATCTGTTAACAAACAGATCTTGTGTGGTTGAAATAATAAAGTTTATTTATGTCTGCAGCTTTTTGTCACCGCCTCCTGCTGCCGCTGTCTGATCTTGTCCACTTTCCAGGAGAGGTGCAGTTCATCTCAAACAAGCCTAATGTCACACTTCACCAAGACAACCAATCAAATCAAGCAAGAGGCAAGCTTTATAATTTTTTTCCTGTTTCGATCCCCTTTACTTGACTATGAGAGAGCTACAGCAGGGGTGTAGTGGAGGGTAAACCCAAGTGACATGACGGTGGCCTTTACATAGAAGGCAGGTTTTAAGACACTTAAAAGCTAGCTTCACTTTTCAGACCTGGAAGCACTGTCCATTAAATATACTGTCAATAGCTTCAATACAGTTTTTCTGTTAATCATATTTTATAACCCGGTGGCGCACGTTGCCTCGTTCCACAGGCACACCAGTTGTTTCTTCTCCAAAGCTCATTGCCAAGGCAATTGAAATATTCTTTAATAGAATTATTATATAGAGTAATATCTGCAAAATCCATATAGAAAAGGTCTAATTAGTATAAGCGTCTAGATAGGAGTGTAAAATGAGCAGAGAAGAACTTACCAGCCATGAGAAGACAGACGATGCACATGGAAAATGCCACTAGCATAATGATGGGCAGCTGCAAAAAAAAAAAAAAAAACATGAACAGGATTCAAAGGATTAGACTAAGAATCACATTCACCACTGCTGCTAACATAGAAAATACTGATATACAGACCGTGAGGAACTTCCAGTCCTTCTGCACACGAAGAGGAGTGGGTCCATCAGACTCATCGACCGCAAAGTTACCCAGAAACAGATCAATGGAATCCTGAAAGCACACTGACACCTTGACTGGACTGATTATACACACCTTCATCAGAATCATTTTCTTATTGGGCTTCACTTCACAAAGTTTCATGGAAATGTTAAATGTGGAAGGTTTAGGGGACCCCTGTGTCATATTCTACGGATATTTCATATTAAATTCAATGCATGACAATAAAAGTAGAGAATAACTGATAAACTGTATAATGAACATAAATAGTGAACAAAATAACTGACGGAAGTTTGTGTAAAATTTGCTATTTGGATGAATTGTGAGCAGATTATTTCCTGTGAATATTGATGAATATTTTAGGAACTTTTTATACAATCATAAATTCTTCTTTCTTCTCATTGTTCTATTTGCTCTTTGGTTGTTTAAACTTTTCTAATGTAGGATTAGGCTGTTTATCAGCGAGTGAAGGCTTTGTGAATATAGCTTGTGTTCAGGTCTTCATGATCCTGTTTATATCTTAAATAATAATCTAAACTTTAGAAATAACAATTTTGTTTAGTTTTCTTCACAGAAATGAACAAGATAGATAAACGCCTACTGTGTAAATTTTGTTCATGTTTTCTTACACACCTAAAACTCAAGAAGGCCTCGCAACACCACATGAAGGTTTGGCGACCCCCTAGTGGGGGATGGGAACAAGTGTCTTAGACTCTAGAGTTTATAGATTGCATGAGCAGATTGAGAACTCAACATGAACATTTTACCGCATGGAATGATATGAAAATTTTCATGATTATCATGTTCAAAATAATTGTGATACACAATATTATCCCAATAATCATGAAAATATACTTCATCAGAGCGGTTGTTTGGTCTGCGTCAGAGTTTGAGTTTGGCATTCACGCCGATCCAAATGAACTGCACCTAGGGGGTAAATATTCCAGCATTCCGTTAAACCGGACTAAAAACGGCTGGTGTTAGAACAGTAGATTTCTCTGGTACTGTTCAATGTTTAAAGTATTATTTTGATAGAGAGACAGCTGGAGATAGACAGGAGAGGGGGCAGAGAGATGGGGGGTTGACATGCAGCAAAGGGCCCCAGGTCGGATTCGAAGCCGGGCCGCTGTGTATATGGGTCGCCAGCTCTACCGACTGAGCTAACATGGTTAGCCATGGTACTGTTCAATGGTGATGTATCTACAACAAACCATGTCATTAACATCATACCTGTCTGAATCCATCAGAGAAGTTGTTTTTGTAGTAGCGTATCATGGAGTTCCAACCATCCATCAGCAGCCCCCACCTGGTCCTCTTCCCCGTCCTGATGGAGTTGGAGTTGGAGTTTTGATTAAACAACAGCCGTGATAATAATACTGCAGGGGGACTCCAGACAACAACACACGCGTTAAGTCAACTGATGTGTGGTAAAGGATGTTACAGTACTGTACCTTGTGAAGTCTGTTTTCAAAGCTCCAGTTCCTGCATACTGTACAGCGCATGCATTGGCATTGTCAGCCCATGCTGGTTAGAGATCACACACAGAGAACAGTGAGGGCACACTCAGAGGCTACACTTACTAATAATGACACAGTACATGCCAACAGTCAAGCATACAGAAGATATTACCATTCTTGTAGATCTTTTCAAACTCAGCCTGCTCCTCGATCCTCTGACCCACATTCAGAACGCCCATCCTCTGTGGACCCAAAGGCATATGTATTGTGCCAGTGGTCAATTTAAAAATAAAAAAAATGACTCAAAACTATCAGTTTCAAAAATAACTTACTAGTCAACTAATCTTTATAGCTCTAAGTGGTAGTTGGGTTAAAAATACCTGAAGCTGAGACTGTAGGGAGCGTCGGGCCAAGAGGCTCTGGATCACGTTGGTCCTGTCCAGGCAGTCCATGCAGTTACTGCGGAAGACTCCTCTCTGCTGTGCCACTGTCTTCTCCTCTGAGTTCACCATGAAGTAACTACACACAAAGAAATGTCTGAGTACTCCTTTACAGTATACAACTAGATATTAGCCCAGAACAGGTGCTGGTTAAGTAACCTGTATTCATCTTGTGTCTCAGCAACAGAATCCACCAAGATCTGGAGACGGTCCCATCTCATGTGGCTGCACTCTTTGTGGAAGTCAAAGGCTATGTAACTGAAGACAGAGGAGACAATGCAAGACAGAGTCCAATCGGCAGGTTAAGTGGAGATTTCTTGATCAAGCTTTTTTAATCCAACAGCAATTCTTTTTTACAGAGGTGGCAGACATAGTAGTAAAATAGTAAATGGTAAATGTATTTATTTTGGACTATTTATTCTTATTTATTAAGCATATTTCTAGTCTTTTCAACCACTCAATGTGCTCTACACTACATGCCACCCTCACCCCATTCACACACATTCATACACTGATGGCAGTGGCTGTGGTGCAAGGTGCCAACTGCTCACCAGAACGGAAACTAAGCACTAAGACTTTGACATGCAGCCGGGAATCGAACTGCCAACCTTCCGATAAGTGGATGACCTGCTCTACCTCTGAGCCACAGCCGCCCCTATGTATGTAGTCATTAGAGTAAGTGGGGGAAAAACCACCTGCATAGTAATACAATCAATATGTCTAAATGCACTTAAACAAAAAGGCTCTATAACAAAGGATGCTGCATTAGAAGCTTCGGCAATGGTATGAAATGGTAAACACTTCCTGTCTCTAAAGTGGGCACTGTCGGTTTTCTCCTGGTATTCTCAGATGTGAAGCCTCTCTGTGAACTGAAGGTGTCACTCACTCACTCACTCACTCACTCACTCACTCACTCACTCACTCACTCACTCACTCACTCACTCACTCACTCACTCACTCACTCACTCACTCACTCACTCACTCACTCACTCACAGGATCAACATTAGCTAGTCACACTTGAGTATATTGATTCCGATGACACTTTTACACAGATAGAAAGCACCCAGACATCAAAAACTGGCATGTGCACGGCCCAGGACAGGTGGACTCTGCAGCTGGTGATTAAAACCGCCCAGATCATTGATACTCTGCCAGCCAGCATCAGTGATATTGGTGAGGTGAGGTGCCTGTGCAGAGCCAGAAGGATACTAAAAGACAGGATCAACCCCAGCCTGTTCACCCTACTGCCATCTAAGAAGAGTTACAGAAGCTTCCGCTGCTGTACCACCAGACTTAAAGACAACTTCTTACCTTAGGCTGTAAGACCGCTTATTACAACCTGAATTTCTTTATACAACCCTGTGTTTTAAAATGACATAAAATTATCTTAAATTATGGCTAAAACCTTTTTTGAGGACCTTTGACCTTTGAGTCAAAAGTGTCACCAGTCCATCCAACTGTAATAGGGTCTCCCCTTCTGTTCCTGAGATATGGAGTTGAATAACGGCCAAAAAGGACATTGTAATATCAGATTTTTATTTTTGGTCATTCTTGACAATAGGACAGCACTTGATCACAGAATGTTTAAGGGACACCCACTTAAGCTGTAAGCTCACTTTCGTGGTGGACTTTTCTGAATTGACTACAGTTTTCTTCTAAACATAACATCTTTTTGGCCACGGCACAGACATAGATCATTTCCAGGATATTTGGTCACATTAATCAATTTCCAGATGGACAACAAGAACACATAATGCCTCCATTGGATCATAAATCACCTCTGAGATCTGATTACTCACTGGCATGTACACATGGATTTACGGTCTCCGGGATACTACAGTGTATGTAAATGCACTTATTGGCACCATAAGTGACTGTGTAGTCAGTGAAAAGAACTGGAGGAGGCATTGAGTGACACTTACTTGAGCATACCATTGTTCATGCCTGACACCATCTTGGCAAAGGCCTGCTCTAGTGGCTTCTCAGAGCCCTTCTGATTCACCTGGAAAAACAAGAAAACACAAACTAGTGTAATAATTCTGCTTATATTTGCTTTTAAATAAAAAATGAACAGAGCTTAAAAAAGGTTTTCACCAGGTTTAGAATACTCTGCTTCCCATAGATGAGGAGCTGAGAATCAAAATGCCTCTGGAAACCATCCATCTATACAAAGTTTTCAAGTGGTTAGCGTTATTTTCATACTGACACAGAAAAGTACACAGAAACATAAAGCGTCTCCTCTTACGTGATTGGTGGTTTTGCTGATTATAGGTTTAGGTTTGTATTTGAGGTTGGGCCTCTGACTCCAGTAAAAAGGCATGGAGCCTCGTGTCTGGGGAGGAAAAAAAAAGTTTGTCTTGAGAAGTAATTTCTGAAATCTTGCACTTCTCAAACTTAAATGTTTTAACAAGAACTAAAAATTGCACAGAGAGATATAGAAACAGCCAAGTAAAACGCAATTCTAATAATCTTTCAAAATGTCTTTTTTAAAATCTTTTTCAACAGTATACTTGCCTGTACAAATGAAGCCTTTGCTCCCTCGTACAAAACTATCTGCTCAGTCTCCACAAAGTTAGCAGCATGGCCTTCAGAGTCGATACCTGTGGAGATAACCGAACCAGGAAATCCATAAGCAGTTAGTAGTAGGGATGTATTATTGTATTGTATGTATTGTTAGTAGTATTTTCTTTTTGAGGCGTCCCAGAGTGGCGAGACTGAAGAGACTCGACACAGCAGAAGCGCTGTCTGAAAGGCAATGCTACTCAGTATCACAGTTTAGCAAAGACAACGCTTCAGTGTCTTCAGATAAGATAAGATAAGATAAGATAAAATATACCTTTATTAATCCCCCGTAGGAGAAATTCAAGGTACACACATCAGCATTGGGGAATATAGTGCAAAAAGAGTGCAGTGTACAAGTACAATCTTATCACAGATAAGAATATTACAAAATATAACAGAATATAAAACTATAACTGAAAAATATATACACTATGAGCAATAAGCAATGTGCAAGTACAATGGTGTGCAATTTAAAATATTTTAAGCAGCTTAACTGAAAAACTAAAAAACTAAACAGTTTTACCTCTAACGTAGTATCTGACGCCAGCCCGGAAACAGCTTCTCCTGGATATGAGGATCCACTCAAAGATCTTCCCGTTTATACGACATGGCTTCATAACGATGACTGGACAAGGAGGGTCAAGGAAAGGCTTGGCTCAGGAACTTACGTATCTCATCTCATCTACAGTGTGTTTTAGGTAAGACGAAATGCTCCATTATGGATTACAATAGGCTAACTATTAAAACATTCAGTGGAAAAAAAGGATACATCCATGGACAACAGGAAGCGCAAACTTATGAAGCTATGAGGAAAAAGTGATAGTTATTAAAAAGTGCCAATCCAGTCAGAAATCAGTGTTTCTTCTTCTCCTTACAGTGTGATGTTTGAATGATGTCTGTGCAGAGTTTGACACTAGACGGATGTTCTCACAATCATCTGCTGAAAGTTTCTCTGTGCTCATTGAAAATCTGATGTTAAGGGGCGGGGCCTACCAGCATGATTTGTGACATCACAAATAGTTTGACAGTCATCCTGGTCCAGTATGCAACTTGTACAGTGTGACGTAGAAACTTGAAGCCACCAGTGCACATCCACTGAGAATGGTCTTTACAGTGAAGTAGGAGACACGTAAACTAGCATATATTAAGAGATTTTGAGGATAATTTTTAAAGGATTTTCATGTGGAAATTACTTTTTTGTGGTAAAAACATATCAGACACACATTATTGTTCCAAGCAGATTATTGTGTATATGTCTTAATACATCTGCATCTGCAGGGATCTTTAAATAAATTCACAAATAAAAAACAAAAACACAGACCAGCATGACAGAACACAGGTTAAAAGTGTGTTACCTCTGGCTGCGCAGCCAGTTCTCTCAGGAGGTTCCCATTCCACACAAACCTCTGATCTGCCTGAAAAGCACAAGCAACATGATTGACTGAGTAACATTATCCATCAGTCGAAGAACAAAAGCATAAGGTAGCACTTTGATTATTCTTAAGTCATCAGCTAATGTAACTATAACTAAAAAATGCTTATGTTATACACAAATTATTTATAGATATAGTTACTATTATGGGAATCATTTGAACAGCAATTTAGGCAAGTGAATGCAATTGTCCCATATTTGTAATAAAAAAACCCCACTACATTATGATCCTTTACAAATCATTCATAAGCTTAAGATAACTATAAACATCTTTAAGGATGGCAAGTTTCTATATTTTTCTTGCTGTCAACAAATCCAAAAAAAAGACCAACCCATTAATGTATTAGTCCATCTCTCAATATTTTTTGACTTCCCTAACCTTGCAAAGCACTTGCAATATCAAGTTCATCCATTTTTCTAGGCTTCAAGCTATGCACTTGTGTCCAACCGCATTGGTTTGTACCAATCAATGTCCTATGAGGAACTACTGGCAGCTACAGCATGAGCTCGGAAACTGCTTTAGTGTGGATTCAACTTGATCCACAAACTGCAGCCTTGCATATGATCATTTAGTAAATGTTAAATGGATTGCACTTATGTAGCACCTTTCTAGTCTTCCGGCCACTCAAAGTACTTTACACAACATGCCACATTCACCCACGTTCATACAGTGATGGCAAAGGCTCATCAGAAGCAGTAACAAATTCATTCACACGCCGATGACACAGCATTGGAAGCAATCTAACCGCCAACCTTCTGATAAGTGGATAACCTTCTCTACCTACTAGTCACAGTGACCTAGTTGAATCAACACCTTGCTAAAACAGTCAGAACATTATAACCTTCATGGAGGGTGGATTTATTGTTTCAGAGTGCATTAAACAGGTCAAATCAAACAGGTGGAAAACCTGTATTGGTTGGAGACTATATTCAACAGCAGATTAATCAACATTTGATGCTCTAGTGAGTGTTTGGAGCAGCAGGACGGTGTATGTGGAACTGAATCAAAGTACACTACAGTTTTCATGGTAATGAATGAACATGTTACCCAGTACAATAGTAGTGTGGCTCACTGATGTGTTTTTAATAGTTTTTGGACAACAATGAATCACTGTGGCACAGAGGAAGGAGATATACGTATCAGGCTTTGAGAAACACACAAGACTTATCAGTAGACACATTCAGTGTTGGTTTGCGTCTGCGTATGGGATTTGCTCAGAATAAAAACAAAAAAAAGCACAATCACCATATTCCTGATTTATTACTAATCATTGATGATGACCACTAGTAGCTCTACCAGAATGTGCACAAGGACACACATAAATACCACAAATACATGGGGTGACGTGATACAGATTGCCAGTATGAAAACACCACTTATGTTCCAGGGTGTATTTTGACATTTCTGACCAAAACCACTTGAATGCGTTGGTGTTTATGATATGATAAGTATAGTGTGGCCTTCTGTAAGGCACTTTATTGGATATCTCACCCTCTCCAGCAGACTCATCTCCTGGAAGTCAGGGCTAGTGTTGGCCAGCCGTTGAAGAGTGTGTGTCAAGTCGAAGTCAGTGCAAAAGTAGAAGCCATCTGTAGTCAGCACATTGTTAAGCATGGACAGGAAAGTCTTATTTTCCTGAGACTAGAAGAGGAAAGAAAACAGACTTTAAGTTTTCAGGAAAACTCATGATGATATACAAGAAAATCCAAATGTATATGTGGTACTGGTACAACTAAATATAACATATAACACAACATATACATATATATATATATATATATATATATATGTATGTATGTGTGTGTGTGTGTGTGTGTGTGTGTGTCTATAATAGCCGAGAAAGTCAGGGAAGTTCAAATTTTTTACCTTACATTGCAACCCTTTAAACACATTAGCAATAAAGAGTCATTAATACATAATAATAATAATAATAATAATAATAATAATACATTCACATTTAACTACCTGCTTTTGGTGTGGAATACCTCAACTTTCTTATTCATAATTAAATAAATAATAATAATTCAATTTTGAATTTTAATACTGTAATATAACACCAGGACTAACTAGCTCTATGCTGCAATACCACAACAATATACTTCATTATGTCAGCATATTCTACATGAGTCATCAACAGGTGAGGATGCTGACTTTTTTCAGCCTGTGTGTGTGTAAGAATAAAAAAAAGAGGGAAAAGAAGAATTTCCCCGATAGGGGATTAATAAAGTATATATATCTTATCTTCCTCTTCTCTATCTTGATATCATGTATGTAGCAATCGTGAGCATATTTAAGACCTTTTTATAAGTGTCCATTTGAAAATTGGTCAGCTGGAAACATTCAAAAGTAAGCCAGAGACTGCATTTTTAACCAACTCATAGAATTAGCTACAGCTGATACAATATTTTGTCATATTAGCTGATAAAACTGGACCTAAAATAATCTAAAATCAAGGAATCATTGTTTAAAAAAAAATTATACATATATATCAATGTTAAATCTTAAACCATCATCACAGTAAACTGCATATGTGCCATGCTAGATACAATTTTTTGACAGGCATAGCAACAGTAACTAAGGGGCTTAGTGAAGGGTCAATTTAGACCTTGTTCAGATGTTTAAACTGATGTGCTGCTGGGGAAGCCTAGTGTACCACTGCACCATTCCATTCAGTCTTGTGAAGAGGAAACCAACAGGGCTGAGTTTCATGCTTTTTGAGCTTTGTGCATCTCTGCTGAGCTAATAGGATCTGGCTGCTAAGCCAGTTAGCACAGAGAGTGAAGCCTGACGTTACCCCTCCAATCTTGCACAGCTTTCTTACATTCTTCTCTTCCTGCTTTACCAGGGATTATACTTCTAGACCACTTGTTACTACCATAATTAAACAATCACTGGTATTTGTAAAAAAATAAAATTAAAATAAAAAACAAAAAAATCTAAATCCCATACACTCTAATCTACAACAACCAACAGTTTATTGTTTTCCATTGCTATTTTTAAACTGTGTACAGTTTTATGAACCACATAGTTTTCAGCCACGGCTCCCCTCTCAATTAGTATACCTCCTAAGAATAGGAGCAGCAGCAGATTAATAATGTACTACCTGCTTCACTGAAATTAGATAGCACAGTGTGATTCCAGACTGCAAAGAATGACTAATCCTGAAATATGAGGTCTCAGTCAGAGAGAGTCTGGACATATGTCAGACACCCATAGAAGCTGTCTGAATTTCCAAACCACTCAACAGAACAGAGTGATTGTCTGCTGGACAATTTAACAGTAACACCAGTATTCACAGCCTACTATCACTTAACCTAATCAGGCAACAACAATCTGAAATGGATTGAAGACATAGTTTGAATATTTTAAGTGGACCTATTATGCTCATCTCCAAGCTCTATATTCTTATTCTTCGGTTGGTCCACATAGACTTGATGACTGTCTCACTGAACTGCTTACTTAAGTGACCACACAGTGCTACACATATTTGATATGTCTGTGACATATTCTACAGATATAGACATTGAAACTGTAGTGAAAGGTGAATATGTTGCTGGTATAATGTTGATATGACTATGAACAGATATAATAATGTTGATATGACTATGAACAGACCGCTTTTTTGTTGGGAACCACACGTGGCTTGCAGAAAAATGCAATATTGCAATATAATTGCATTCTGAGTTTTTTGCATTTTGCCATTTTTTATGTGCAGAATGAAAATGCAGATTTTGAGTGAATGGTCTTGCTGACCTGAATCTCTGAGAGATGCAGCACTGTCTTCTTATAAGAGATCACGTCAAAATCCACAGCCTTCCACACTGCGTGGCCAAGGAGGCTGCCCACGTTCCTCTTCCTAGTTATGACGATCAGGTACATCCCTGTGTGGTGTAAGGGGTCAGTCAGAGTTGTTTTATTGTACACGCTCAACAGAGCACTGACAAACATAATGCTGTATCACCATGGTACTTACCTGCTACCAGGCGAATGGTTCCCATGATGCCACATATAGGCCTGGTGACTGCTGAGGGAGGAACATCTTTTTTACCTGTGAAAGCACCACAATGCTTAAAAAGTTAGAACAAATCATTTAACCTTCTATTTAATCTCAACATATTCCTGTGTGCTGCAACAATTAGATGAGACACATACTTCTATGTATACCCTGATAATGATTAATGATTGATGGAATGATGACGAATTACTTTCCAAAAAGTTATTTTCTTTGTTTGTAAAGGGTTTGTAAAAAAAGTAATACTTTGTACACAAAGAACAAAACACTGTACAATGGTTCAACCAGACTGAAAGTGAAGAGAGAGACAAAGATCCCTCTGAGCAACAGTTCAATAAGACTGAGTATGAATGACTAGAAGTCAAGAATTCTCTGAAATATCTAGAGAAAACAGATATTCGCCTGAAATGGCAATTTCAGTCTGAATATTGGCAGAACAACAGATTCCCAGAGGACTCAGAATGAAAAAGAAACCCAAACTGGCTAACCAAGACCCCGGATTTCAAAAGAAGTGGGAACAAATTCTTAATAAGTGCTCGTTAGATTTGACTTTACTGATAATTGAACGCTTTGAGTTACAAGAATTTAACTTTGAAAAACATCTATTAGAACACTAATTTCAACCAAGATGGAAAATTAATTGAAAGAAGAACTCTCAGGATGCATTGAAGGCATACATAAAAAAGAAGTTTGAAAGAGAAATGGAGGATTTTAGAAGAGGAGCTGTTTAAAACAGGACTCTGATAAAAAAAAAAATATGCTTGGCACAGCCAAGGACTAGGATGGATACGTACTTTAAGGGTGCACCTGGACCATAGCCGCCCCACACAGTGCAAGGAGCTTCTTCTCACCAGCGAGGAGGAAATAAGTGCGTCCTCCACTAATGAATGTTTTTTAGGGGGGAAAAGCCGTCCACAAAAAAGAAAACCAGGAGGGGAAAGAGGAGACACCAATCCCACCAGGGGAATAATAATACGGAACAGGAACTATTGGTAATTGACATCTCTGATCACACCCTGACTACCTCTTAATACCACCTTAATGTTTTGAGTTGCAGATTATAATTTGTCCCCACTAATAAAGTCAATGCATTTAAATTAAAAGTTGATTCATATAAATTCTTTAGACAGCTACATTTAAAAAAAAAAAATAATAATTCATAGCAAGGCAAATGTTAATACAGGGGGAGTAGCAGACCTGCTGAGCAAGTTCACTCAACTCCATACTTGATGCAGTAAACTAGTGGAAAATGTTATTGAAGCAGTTGTCAGATAAGGATGTTTTGAAATTGGTGGCAGACATCTCTATGCTTGACAACTCCTATTTGGTATGTTTTGACTTGAGAGTTTGTACACCAACATCCCACATGATGGTGGATTAGAAGCTATGGACTTTTATCTTGTACCCAGGAAAGATGCACTCCCAGTAGAACTGCTAATGTCACTTACTAAGTTTATCCTAAAATTAAATTACTTTATGTTTGATAACAAGTAGTACCTGCAATCTTAGGCTACGAGTATGGGTTCACCTTTGGCCCCTAACTATGCCAAATGAGTTTCTGGGAAGACAGTTATATTTTCTTCAATAACCCCTTTGCAAATAACATCTTGTTTTTAAGAAGGTACATTGATAACATCCTTATGGGGTTTAATGTTCTGAGGATGAACCTAGGGCAATTAGTGACTAGATTATTAGCACTTATCCCACTTTGTATTTCACTATGGAATACAGTCTTGAAAAAATTTTGATTAACCAGCTCTTAATGTGGGAGGCATTTTGGATTTAAAAACTGAACACAACTGAAGCTTATGACTTAATGAAGCACAGAATTTGTGTACATGTGATTTTGACCTTTAGGGAGAGATGAGACATAGGTCCCCTGGCCATCCCATTTAGTGGTGTAGAAGGACATTGGCAGGACCTACAGGATATTACAGCTGTAGCAAACCTGAGGAAGGTGCAAGCGTAACGTGCTGTTCGCTCTTAAATAAGTGTGCGGATGTTAATTCAGATTTTTTTACGACATGGTCCTCCTGTTGTTTGCAGTGCATGGGGAGTTTTGATTATGGGTTAAATAAGAATATAAAGAAATCAGCAGTCATTGGTCAAACAGCTTAGAAAATCTATTCTTAAAACCTCAAAATAGAAACAGAAGTTTGGTGTAGGGTTATAGCACTATCAGCTGAACTCCCTATAGACTGACAGATCACAGTTTAAACCTGTTCAATATGACCACTAGACTGCAGAGGGACCAAAGAAAAACAGGTTTCCTAAATATTTAGAACCCAGTTGCATGGTTGTGGTGTCTGATATAGGGCATGCCTTGCTAATACATGCAAAGAAAACCTAGGGTTCAAAGCTAAGAGAGGCACCGATATGTGCATGTCAACCATAGCTAAAACTGTTTTTTCTTTGTAGTGTCAGTAAGAGTCATTCAACTTTCAAAGACTTTTTACCTGTGAGGGTCATCTCATTGGAGACCCTGTCGATTGCCAGCACAGCATCAGCCCCCTCATCGCAGGCCTCAATGAAGAATTTCTCTGGGGTTGTGTGCCTGGGAGAGAACAAGGGAGATGTTAAAGGGTTTTTCATCTGGGGATAAAATTCCAGCGTGGAAATGTTAAGTGAGGTTCACCAAGCAATGTGTTACAGAATAAGGCCCTGGGATGTTAATGTTCTCCTCCAAAAATATGGCCAACTTATAGTGTGGCAGAAGCACAGACAGCAAGAGGTCAAATGCTGAAAGGGGCATTTTATCATTTCGGCTGTTTTGCAGTGTGAAATTTGGCCAATTACACATTTGGCCACTTATTTCTGATTTCTCTTCTTAAAAGTATATTTCCTCATTATTCCTCATTTCCTCATGTGTTCACAATTTGATTTGCTGTTAATGCAAACGCAACACTTCCTTCAGGTTTATCTGTTGTCTTGAAAAATTCAGTCTTTCTTGCCAATACAGGACAGCACTTGCTTACAACGGTGGTCAGCATTTATGGACACCGTTACACTATGTGTTAGCTTGGTTTCTTGCTATGCTTGGCTGCTCTAACCACAGTCGACCTTTTTGCTGTGGCATCAGCAGAGCAGAGTTGCAGTATCTGGCAAACTGACTACAATTTTACTTTACGTAAAAGTGCATACATAAATCAAATCAAGTAGAATTTATTTTATTTTACAGAAAATGTATCTTCTCACCTACTAGCCTATTAAAAGAAGAGGTAGGACATATTTGCTGCAAATACAATTTAATCATTAATAGGCTTCATGCATGTATAAATATGACCTTCTACAGCCTTTCCCAAATAGAATGCCAAAAGTTAGCTGCAAGTTGTGTGAACAGCTCTTAACTGACATGGGAGCAGAAATGAAAAAGGACAATTTTCTGTTATGCTTTGCATCTAATAAACCCACTTTGAAGTGTCATAGCACGCAGCTCATTCTGCCAACAGTTGAGTTTCAAACAAAATACATACCCAGGTTTACATAATCTGAGTGAGGGGCTAAAATAAAAATTAACATAGTTACTTTCCAGTTTATTTGGTCATTTTAATCAATGTTTCCATGACTTGAAAACTAGTCTCTAAATATCCAGGTTTTCTAGATATTCCTGTTCAGTATCTTGCTCAAGGACACTTTGACATGCAGTGAGAGGAGCTGTGGATCAAACCACCAACATTCTGATCCATGAACGACCTGCTCTACCTCCTGAGCCACAGCACAGTCACAACAGCCCCATCACAACAGGCCCAGAATGATTCCAACTGAGGACCTTTTTTTCATGTTATCCTCTTACTTTTCCCCCATGTTTCCTGTCTGTCTCTGCAATCAAACTGCTGAATAAAAGCAAAAAACTAAAAGTAAGTGCTTGAACATATAAGTCAATTGAGAGAAAAATGTTGAGCTTGGGATATTAGCAACAGCTTGCATTAACACACAGTTTTAAATCCCTGCAGGAGAAAATGTGGCCTCCTGTTTAGCTGCAGTGACGTTTGGAGCTCAGGGTGATGTAGTGAAACACTCAGTTGCTGCAGTGAGACAATCACACAAACAGCCCATTGTTGGCCTTCCATAATCTAGATCACACTAAACATGGCTGTGCTACAGAAACACAAAATAATATGACTGAGACACTAACTATTTAAGCTTTACAGCTGTGCTGACCATTTTCCAAAGCATACCCAAGTGCTTCAGATTTTCTAGAACTAGAACTAGTTCTTCCAATTTATTTCAGTACAGGTTAAAAAACAACTTGCAGAGACTTTAAACTTCATCATAGTAAACATAATAATTCCCTTGCTGTGGTAATGTGGACTGAATAAAACTCTTACCTCTGCAATGCATCATCATGTCATAATAACATAAGCTTGAAAATAACAAACAAGACATGACATTCACTGGAATTAAGATTTCTCAAAATGATGAACACACCATTATAAAATGAGTAAAAAAAACAATTGCTGCCAGGAATGTGAAGAAGAGTGTTGGGTGATATGTTGAAATTTTCCAACCGGCCACCATCAATCCAACACCCGGTCACTGCCGATATATTTGCACATGCCTGTGCTGTGAAAATATTATGGCTCTACACCTCTTCCACTCCTCTCAGTCCCTCTTCTGTCCCTGTCTGTCCCTGTCTGTCCCTGCCTATCCCTATCGTGTTCTCATCTTCAGTCCTGGTTGGAGCCTCTGTGAATCAACTTGTTGATCATCTTAATTCACTGCAGTTTGATAAGTAAATATTCTGTCTCTATAGCTGTTTTTCCTCTCACTCCTTTTTTGGCTGAGTGTGTGTACTGCACTGCTGAGAAGCAGCTATAATTCTTCAGAGGCAAAACATTAAATAGGGAAAATACAAAACGCACAAAAAAACAACCTGCCATAGACTGCCTATCGCAGATATTCGTCCAGTGTGTGCTGGATCTAGCGGTGCGGTGTAATAGCAGATTACAACCCCCTCACCTCACTCTCACATTTAAAGGGTCACAGTTACCAACAACGCAAAAGACCTTCCCTGGAGCCCCTGTTTGGTTTGTCCGCTCTGGGCTACTGTATAAACATGGCGGCCTTTGTAGATAAGAAACACCTATGAAAATTATATTCCATTTCTGACAATAGATCCTCCTGAATGTTAAACACTGCACCTTTAAACTCTGGGGTTTAATACTGGGGCTGAACGTAGCTTAACATGCATAACAGTCTAAACATCCTCAGTGTCTGAGGAACACTCCCCATCCTTACCGACTAAACCTGTCTAGGTAAACCTGACACAGTACTGACAGTAGGAAAGACAGGTAGGACTTGCTCCCAGTTTGAGATAGTTGACCTGTTTGAACAAGGGTGTGTCTGGAAAAGTACAGAGAACTCTGTCAACTTCCACAGTAGAAATAACAGCGTCCTCTTCACAGACAGCGAGTGAAGAGTGAGAATGAGCGTGAGAGTGTAGCAACGTTTTCAAAGAAATGTGCGTCATGAAGGAACTGTCACATTGCCACCCCTGAATGGAACTGACAACACAGCACGATATAAAATTGATTAAACCATGAATAACCCTGTGCTGCTAGCTAGGTTAACTAACTTTATACATCTAAGTTCGAACCAAACGACCAACCCCTCATCATGAAGCTTTAAACACCTCCTGCCAGGCCTATATAAAGGTGGCAATATATACTGTTCATAATGAATGAGTGTGGAGTGAAACTTGACTGGTTCCTGCTCCACCAGCACAGCCTGTCAGCGAACTTCAGCCGCTTTGTCATCCAGCTAACCGGACGCTACTTCTCAACTGCAGCTGCTATTTACCGCAGCCGCGAGCTTTCCCCCTTGTTTGGCTTTTAACAGACTTAGCAATAAGAAGAGGGAATGCAGAAACGATTAACTATATTCTATGTACTTACAAATTATATCTCTCGTAGGCGGTCGCCATCTTCGCTCCGTCTACCTGACCTCAGTGACGACAGCAGTAGGTTCCGTGTTGTGTGTGTTGCCAGATAAGAGTGCAAGCAGCAGACAAATGTTTTTTTCTCAGGGTGGCGAAGTCATGGCCCGACCTACTCTGGCTCTGATTGGCTACTACTCGTTGGCTTTATTGGTTGAGCTGGTTAGGTTTAGGCATAAGGAGTGAGATTGGTTAGGATTAGGGTAAGAATGTCAGGGTAAGCCAATCAGAGGCAGAGGGCGGGTTATGCCTTCGCCATCCTGGGGGACAAATCGCAACCAGTAGAAGGCGTAGTGCTGAATATACAGCTTCCTCTTCCAACCCAAGAGAACCTGGCACCCATGAAAGGGGTGAGGTTGGGTGGTACTTGTAGTTTAACTAGTATGTAGTATAGCTGCAACTATGGCATCTAGTGTTTTGCATGTGGTATAATAATTCAAATACTGGAATTAGTTCAGGGTTTTTCTAGTCTTAATTAATACTGAAAACTGAATCATTAGATATAAGCTAATATCTTGATTCAGCGTTAAGGTTGAGTACCCTGTAAGCTATGTTCTCTGTATCGGGGTGGATTTACAGAAATATTCATAAGGTGTCCAGAGGGTGGCATGGAGACTGGGTGGCAGACATATATGTTGATTTAATCACAAACAATCACATATATTGATATTGGCTTGTAAAAGACCAAAATGAAGATATTTGAACTCATTACATTTTTGTGGCACATCAATAAATTGGATGCATTGGATGGAAATCAATAAATAGTATTATCAAGAAATCTTCAGATATTTGCCCATTGAAATTCATCACATAGTCCAAAATGTGGCCATAACAGATCATTAAATTATTTTCTTTGTTTTTTAAAATTCTATTTTTAAATAAATGTGTTAAATTTGACACCAAACTGGAGTGGTGGCTGGGGTGGCCAGGCATGTATTAAAGGTTTAATGTTTACAATTTAGTAGCATCTGGCAATGTAGACCATAGACAGTATATATAATGGACAGAGCTTAGGCTTGTGGGTTGTCACTGTTACTGAGTCTGTTACTGCGTTCATGTTTCTTACCTAAAATCACAAACATTTTTTAGTGTACTGTAATCTGTAATCCAAGATCACGTGTTACCAGGCGAGCCGCCATTGTTTCATGCTATGAGTCTAAACTGCACAGTCAATGAGCGTAGGTCAACTGCAGTAAGTCACCTCCACTGGCTCCGTCAAACTCAAGGCTTCAAAATAGTACTCCACAAAGCGATGGGTTATATCACGATAGGTTGAAACTTGGTGTAGTGTAGAACATTTTGGAGGATCTATTGGCACAAATGTAATATAATATTCCTAGGTATGTCTTCATTCGTCTTCATTCACCTGAAAATGAATGAATGCATTTTTCTGATGTTAAACTCAGAAAAAAACGAAATTCTTGTACCCCAAAAACCTCAGAGACTCACTGTCTAAAGATATAGTTACTCTAGACTATTACCTTGGCCTCTAGCACCACTGTCAGGAATCTTGGAGTTATATTTGATCAGGGTATGTCCTTTTATTTCCACATAAAGCAGACCTCTAGACTGCCTTTTTTCATTTACGTAATATTACAAAAATTAGACACATCCTGTTGATTGCTCCTTTGAGCCTGGAAAGGGAGGGTGAAGCAACAGAGTTTGGGTCTGCAACAACACCGCTAGATGCCTCTAAATCCTACACACTGGACCTTTCAGGGTGGCAGCTGCTACCCCATGCCACCCCTCTAAATCCGCCCTTTGTATGACATACAAAAACCTGCAAACCACTTTTGAAATTCCCGACTTTTTTCTTACTTCTGACTTACTTCTTGACCATAGCGTTCTATTGATATGAAATCGTCCTAAAATGTACAATAAGTTAACTGACACATCATCTACCGCTATTATAACTTGTACAAAACAATCCAATATCAGTGCCTGAAAAGGACAAAATATATCCATGTGAATAATATAATTAATGACCATTGTGTATTTAAGGTGTTCCTGAACATTTCCTTTTCCATAAATTTAATTTATGGTATTTGCTGTTTAAATTGTTGTACCGTCAATTTTGGTGAACGGCAGAAACAGGCAGTAATCAGAACACTAAAAGCCCGCTATGCTGTGAAGGACCGCCTATATAAAGCATGAGCGGACCACAGTTCAGTCTCTTGTTGGCTGCTCTCCTCGTGTTAGGATGTGTGCAGTAAATCGTCAGGATTTGTTGTCTAATATCGCATAGCAAATAATGGAAGATGAATCTAATGGAGCGTGAGACTCTTCCTAAAGAGCTATTGAGACGTAAGAAGTAATTAGTGGGCGGAATGGGATGTAGAGGATCGTCTGCAGCTCGTGCTCATACTCAGCACGTGGTATGGCGTCAACGCCATGCTGTAATAGAGACGAAAGAACCAGGCTACAACCGGTGAGATCTCCCAGAGACTGTCCTGAAGAGCAGAGTTTGCAGATGGATGAATAAGTGAGTGGTTATTAGACAGTCAGGGTTTAAGATACATTTTTGGCAGAGAGGTTCAATTTTAACTGCTGCAGTTTTTGGTAAGTATACATAGTTGTATGTTAATTGTAGTATAACTAATAGGGATGAGCAGTGCTGCAGTTTAAACAGAATGCAATAATCAAAAATAAATCAATATAAAAATTCAAGCTTCCGTCTGGAGACTCTGAGGGGTTCCAAGGGGTCCCCAGTTATGATTTAGCAATTTCAGTGATAAGTTAGCCCAATGAGAATGTCTAAGTGACTATTCTGTTCAAACGGTCCATACCCTTCACTGTTAATCTATTCTACAGTAAAGTATGTGACTCTTAAAAAAAGATACTGGTCTGTTGCCTTGTATGTGTCAATTTGGCTTACCTTTATACAAAGCTTAGAACCACTGTCCCAGAATGTAGACACTATTTGCAAGAGTTGTGGCACTTTCTTAACTGATGTTTAGGGAGAAATGTTAAGGATATACAGTCATTGTGCAATCCCACCCCAATAATGAATAGTTAGTATTTTAACAAGTTTCTTTTAAAAATCTCATGAGAAATGGCAGTGATAATTTTTAATGTCCTCCTCAGATCACTGATCTCTCCCTCATGACCAGAAAAATTTCTTGACTTCACTGGTTACTATAGCTACATCTGTGTGGAGTATCTTCCCAAAGATGTTTGAGTTGTTTTAAACTGGTGCCAATGTAGCTGTTAAATGTGTTCATTAGACCTAAAGGGAACTAACACAAGTGTGCATTTTTTTTTATTACAGCATACAAAAACTTGACTGTGGTGGAGTGAGCAGTTGGGACTGAAGCCATGAGCCAATGGTGAGTGCCACATGGTGGATGCTGCAGAATATGCTGTGAAAACCAATATGCTACAATGATGATTCACAAGACTAGAGTCTCTGATTATACCATGAAGCTCTTTCACAGTGCACTGAGTATGCTTACTTATTCTGAATACAAATCGCAAAGATTAGAACTGGTTATGATGCTGTTCTCTGTATTTACAGGTGTTTAAAGTGGGGTGACTTAGTTGAAGACTGGCCTGCTAGGTAAGCCTGGCATCAAAGGTCCTCTGTTCTGTGTGTGTGTTTTTTTTTTTTTTTTTATGTGGAATGATGATTTCATAGACTAGAGTCTCTGATAAAAGCATGAAGTTGTTTTCACAGTGCACTGACCACATAACCAGTGATCTGGTATGTTGAAACCCATTTACTGCAAATCATGTAGCTCTTATAATACAATGAGTTTTCAAAGCACTCTAGTTTGACTCTGACAAGGCTGTCTAACATTCAACATCACATTGAAATCTTTTGGAACAAAACTTGCTTTATTTGGTCTGCTTTTACTAAAGCAGCATCTAGGAAAATATTTTCCAGTCAACTAGTTGTTGAATGTTTATCAATTTAAATGCATACATTTTAACAGCCGTTTTGTTAAATGCCAAAAGGAAAAGCAGTAATGATTCTGAATGTGTCAGAACCAGGGAAACTAATTTAAGAATTTATTTCAACAGTGTCGCATCAAACAAGTCTTGTTGTGAAACAGAATAACTTCACAAATACTTATACATCTTTTTTTTTTTTTTAATTTACAAATTTACCAGTTACTACAAATTGCCTCCTCTGCTGTTCATGGCTCTGATGCTGAATGAGGTGCCATTGCCTGCTTACCTGGCTCTGGTCCTCATTTTTCTGTGCTAGTAGTATAAACAAACCTCCCCTGTCCTTCAAGCTCCCCGTTTGGGTAGAGTCTAATAGGACCACTAGTAGTAGTCGAGACAGACGACCACCCACCTGGGGTCTAAGGATCTGTCCTAGGTTTCTGCCTTTTTAACAGGCAGTTTTTCCTTGCCACTATCCAAGTGCTTGCTCGTGGTGGTACTGTTGGGTCTCTGTAAATGTTAGTTTGGTCTAGACCTGCTCTATTTGAAAAGTGTCCTGAGAACTTTTATGAATTGGCGCTATAAAATTGAAAAATAGCTTTGTGTTCCAAAGCTTCACCTGCTGTTTTTCAAAGTGACTGCAGTAAATGGGCTGAAACATCTGACTTAACTGGTGTGTGTGGTCTCTGAACTTGTCTGTGTTTTGACATGTGGTGGTAATGATTTAACTTTCTTGCAGCTTATCCACACTCTGAAAGAAGGAAGCAGTCTGCATGAGGTTCCCACAGCTGTAAGTCAACCTCTGAAAGTGAAGCCCAGTTCATTTTGAATGGTGTAGTGGTTAATGTAGCATGGTAGATGAATAAAGACCTTTTTATCCTGCAGCTCCACTGTCTGTGTGGTCAATGATGATTCAGTTATTCGGTTCGACTGATGTTAACTGAAGTTTACTCGCAGCGCACTGAGACCTCAGACTGTTTGAAGAATTTGTGGAAGCCAAATACTGATTATGAAATTAATCACCATTTCTATCTTGTCAGAGAAGCCTGTGGAAGCCCAACCTGGATTACATCTGGACACAACAGAAGGACCCGGTTGGTACTGATAGAACAGTTTCTCCTTACAGACTATGACTTGTGAATGATTCTAAAGTGCTGAGACCGTAACCCTCAAATTTAATATACTTTCACAGGTGCTGCAACTTGAGTTGGGACTACAAAGACTAACATGAAGTCTTCCAGGAAATGGATGCGTTCGTAAATCGGTCATTTAAATAAGTTGGCCTGTGGGGAACGGCACTTGAAGAGGAGTTTCCTGTATTTGTGCAAAGCTGTTCAAATAGTTTACCATTGAAATGCAAATGTATTTAAGGAAATGTCAAATAAATGGTTGACAAAGACTCCAGGTGTCTTCAGTGGTGGAAGTTTGACTAAAATATCTTCACAAGAAGCTAATGCAGCTTTAGGACAATGTGTTGCACTTTCTGGTGGGAAGTGATTTACATTATCACTGCTCATTGCATTGTAGATTTTGATCAAATGATCAATAATTTCTGCAGATTAAATGAGAAAGCTGTTGGAAAGAAGTTTGCCTAAATATACATTTCTGTAGCTGTATATAATGCATCTAATGTACATAATACTACTTTGAAATGGAGTTGGTGTATTGTTTATGGTACTATTTAGTATGAGAGATTATGTGGGTAACTACTGGTTTGTCTGCATGAAACTTTACTGATTTGTAGTTTAAGCCAGAACAGTTGCATAAAGTGGCTTGCTTGATAAACTAAATGTAAGCCTGCTTTTACACATGGCCTTCTTCACTGTAACCATGTTTCCATGAGCTTAACCTATGCATACAGTTTGAAACTACAGCCATGTGATAGACATACTGTACTTGATCATTTGACTGTGCTGCAGAGGTAAAGTAGGTAATACAGGTGGTGAAATGTAGTATACATTTACAAATCTGAGGTATCTGTGGTGTTCAAAAAACAAATTAACTTAAATTCTTATGACCACATTAACATAGATCTTTATGTTCAGTGCAAAAAAGTCTGAAAATAAAAAGTAAAACCATGTATCAATTTCTAATGCCACTTTTAGATACATTTAGACTCAATGTGCTAATGTGCCACAGAGTTTGATTATCTTGATATCTTAATTTGGGGGCTTTGCCAAGCAAATATTTACATGTAATTGTGATTAAATCAGCATATATTTCTCCCACCCCTTTAAGTCTCCATAGAAGAACAACCAGCAGATGAATCCATAATTTAAAAAAAAATAATTAACATCCACCTCAACCAAATACAAGATAACAATGCAGCTTAAACATTAATGAATGAATAATCTAATGATAGACAGATGCTCATAGTGGTCATTTCTCTTCTGCATTGAGTTTTTTTTACTTTGAGTATACTGTAAGTATGTTTTCCTGATATTTCGTGTGTAATTTTACCAAGTAATATACTCATGTAGGACCTTTAATTGTAGTATATAGTATAGTATTTTTACTATTAACTTTTACTAATACTTCCTCCACTACGGTTCATCATGACATCTTTTAAATCACTTCTCAATTTTTATAAAAACAACTTTTTGTCATATTCACCGAAACTTTCACTATATCCTGACAGTAAGACAGATAATCTGTGAAAAAATCAGGTTCCTCTGGCTCCTCCTAGTGCTCCTAATGGTATTTGGAAGAATCCACCAGGCCTGAACGAAAACAACCAATCAGAGACAAGAAAGATAGAAAGAGGCTTTAAGTTGGTGTCTGATTGCTGAGTCTCATTCCCAGAGTCAGTATTTGACAACCTGGGAATGAAACTTAACTATCAATTATCTGTCTTGGCTCTGATTGGTTGTTTTTGTTCAGGCCCGGTGGATCCATTGGTATTTATTTTTTAAATTTTGTATCATTTTGTTAAATGTATTTTCCCCAGTACAGTTCATTTACAACATGTTGTTAACTGTATTAGTTTCATTCTTAGTATTTATTTTTCCTGATGGGGATCTTTTTATTCTACCTCCCTACTATATGATTTGAATTGTCTGATTCACCCTGGTTCCGGCCATGTAAGGTACAGCAAAAGTACTGTATAAATTGTATTATTATAACGTTAAGTTTATTATTACTTTCTACGCTCGGAATAAATGCTAACTGTTAGTAGTCTTTGTGTGTAACAAGTGTTATGTTTAAAGGACAAATCCCAGTACACGACCCTTATAATATTATATTAGCATGAACTGCAGGTGGTCATCCGTGGTTTTATTTTGAAGGGTACAACTGAACCGGTAGTCCGTGATCTTTTGTTCTCGTAGTCAGGTAGACGTTTGAGTCGAGCTGGCAAGCGGACCTGTCCCTATTTTTTTTTTTTTTTGCTGGTTAGCAATGCTGTTAGCCAGTTAGCTCCAACTGGAAGCTGCCTTGATTAACACGTTGGTGTGTTTATAACACGGCGTCAAAAAGTTTAAGAAGTTGTCTGTGTGTCGAGTTATTTGATGCTAACAAAGCGGGCTAGCTATGGCCCGACAAACTCAAGCTAACGTCGCTGTAGGTGATCATTTATTATCAATTATCAGACTAACAACCGCCCGTTAAGGTAATTACAGACACTATGTGTTTTCTATACATTTGTTTAAGCTGACGTTCTATCCAATCTTAGTTCCTAGTAAAAACCTGCAGGTTAGCTAGCTGAGACAACTATGAAGCCCTGTGTAACATTAGCCAACTTGCATTGACGTTGACGTGGAATTTGGAAGGAAGGTGTAATGTTTAAACCAACTGTTTCCTTTCATTTGCAGGTTTGGTGAGTGAAGCAGAGTGTTTCAGGAGACTGGAATAATTAAAGAAGTTTGTCACCGAGCTGAAACCTTGGTCAACTCAACCTGCTCACTTGTAGTTAGCCGGTGCTAATTTGCTTATAAGCATATCTGAAGATAATGTTTTAAAAGCAACCTCCAAATGTTTACAGTTTAAACCAGAGGCATGTAGAAGATAAGATTGACTTATAAATGTTTTCATTTTATCAAGGGCATTGTTAGGAGGGTTCTTTTTTTTAACTGCTCAAACACACCCAAAGGTGTGTCTATGGACTGAGGACGTCACTTTGCCCAGGCCTGAGTCCTTGTGAACAAGTATTACAACATTACAACTGAATTGGCAGTACATGCATGCTTTTACAGTAAGCGCACAGCGCAGCCTGGACAACTTAAGCAAGAGGAGTTGAGAATCCAGTGTCATTTAATTTTTAGTTTTTAATTCAACTCCAGAAGGCTCAGTGAGAAAGCATGACAGCTGTGGTGGGCAGAGCTTGGGGGTGGTTGTGCTCGTGGGGCAGGAGTCCAGTGTCAGAGAATACCACAACTGTGATAGCCAAGGGCCAGGACCACGGCTGTAGAGGCCGGGGCATCAAGTGGTGGACCTCTTGGATCTGGGGAGGGTGGAGACGTCAAAGTGACCAAAGTAGTTTAGCAGAGGAGTTCTGGGAGGCGCAGGAAAAGCTTCAACCGATAGAGGTTGAAGATCTGGGCGCAGGAAAACAGGAGACAGAGCAAGTTTCTAGATGGTGGGAATATCTGCCAACTTCTTACCTTTCGTGGCCAAGAAAGGCAGAGAAAGGTGGACTAAGACGAAGGAAACGTGATGGTCGCAGTGGAGATGTGTGGGACTGTGATATTGATGGGGACATTTCTGACTATGGAACCCCTCCTCCATCTCCTACACCTCCCTCCTGTCCGCTGACTTCTCCTTTTCGACTCTTTGCGCACAGCTGGAAGGTGGAAATCCTCCCAGAGCACCATGAGATCTGTTTCAACTTCCTCCGCCACTTGTTTGACCTGTTTGTAGTTGGCTTCCTGTGGACTGTGTCCCCCCCTACAAAACTGATCTTGGAGGTGTTGGGAGTCCAGGGAGCACTGAGGCTGTGGTTTCATGGTATGGCCATGTTTTTTGTTTCCACGGTTGGAATGGCAGGATTACTGTGGTTGGTCCAGGAGTATCTCCCTCAGTTTGCTCTGATCTATGGCATCATACAGGCACTAGTCATCTCTGTCAGCGTTCGACAAAGTGTGATCCTCGGCATAGAGGAAGAAAAAGAAGATGAGGATGAGGAGGGCAAGGAGACTGATGAAGTGAAAGACAGTAGGGAACATGAAGAACAGCTTGTGTCTATGAAGGACAAAGTGAAGACCAGTTAAATTTAAGGTAAGTTTCTTCATTCCTCTCATGTGAGGTTTAGGTTACATCTCCAACGGTTTATATTAGTGGGTTTTTTTAGGACTGCCTATTAGGGCTGCACAATTAATTAAAATATTATCAAAAAGCCAAATTGCAAGACACTGCAATGTTTTGATAAAGGTAAAATGTGTGAGAGCAGCATTATAATGTAGTACTATAGTACTGCAGAGATGCCCTGACCTACAAATCTTGTTCTAAAGATGTAAGAAAACGTTTTTCTTTGGTCACATCATCATGATTCTAGTAGTATTTTAAGTAAAATTGAAAATGGAAATTGGGATGCAAAAATGATAAGATAGGCAGTTGAAGTTGTAGCATTGTCACTGCAGGTAGTTTAGTTTAGCTCAGTTAGGCTTTAACCAAGTTAAGTGTACATCTTGACTTTGATGAAGTGAAGTGAAGGTCTGACATCAGAGATAAAAAAAAATAATAATAACACAGTGTACCAATTAACAGCAGTGCTATGACCAACAGACCTCACCTGAAGTTAACAAAACCATGAAGTTAATCAATTTCAAAAGGATCAGACGTAAAAGCGCAAAAGAAAGGTGCAGTTTGACTGATTGTGTTGCATCAGCAAGGTTCTCCAATATAACAGCTGTCATTATGATCGACCATTACACATGGCTGTGGCTGTTTATAACCCATACCACTAATTCACTGGTTCCCATCTACAGTATAGACAGTTATGGAACAATTAAACGCTGTGTAGACTGCAAAATGATAGTAAATAATAGCAAAAAACGTGTTTGATTTACTTTTTTTAATTATAATTTAACATTTAGGAGGATCTATTGTCAGAAATTGAATATAATATTAACAATCACCTGATAATAAGAATTATTGTGTTTTTGTTATCTTAGAATGAGCTGTGGGTCACCTTTCATGGAGTCTGCTATGTTTCCACATTAGCCAAGAAGGGACAAACCATAAAGACTCGTACTGTTCAAATCTTAAAAAGTGAATTAAAATCCAAATCCAAAGCGTGTGTGGAGAAAGAGAATACCTACCCTGTTTGTAGTTTAGCTGAGCAATGATCTATTTTTAACATAGTGCAGGGTGCTCAGTTTTCCAGACATTCAGTGGCACTGCATCAATATCTGTACGCTACCACTGGTCAGAGTAGTGTGTTTATTAAGAGATGTGTGTCTTTTCCACAGACTGGGAGAAGCAGCTGTCTATTCAGGAGTCTACCAACATCAGTCCTCTTGTATCAGACTTCCTCCAAGTGTTTAACATCACAGCAGTGGGACTACACAGAGACTGTTTCACTGCACCACTGTGTTCTGCAGGGTGACTATTGAATTGTATTGCACACATTACCAGCGCATAGTTTTACTTTTGTCACTTTATGTTTAACACTATTGATCTGCATTTTATAGAGGTTTGCCCTCACTTGTTTTTAATGTGGTGGAATTGCTAACTGTGGAGTTGATCTGTTTCACCACCATCTTTCTCACTTAAGGTTAGAGTGCAACCGATTGATCAGTCGGCTGATATTATCGCAGATATATCAGTATGGTATGGGTGTACATGTTTTCCAATTTACACCGATATGAAATTGGTTTTGTTGCTGTTGGCAATAAATTGGTGTCACTGCAAAGTCTATCCAGCAGAGTGCACTGTGATTTACAATACTGTGGCAAGCAGCACAGAGTAAGAGAGAAGAAGCAGCTCTCAGTAATGTCAACTAGAATTGGTTGACAATATATATGTTAAATTAATTAAGGCAATTATAGAAGATTTGGTATTTCTTGTGATTTTTGCCCCTAGCTGGAATATATAGCTGGAAAATATGGACAGCTGTAAACGTTACATTGCTGATATCAACTATTGCTAATATTACTGACTCTTCCAACAGCAAGAAGGCCAGTTTGCTGTCTGTCTGCAGCCTTTTATTTCACTAAGCTCTCGTTAACGACTAAGAGACAGTCCTGGCGTCCAGGGCAGTACAGCTAAGCTAACAGAAGCTACATTTGGCAGCAGTTTCTTTACTGTCCACCAGTAAACTGTTAATTGCAGAGAATTTAGGCAGAGCAGCCAGAGGACATCAGAGAAAACATTTTCTCCATAAAATGAAAGAAATAATCCAGTTTCACTAAAATCAATGACATAGTGCAAGATACAGGAGTACAGAGCGCAGAGTGGGAATGACAGAGGCACCATTCATCCTGTTACAACTTATTTTAAGGTACAAAAATTACATAATGTTCTTTTAACATGTTAACAAGAATATGTAACTTAAGATTCGGCTGGATAAGCTTTGCAAGAATAATTAACATAAATATTCCTTAAAGTTAATTGTTTAAGAAAGCAGCATGAGTTCCTTTGCAGTAATATCAGTGCATAATCAGTTCTATTGTCATTTCAGCTCAAAAACCCAGTATATAAAGCCACCAGTATCAGTAATCTGTACATTTTCCCCCCTCTAAATTTAATATTGGTCAGACTTTATTGTGGTATAGTCACATTACACGTCTCCCCTGTGTCATCACCAAGTTTTCTACAATTGCATGCTTGTGGAGTACTAGCTGCAGTATCGCGCTGCTTACAATCTGTGATTGTGCTGCTTACTTAATAATATTTATTACATCAGACCTGTGGGATCACATTCCTTTCTGGGTGTAAGGTAATTTTGTTGCGTGCCTTTACTGGAGCGAAAATCCAAATTTGGCCAAAGGGGAGGCAGCCTGGGAGGAGGGACGAGCAAGAAGCAACCATCACTGCTGACCTATAGGTTTAGACATTTATACATCAAGCTCACACACTACAAAATATACTGTGTGGAAGCCATGAGACCTCCTCAACTCTGCGCTGACCTCAAATTTTGATTCCTCAAGATTAAATCTATTTAGAGACCAAATTGAATTGAGTTTTTTTTTCTTTCTTTTTGGTCAAATAATCATCAATAGCCAAAAAGAAAGTGTGTTCAGCACTCAGCTGTGATGGTTGCTGCTTGTTTACTGTAAACCATCAAACTTAAGTCATTACCTCTAATGAATCTGTTTGAAACTTCCTGAAAACCTTACCACATAGAATAATTACATTGAGATTCCACAAATATGAACTCTTCAAGAACATCCTTGTTGTTTGTTGTAGGAGTTATCAGTTGACACAATACAAGCTGCACATTGTAATATGTTCTGTTTTTTTGCCTTATGTAATTTTCTGTGCCGTGATATTGCTTGTTTGAAACTATTTTTTATTGGGAATGTAGGCCACACTCCTTGTCCACAGGTATGTGTTTTTATAGATTTTTACTGTTATGCTTTAGATTTACAACACTCCTTACCCATATCACAGCCTGTAAGATGTGATACTGAAAGGTCCTGTGTGTAACATTTAGGAGGATCTATTGTCAGAAATGGAATATAATATTCATAGCTATGTTTTCATTAGTGTATAATCATCTGAATATAAGAATCGTCGTGTTTTCGTTACCTGGAGTCCGCCATGTTGAACCAGAATGTTTCTACTGTAGCCCAGAAGAGACAAACCAAATACTGGCTCTAGATATAGGGCCTTTGGTGAGTTTTGTGGTCACCATAGTTTCTCCTACAGACTTGTTAGAGAAGGTGACGTGAGAGCGTTGCAATCAGCAACTACACAACTAGATGACACTAAATCATACACACTGGTCTTTTAATGCAATTGTCCATTTGTGTGCATGTGATGCATGATACAATTAGAATAAAACAGGTTAATTCACACTCATACAAATTCTTCAGTGAAAGTGCTTTTAGGTGTAACTGACATAAAATTTAATGTGAAATGGTCTTCTCATTTTAAAATTGGCAGACAATGTGCAACCTGAACATGACAATTAATTAGCAAACTTGAGACAATCGATTATTTGATTAATAGAAAATAAATCTTGATTGTTTTGTGTTTGATTGTCCAAAACAAACAAACATTCCCTCGTTCTTAGTGGTGAGTTTGCTGCATATCATTTGAAGACAACTCCTTGGGTTTCAGGAAACTGATTTAATAAAATAATCATTATTTGCAGCCCTATATGAACTTGAGTCACGTTTTTATGTACATTGCCTCTACTGAAAATAAGATGTAAACTGTAATCTTCATTTCACAGTTGACAGATTCATGAAAGAGGCTGACAAGTTCTAATTATAATTTGTAATGAGCTAAAACTGGAAATGCTGTTTCATTTCCAAGTTAAGCGGTCATGTTGTCTGCCTATTTGAAAGTCTTTCATTTCTAATTTCATTGTTATTTTGGTGCTTTACTAAGGATTATACTGAAATTTATCATTTTGTCATTGTAGTTTCCATTTAGTCAGTACTGATACATTTTCAAACATTAAAACTGAATTTTGAAATTGTACTTTGAATTGCACACAAATGGTAAATTAAATTAAAATTTTTAATGGTTTGGAGTCCCAAGAAAGTGACACAATGTCTACAACTCTTTCATCCATTGTTTGCTTATATGAAGTTGTATTGCAGTGATATTAACACTGATAATCCCTTGTAAGGAAAGCTATTTTTATATGAGGAGCCAACACACCTAACAGGTGCAGGATCACTTTAAAGAAACTCCCTAAATAAGGAGGAAGGACCCCACCAATAGCCGTGGTGTCATTTTTACTTGGAAGAAGTAAAGGAACTATCTGCTGTGATCTATAAGTGTATGTCTAATTTATAGCCACTCTGAATCCAACACTACACTGAGGTTAAACACTCCCACTGGCTAAATAAAACTTTTATTACTGCTTGTCTTGGTTTTGGTTTCCTGCACTTTTTAAAATCCCACATGAAATGAAAGTGTAAAAAGAGCCAAAAAAGAGTCCTAACAGTGTGGTAGTTTCAAGGAATGTACTGGTGTTTTTACATGTTGTAGACAGCTATAATTTGTACTAGTCCTAAACCATTGTAGACCAGGAACACCCCACAAGAGCTGCAGTTTTGGGGATGCTCTGTCCCAGTTGTCTAGCTATCACAATGTGGCCCTTGTCAAAGTCTCTCAAATCCTCACACTGCCCATTTTTCCTGCTTCTAACACATCAACTTTGAGGACAAAATATTCACTTGCCTAATATATCCAACCCACTGACAGGAGCCATGATAACCAGGTAATCAGTGTTACTCACTCCACCTGTCAGTGGTCATAATGTCATTGCTGATTGGTGTATGTATATATGTAATATATAAGACACATTTGTTAGCGAGTTTAATCACAGTTCAAAACTTTAATTCACATTAAATCTCTCATTATGCTTTAAAGTATATACAGGAAGGTGCATTACCAGTACGAGAACAATGTACATATGTAACAATGTATAGATAGTACATAAAGTGTTGGCATTAATGAAAGTGTAATCCACACTACTGTCACATATCAAACGTGGTCTAAAATTGGATGAAGATGATGGTGATGGAACCTGTATTAGGTAAGATTTGGTCATAGCTGAAACATGAGAGTAAACCCTGGGCTGGCAGTCACCTCTGCTTTCCTGTATGCTATGTTAGCTGTGATCCAGTTTCATATGTACTGACTGGTCTGGAATGGACCTCCAATCATAGAACGCTGTTTTTACCAGTTTTACCTCATCAATAAAACATGTCAGTCACTGCAGAGCACAACTGGACAAGCACAAACACCCATTGTCTTTAAAGGGGGAAAAAAGCCACCTTTTATGTGGATGTCCAATCAGTGTTGATGGTAAATGTAGTCCATTGAAGCAATCAAGTTTCCAGTGAGTGCTTTATTGACCGAGAAAGCTGAGTTCTCCTGCTCGCTGAGCCATGTCGGCAGTGCCTACATGTAACAGGATGCACTGCATGCAAACTTTATTTTTTGGATATATATTTCAAGTGTGCAAACGTTTGATACCCACGTCCACTGAGCAAGCTAGGTTAGCTACTGGGAGCTAAGTTACACAACGTTGCCAAGCACATGAGTTCCTGCAGTTTGACTGTTTCTTTTTCCACATGTAGCTATATCTTTACATTTTACAGCCTGTAGTTCTTCCTTGACACCAACTACATCACTGCACTGTCAAATGACGGTGATAGTGCTGGAAGAACAGATTTTGCAGCTGTTTCTTAGTAAATACAGCACGCAGGGAGGAATTTATTGCTTCAATTGACTACATTTATCATCAACACTGATTGTAAATCCACATAAAACATGAATTTTCCATTTAAGTTCATAGCGTCAAATTTGGCTTCTTTAACGGCCAACGTGCAGCTGAATTTAATGGGTACCTAAGGAGTCCAAGGAGTTAAGTGAATGAGTGTATTAACAGTCAATTTAACCATCCTCCATTCTGACTTCACTCATTAAATCATATGCAAAGAAACAACTCTACAAACCAATTCTTCCAATACAAAGGATTGTCCAGTGGATACATTGGATTTATCTGAAAATCAATAAAGCAAATGAAAACCAGCAGAGGATGCAGAAGGTCAAAAATAACAACACTCTTCTGTTAACTCATCAAAACTAATGCTGTCAGAAAATTAAAACACAACAAATATAATAATAATCTGTAATCAGTCATTACAGCAAACTGACAATTATAGCTCTGCAAAGACAAATATTTAATGTCAAAAGTTTTGGCCGAGGAGGTGAGAACTGTTCTGGCAACTAGAAGTCTTTCTTGACTCATGTTTTATTTCAAGCCACAGTAATAGCGCAAACCCAGACCTCCCCCATTCTTCATAAGTAGTTGAACGAATTGTCGATCCTGGTGGAGCCTCCTGCCATGGTCCTGCTAGATTGCCATTGCCAATACTGTTGTTACTGTGCACCTGTCTGTCTGTCTGTCTGTCTGTCTGTCTCTCGCTCTCTTCTCTCTCTCTCTCTCTCTCTCTCTCTCTCTCTCTCTCTCTCATTGACTTTTTATCCAGTTTGAAGCCACATTTTACCATCCCGTTTAGATCTTGGTGCTTTTTAAGTCTAGATTTGAACTGGATGAAGGATTTTAGTCTGGATCTTAAGTTCAGAGAAACAAGCTGAGCTAACGTTAGCAGCAGCTCAGCTCGCAGCCCCTCCGGGACGTTCTTTGTTTGCCCAACAGTGTGGGAGAAACAGTGATCTTTTGGAAGTGTCTCTGATTGGTTGTTTTTGTTTAGGCCTGGTGAATTCTTCCAAATGTCATTAAGAGAAGTAGGAAGAGCCAGAAGAACCTGATTTTTTCAGATCATCTGTCTTGTGCACTACTGTCAGGATATAGTTTAAGTTCCAGCAAAATACTAACTTTCAGACACAGATAGAGGTCTGATTTTTTACCTGAACTTATTTATTTTACGATATAGTGTAATTGACCATTTATATAGGCATTTTATTTCTATTCTTGTGAAAGTTTAAATTGTGAATTTTCTTAATATTTGACATCTAAAATGATAAACACATCAGAGTATCTGTATTGTCCTTAAGGAAAGGAATATGTTTTTTTTCAGCTTCAGATACACTTTGAAACGGGGTTGAGGAACTGAGAAAGCATCTACAGTTAAATCAAGTTAATTAATTTATCGACATATGAAGAACGGGTACCAGTACTGGGTTAAGGATTATTACGGATCATACCGATGGTACCGATAAAAACGTGTGGTTATAATGTAATTACAGTCTTGTGTAATATGTTCTGACAGCAATCGTCACAAAGCTGCAACTGGCATTAACTAAATCTGGTCTAAAAACAACAAATATAATACTAAACTAAATACTAAATATAACAGTGAGATCATTGTCGGTGTCCAATCTTCAGTCTTTTTTAATTCAAATCATCACATACTGGTTTGTAATTGCAATGTCATTACACAGACTGTGGCCGACTGCATGTCAAATATGAACAAATTCTGAATTAAGACCAGCAAATAAATAAAAAAAATCACAATGTGCTGTATTATATACAATTATCTCTGCCACTTTGTAAAAATGAAAAAAAAAAAAAACACAGCCAGACAGCATTTTGTGGTCTCTATGACCGTCTCTTCAAAGCTCCTAACATACTGTATGCTGCGTTCCAGAGACACATCACAGTCAGCTGGGGAAAGTGCAACGTGACTGCATTTCCTGTTGGAATTACAAGCATGGAGTCTGGTCAAAGGTTTCTCAACTCAGATTGTTCTGATTGTGTCAACTTCCTCCTTTCCTGTACTCAGAAATGCTATGTACTAGGGTCATCCATGTTGAAAATACAATCACATTTTAAAGATAGAAATGCCAAATATATAGTCACATCTTAAGTTAGCGAATGTTAGCAGAATGCTAGCTAGCTAACTAACTTATCTACATCAATTGTTAGCTAGCTAATTAGCCAAATGGCTAGCTAACGATTAATGTAGATTGGCTACCTAGTTAGCTAGCACTTCAGTAACGTTAGCCAACTTAAAATGTGACTATATATGTTGCTTTCATCTTTCGACCATCGTCAAAATGTGGTTGTCTATTCAACACAGATCAGCCTAGCACATAGCATATCTAAGTACAGGAAAGGAGAAAGTTGGCTGAGGTTCGGACCGAGCCTTGCTCAACTGTCATTGGACCAGAGCAAAAACGGGCGGGACTTAGGAAGGATCAATTCAGTTATCAGTACAGCATGTCCTAAAATCTGTATGCTCGAGGGTTTAACCCTTGCAGTGGCTGCCATTTCATGCTAATGATGTCAGTTTGAACAGTATCGAATGTATTTTAGGTGTTGAAAGGGGAACAAGATTTTCAATTAGGCTAATACAATAATCCATGTTGGTCTCATTACACAAAATACACCATATTGGTACGCAACTGGTGTTTTTACATGTTTTAGCTAATTTATGACAGATCACATATTGTGTACATTTCTGCTGACCAAAGCATACTGCGCTCTTTTTATTTTTTGAATGATTTTTTTGTCTTAACTTCCAGGCAGTATCAAAATCATGCTTGTAGAAAAAAAAAAAAAAAAAAGTTGCTTTTTTTTATGTAATCCACAATTTATGTTGTTTTATTGTTTAAAAGTTTAGTTACCACTAGGTGGTAATGCAGGTGTAAGTGCAGGCTGATGGTGCATTAAAAAAAGAAAAAAAATTGATAACCATTTTAGTCATAGGAGTCAATATATTTATACCGTGGCATATATTTGTAAAGTGAATATCTCCAGGATTTTTGATAAAAAAGAAAATATTAAGCAGATTAATTGATGCAGAGAATAATCTTTAGTTGCAAGTGAATTTTCATTGCATGAAATGAAACAAACTAGCACCTGGAAAATAATAAAGAATTTAAAATTCTACCACCCTACAACATTATTTGGAACATGCTCAGCAGTGTTGTAATAATGCATACTATGTGTGATTTGTAGTAAAAGGCTAAAACATGCAACAAGACTGGTAATGCCCTTTAAATTTTATTATCATCATCATGTCTCCTTTGAGATTAAAAGACATTTAAAATGTGAACTTAGTAGTTATCATTCCATGTTAAGGTGGCACAATACTGAACACTCTTTTAGCTATTGAAAGGAGAGCAGCATTTTCCATTAGGCTAATTCAATAATCCCTGTTGCTCTGTGTCTTTTAGTATTCAGCAGTACAGGGGCTGTAACCCTTCTCCAGCAGCTGGGACTTTCTGACTCATGACTGGAACACAGCACCAGGCCTGCCTGTACCTCAGTGATGGAACTAAACTTTAAAAAAAAAAAAAAAGAGTGCAGTTTTGTCGTGCTTAGAAACCCCTCAGACCCCACAATAAGCCTGCAGTGCTCATTAGTGGGTGTGTGACCCTCCAGAGTTTGGGGGCACTGTGGTACCCCCACCCCCCCTCTGTCCATGGTCTCTCCTGCCGTGGCCCAGGATACAGTGAGCACTGCCGCACCCTTCGTCGTCGTCGTCTCCCTCGCTTTCAGAGGACGACTCTCCAAACTGTCGGGGCTTCTCATAAATACAGCAGCCTGGAACACAATGTAAAGGATTAGGATTGATCCAGATCATCTAAATCTACAGCTGATGCCCTCACTGACTCACCGTGAGCTCTTGATTCTCAGTTGGAACATCAAAAATACAGCATGACACCTTGTTCAAACATGTACAGTCAGAAATAGTAACTACAGGCAATATCTGCTAAAAATAGCTTTCCTGTTTGATTTGATAAATGTAGCAGCAGGAGGGTGGAACAGCACAGTTGTGTACAAGTTATTTGCATTTCAATATGCACCAAGTCTATGTATGAGTATGGCCTGAAAAATTTATCACAATTCAGTGGTAAACATTTTTTAAGATTCCAGCATACAACACCTTAAACAACCCTAGGCTTTCTTAGACACTACAGGTACACTTTAACTCATAGATATCACTAAGAAACTTCTACCTACATCAAGACAATTAGTTTTTGTATTTCAGTGTTCTGAAATGATATGTTTAAATATGCAAATGAGGCATTATCTAATTAAAATGCACTGATGTACATAGATATTCCATGGAAATAATTTATTGAAATATTAAGAGTCAAACGTTTTTACAGAGGGAAATTTTTAAACTCTTAATCACACTTTAAATCAGAAAATATCCATAAAAATCCATTAGGAATAAAATGTGATATTTATTGAGGCTATGAATGACATTTGAACAAACCTTCAGAATAAAGATAGGAATAAAAGGTTTGGTGTGTGCTACTAAAGTGGAAATTTGAGTGTGAGAAAAAACTCATTTTGAAAAAGTTCGTTTGGAGCCCTGTACTATAACTCTTCCTGTAAACGTTTGCCTGAATTTCCTCAGTCACCATAGTTTTTTCAGTAACACTTTATAATGAGTACACACTATTAAGCATTAGTTAAGCATTAATAAATACTGAATTCATCATTTATAACGCATTTTTCTGACATGAATACACATTAATATGTAGTTTATAAACACAGTTAAAAATGTTTTATTCATCATTGATAAGCACATTAGTTATGGATTAGTAAATACTGAATTCATTATTTATAAAGCATGTTCCTGCCCTAAATACTCATTACTATGTAGTTTATAATCAGTTATATCACAGTTACATAAATATGAATGTAAAATGTTGCCGCCTCCGTTTGCAAGCTCAACGTACACGTCCCAAACAGATAAGATCACAACAATAGCATGTCTTCATAAACCACCCTTGATCGTCTTCATACAATATGTTGGGAAGTTGCAATAAATATTAATACAATATCCCTTTGTGTTGTGTCTCTCCTTCGTCTGTTAAGATAACTGAACATTTTGTGAGTCTTGAGGCATTGTCAGCCTTTATATCTCATTTGTAAATGCTTAATAAGCCATAGATAGTGCTCACTTTAGATGGGCTCGTGAAAAAATACTTAATTAACGAGTAGTAAGTGCTTCGTAACTGCCTCAATTCATGAATTCCTGCATTAATAACTGTTTATAGGACATCCATTGAAGATGAATTTGTGAGTTTTTTATGGAACATCTACTAACACAGTCACTAATCATTAATACATGTCTGAATAGTGGATGTGCAAGTGCATGTATAAATGTATCTAAATAGTTTGTTCATCATTTACATACACTTTCTAAATGGTATTACAAACCACTGACAAATCCTAAATAATTGGTTAGTAAGTGATGTAATACTTGATTTAGAAATGCTGAATCCATCATACATAAAATATGAAAATGCAATCATTAGCACGTTATAGACGAGCTTATTAATGAAGAGTAAAACATTTATAACTGTGATTATAAACCACATAGTAATGAGTATTTACGGCAGGAACATGCTTTATAAATGATGAATTCAGTATTTACTAATCCATAACTAATGTGCTTATCAATGATGAATAAAATATTTTTAACTGTGTTTATAAACTACACACTAATGTGTATTCATGTCAGAAAAATGCGTTCTAAATGACGAATTCAATATTTATTCATGCTTAACTAATGCTTAATAGTGTGTACTCATTATAAAGTGTTACCGTTTTTTCTAACGTTAACATGTTTCTCCAAAATGACAGCAAATATAATCTCACTAGCTGACGTTGCAGTTGTATTATGTTCAAATAATGCAGTTGAATGACTGTACCCCACTCTCCCTTAGGCCACATTCTGAAATCTACAGCATAACCCAATGTATTTTTCAGTTTAATTAATTAATAAAAAACATGTTACTGGCTAAGATAACTATGTATATTAGATTGTAATGTGCATAGGATATTGGAATTAGACATGACTTTTGTCTATTCTGCTTATCAGTAAAGATAAACGATAAATACTTACTATATATATCAGTCAATAATAGGAAATTGATTGTGTATTATTCCAATAACTAAAATATAGCTGAGAAATTATAGGTTGATATTAATAATCATTTCTTTTGAATTCTTATGCAAAACAATTGATAGGCGTTATGTTCTATGACAGCATAAGTATGTTTGTGTTAGGGATGGGGCGGGTCCGATCCAGTATCGGTATCGGAACCGATACCAGCGTAATTCATGTATAGGATTTTCCCGATCCAACCTGCGGTGATATCCGATATCCATGAGCCATGTCTGCGTTTTAACGTTGTCTGCTGAAATGACTCTACAGGTGATTCCTGCCGGCCAGTCTTCTAGCTGGCTGCAAACTGTGGAATGGATTTCCTGAACGGAGGCGCGGCTCAATGAGACACAGAGTTACGAGACACGCCCCCGCGAAGGAAATCCATTCCGCAGTTTGCAGCCAACTAGACAGACAGACGGAAGCTCCCTCGCGTCGTACAACACTACAAACGCAATCAAACATTTAAAAAAGCACCACACGAAAGAGCACGAGGATTACTGGGTCAAAATGAGAACCACCACTTGATTGTTAAAGTAGTATTACAGTTCTTACACGATACAGGGCTATATATGAAAATTTGAAGCAGTAACATTATCCTTAGAGTGACTTCCTGAGGAGGGCAGTAATACGCTTAGAAGCGTCTAAACTGCCGGAAATCCATATGAAGAAGAAGAAGAGCAGGGGCAGAAAGACAAAAGGAGCTGTCAGGAATCACTTCTGGAGACATTCCAAAAACAAGGAAAACTCCAGGCAGACAACGTGAAAGCTAAAGGGATTAGTGTGTGTGTGTGTGTGTGTGTGTGTGTGTGTGTGTGTGTGCGTAAGATGTTTACACTTATTGCACTTTTCTTATATTTCAATTATTTGACATTTTGGGAATTTAATAAATATTGACATGACAATCAATTTGAAACCCTTACAGTTGCATATTTGTTTTCAGGATGGGATTTTTCCTGTTAACAGGATTTCCTGTTTTTCTGACTTCCTTTTCTGACTTTATACTTACCTCAAGTTGCCTTTTGGGACATACATGCATACATACGTACATATCATACTTGCCTGTTGAGAGGAGTTTATTCAGCCTCATATAAAATCAACAATAATGATGATAATAATAATATTAAAGCAAACAGAGCTCTGGTATCGGAATAGTATCGGTATCGGCTGATATCCAAATTCAGGTATTGGATCGGAAGTGAAAAATGTGGATCGGTGCATCCCTAGTTTGTGTAGTTTTTGATTAACTTTACTGGAACAAATGTTGTTGTTGTTGTTGTGTTGTCAGTTAGATTTGGTCAGCTCAGAGCTATGGAATATTCACCCATCTTTGCTCACTACTTCCATTAATGCATGTTACTAACTTCACTTCTTCCCCGGAGTTCTTGTGCTTTCTCGTCTCGCAGGTTCTTATCGATCCTGGTGGAGCCTCCTGCCATGGTCCTGCTAGATTGCCATTGCCAATACTGTTGTTGCTGTGCACCTGTCTGTCTGTCTCTCTGTCTCTCTCTGTCTCTCTCTCTCTCTCACCCCAACTGGTCGAGACAGACGACCACCCACCTAGAGCCGAAGGATCTGTCCTAGGTTTCTGCCTTTTAACAGGCAGTTTTTCCTTGCCCTTGTCGCCAAGTGCTTGCTCATGGTGGTACTGTTGGGTCTCTGTAATTAATGTTTAAAGAGTTCGGTCTAGACCTGCTCTATTTGAAAAGTGTCCTGAGATAACTTCTGTTATGAATTGGCGCTATACAAATAAAATTGAATTGAATTGAATTGAATTGAATTACATCTCAGCCTCTCTTACCATCAGGTGTGCATTACCTGCAGGTTATAACATTTATTTTAAAATATAAAAATGTGAAATTATCAGCTATATTATCTGTATCGGACATGAGAAGCAGGTAATATAAGTAGTAACGGTTATCGTATCGGCTATGAAAAAAATCCATTTCATGCATCCCTACTTGTCGTCTGATTCTTTTTTCACATGACTCAGGTGTGCGAAAGCTCCACTGTCCTTGTTTCCAGCAGCATAGACGGATGAGTATGACAACATTGTTTTGCAATGAGCAACTGTCAGAAAATAAGTGATAAGCTGGGAGGCATTCAAGTCCACAATTTGGACCTGGTTCATGATTCTCATCCCTATTTCTATTTTTTTTGTTTTTGTTTTGTAGAGTATTGTAACTTTAATTCCCATCATTCTTCGGGTGATACAAACCATAAGTATAATGTTTGCTATACGGTCGGTCAGTTACCTGTGGGCTACACCAGAGCCATTTTTTAAAATCTTCACCATAAAAGCTAGTGCTGCATTAGCATTTGCACTCTAACCAAGGTACAGACAACCATCACTGGGTTAATTAAATACTAAAGAAAACACCTAAACCTGATGATTATGAAGCATGATCTCAAATTATTAGGACTGTATTTTATTCTGTATTTTCAAGAACATTTATCTACAGTGGACATCCGACGTAGGCTGTATTTAGTCTCCAAAACTTTAAAACTTTTGACCACTGTTTAGAAGGGACGGTCTCTTAACTTTTCTTACCAAATCGGATCTTATATTGACGATGGAAGGAATGATTGATGATTGGTTCTCCTACACTGATATAAAGCCAATTTAATGACTTTACTACCAGAACTAAGAAGTCACAATCTCTAGAATCTGTGACCTACTGTGCATTTAGAGAGATTTCTGGTGTAGCGGCATGTCTGCTTGCTGAGCCCGTTAATTAGCACGTATTTTATCCTTAATTACAAAGCCGTCTCTCTTCCATAGACCTGACAACCTGCATCTGTTTTCTCCATGTTCCACAATGTTAACGTTACTTTTATGTTTGTAAGGTGTTCAGAACATGCTGGTCTATGTTAATAATTGTCACTTTTGTGCTGGTTAATAGTTTTGACCATTAGCGAAGTGGCTGTTGGATTTAGTTGTCTCTAAATCTGCCTGTCCCACTCCCCTCAACCCTGACGATAGGATCATATCAGCAATCTCTAGCAGGGCAGCTGTGGTAGAGCGCAGCTCCTCCCGCTGCATGTCGAAGTATCCTTGAGCAAGATACTGAACCTGATGCTATGCATTGGTAGATGAATGTGTATGAATGAATCCGTTATGGACTTTGTGCACATCACTGTGTGAATGGGTAAATGTTTGATTGGACAATATGGAAATAGAAACGATCACCCAAACCTACGGCCCAAAATCACACAATGTAGGAGTGTGTGCTGACAAGGAAGGTGAGCTCACATTTTGAAGACCTTCTTCCCAGGTGCTCATTGTCAACAGTATCACTGGACCACTCCACCTTCTTCTCAGTCTTCCTCTTCCTCAGCTTGATTGTCAGGCTCCGTCCCTCCTGTAACATGAGAGGTCAGCTGTGAGGTACTGGGCATCAAATGGAAACGGGTTGGAAATCGGTTTCTTATTAAAATTTTTGGTAGGTGCTACAAAGCACTGTACACCAAAATGAACAGACACAAAAACAGTTTCTACCCACAGGCTATGGCTGACCGATAAATCTTACTTTCATCATCATTTTAACATTTATTATTATTATTATTATTAGGGTATTAAACGGACCCTGGAGTTACAGACTGGAGTATTTATTATGGTGTCGACTCTCTGTCAGGGTAGACACACACACACACACACACCACACACACACCTGCACCACTAACTACTTCAACACACAATCCCACAATCTCGGTCAAACATACATGAATTCTAAGGTTTTCTTTGTCTTTTTTCTCTATAATTTATTAACGCAATATTGTCTTTGTTACACTCATGCCAATAAAGCAAATTGAATTGAATTAAAATGAGTCCGTGCAGACAACTACGTTTGTTACTGTAAGTAAGTGCAATAAAACCGTTGCTAGTAAAAAAACTATTAATACACTGTTCAAAAAGCATCAACATGTAAACCTGTAGAAGTGATATCTGCTCTGTCAGCTTTCTCTCATCCACTCACGCTTGCTCAGCTAATAGCAAATGGTACCAAAAAAAAACGTATGTAGTCTGTTTAGTTTAGTTTGAAACATATTTTAAAATCTAATTCTTGTTTTAAACTGAACTGCTGGCTTAGACAACGCAGCCTCTCCCCTCTCTACTAGCGTTACCTGCAGACACAGTCACATCAGAGGAAAGGACGATTGACTGATACTCTAAACTTAACTCAGTATTTTGATGTTTCATGTTTGATTTGTTTTTCGAGTGAGATATTATTGAGTTTTTACAGTGACTGTGCTGTTGTAAACATTACTGTTGCTGCTCTAGAAACATTTTTTTTTTTTATATTCAATACTTATCCAGATATACATTCAAAGACCACCAGACTGACATAGGAAAAGCTAATATGCACTCTTCAATATTTGTATATTATTATTATTAGTAGTAGTATTATAATAATATACAAATCACACCACAATCACACACAAAAAATAGTAGTAGTAGAGTACTTTTAAAACATAAATAAATAAAGATAAGAAACTGTACAGAAAACAGAAGTGCATTAATGTTATGCATATATATCACTCAAAACCCATTTATGCATGCTGTACATATTATTTATACAGTCATATCTACCTACCTCATGCATATAAAAAAAACAGTATGTACGTTGAGAGCCTGTAAACCCGGAGTCAAATTCCTACCACTAAAAGTGATTATGATTCTGATCTTTTTAATCTTAAGTGCTTTATATATAAAATACTTATTATTTGTCTTGTGGTTGGGGGTTTAGACATAAGTGCATTGTCTTTGAGAATTGACACAATATCACAAAACAAAACAATGCAATACAATATTTTTCGATATTTCATACGCCCCGAAACCGTACCAGAGTTAATATGATCCGTTAATATGACGTAAGAGTTAACGTTACATGACAACATTTAGCACATATCACGATATATAGCTGCAGTAATGTCAATAGTAACAGCTAACATCCAAGCGAGCACTGTTTGTAAGCATCATTGAGCACTCACTGTCTCTATAATAAGCTATAATAAACGCTGTGTACAAGTAGTGCGGCCTCATTAGTGCAGTCCAGTCTAACGCCTCTGCGCTCTCCTTTAGCGCTCATTACAATCTAACGTTACACGTTTTCAGCCAGTATTTACCTGCTGGGGCGGCGGCGGTGTGCTGGTCTCAACAGTCTCCGTTATCGTCTCACTCGATGTCCCGGGAACCTCCGCCATACCTGGACCTACTTTGCTAACGCTACCGTTAACGTTAGCTATTAGTTGTAAGATGTAACGTTAAAGGGCCCGGAGTCGACCGTCAGTGATAGACACTGTCTGTTATATAACGTTAACGTAACGATAGCTACAATGACTGACCTTGGTTCTTTAAAAGTGTATTCAAATTGAAGGTTGTCGACCTGATGATTATGAGCTGTTGACCACTTTGCTGAGATGTGGCTAACACAGAGTCAAGCTGCAAAGTGATTTACCCTGACTCAAAACGGAAGTTTAATGTCTTCAAGTCAAAACAGACTTGAAACGATTGTCAACCAACGGCTGGATTATGTGAATCGTGCTGTCGCACAAATAAGCAAGATTCACATGAAACCACTGTAACAATATTATGTCTGCAATAAAACAACATTCAGTACATTAATATTAATTTTGGTGAACACTGTTTCCCTACATCGTTTTATTTTGAAATTGAGCCAGAATCCTTTGTTTCTTTTTCGTTTTAGCTTGACAGTGGAAGTGTGGTGGGGAAGACATTTCCAGACGGGCAGGGATTGTTTCCTGTTGTCCGCGAAGTTTTAACGATCCGTCAACAAACGCCATCCTCATGTTGAGAATCAAATAAGTATATATAAATAACAGAGTACTATGAAATGAAAGAATTGTTCTACGAGGCTATACAATGATGCCAGGTTTACATATGATTCGCAGCGTTACAGAAATGCACTCTGTCGGGTTTACAATGACAAAGTAGCTAACGTTAGCTAAGGCTGGCATGTCTGAGTACTCCGTGTTATTGAAGCACAGTAAGTAGACTTAACGTTAGCTAAGTTAATCGAAATACTAACTGTCAACATAGATACGTTTATTTCAGGTCTAGCTAACTTATCTGAGTCAACAGCCGGTTCTTCCATTATTTGACTGGTTTTCTGTGTGTGTTATTTGCGCAGTGCGTTGTTGAGTATGTGGAGGACAGGTCGTGTCCTGAATTTGAGGCTGGCAGGGAGAGAAGCAGCCAGACTCTGTTCCAGCAACCCACCGAAACCTTCACCCCCCTCTTCATCTCAGTCAAAGTCTTCTCCACGACCCCAAGCAGAGAAACAGAGGCGCAGACGAGAGAGAGAGGAGGCCATACTGTCAAGTCAACACATAGTAAGTAGCAAAGAAGCATCCGGAAAAAATCCAAAGCTAACATGGAGTCTACAGTTCTGATGTTACATCCAACAGGCTCATAAGGAAAGAATATTCTAGTCAAAGTAACACTATGATGGCGAGATATAAGGGCAGATCAAGAGAAATAGTCACAAGGTTTCCAGAAGGTGACATGGAGACTTTAAGGGGTGACAGAAATATATGCTAATTTATTCTCACTCATTATTATGGCACAATAATGAACATTGAATAGAAATAGCTAAAGGTGAAATTACCAATCAGTAATTTTTTTTTCTCCAAATGTAGAGACTACTATACTTTAATCTACTCATTAATGACCTGTCAAAGCTGATGTGTCACTAAACAGAAAAGCCTTGTGTTCAGGATCAATCATATGGTAATGTTAGGTCAGTGCTTTATCCATTAATAAAGGGGTACTCCAACAATTTAGTATTGTAACATACAGATTAAAAAAATGTCAAAATCTGTGTAGAAAAGGCTGAGATAGCCTGACTTTTAGCCACTGGTGTGGGTGAAGCACCAAAAGTACTGGATCCTACTGATCCCATAATGCAACAACTTGATGTGTGTTGAGTCTCATTCCCAGGGTCTCAAAGCATCTGTATTTGACGCCCTGGGTATGAGACCCAACAATCCACTATCTTTCTTGGGTCTGATTGTTTTTTTATGTTCAGGCCCGGTTGATTCTTGCTAATGCTCTTAGGAGTGCTAGAACGAGCCAGGGGATCCTGATTTTTTCACAGATAATCTGTATTATGTACTACTGATATAGTCAAAGTTTCAGCAAATATTTTCACAAGAATTAGCAGTTTTAAAGTGGTAATTACAATGAAATATAAGGTATAGAAAAAACACAGTAGACCCAACCCAGTTTGAATGCTGAAATTTGTGTTTCCAGACTACTGCAGATGAAGAACTGAAATGGAGTGAGAAGCAGAAGATAGCATACACCACTAAGACACCTCCTGGGACAAAGAAAGGTGACTGACTTCCTGTCATATGTTATGGACTTTTCCAGCACCATCTTGTCTGTTGTGTCTTTCTGCAAACTTAAAAAAGCTGGGTTTTTTTTGCAGACACCAGCTTGCTGTTCCCATCCGCGTACAATCCGGAGTATGTGGAGTCCAGCTGGTATCAGTGGTGGGAGAAAGAGGGATTCTTTAGTCCAGAGCAACATGTGAGCATTTTAGAACAGAATTCAATGTAACAACTTCCTAAAAGATGACAGAATTTCACACAGATGTTTAATGCTATACAAAAATGAAGTCATGGCATGTTTTATCCAAAAGGTTAAAGGTCAGCTTCACTTTGACATCATAATGTCTTAGGAAAACACTTTTTTGGCCGTTATTCAACTCCATAACTCAGGAACAGAGGGGAGATTGTGACCATATTTCACAGTTGGTCGGACATTGAACTGGTAACACTCAAAGGTCAAGGGTCATTGTGACCTCAAAATAGCCTTTTAGCCATAATTAAGAATGAAAGATGCTATGTAAGAATCCATTTTTACATAGTAATCAAGTACATGTGTAATGTATATTCACTGCATTCATACATATGTATTATCAATATAGTGATAACTTCCATTTTATCCAAAAAGTACACTTTTATTCATTCCACCAAGTATTCACTACATATTCTATATGAGTCTGGACAGACATGGATGTAAACTGCAACTGGACTGGTTGGCGGAGGGTCACAACTGTGGGACAGTAATTCTTGTTCTGTTCTGTCTCCCTTTGGTAGTTTTTACGCCATAAACCCACCATAGAAATAAATTGTATTTTTATTAGCAGGTAAAAATACTATTAATATAAGGAGCCAAGTAGAATGTTGTAGAAATACCATTGAAGAACATGAACTACATGTTTTTCACTAGTTTCTCAAATGAAATCCAAGTTAAACATTGCCCAAACTTAACTGGTTCTTCATTGTTCCACAATGAATCAAAGACCTTTTAGTAGATGCATACGTTACGTGCCAGGAGGAGGATACCTTAGCTGTTGTTGATTATTGTGCTGTGTATTTCACTATGGAAGCATTGCAGTACCTCCCACACTTTGTGGAACTGATGTATGTTATGATTAATGGATGCGGTCAGTTTCTCTATTGTTATGTCCTCTTTAAAGCTGCAGTAGGTAACTTATCTAAAAATAGCCTTTTGTCATATTTGCTGAAATTTTCACTACATCCTGACAGTAGTAGATGAAAAATCTAGTAAGCCAGAAGATCGGGTTGTCCTTGCTTGTTCTGGCGCTCCTAATGGCATTTTCAAGAATCCACCGGGCCTGAACAAAAACAACCAGTCAGAGCCAAGAAAGATATGAAGATGCTTTTGGTTGGAAGCTTGAAGTAAGTGGCATTTGCAAGAATCCCCTGGGCCTGAATCCAAAAACAACCAATCAGAGGCAAAAGTCTCATTCCCAGGGTGTCAAATACAGACACATTGGGACCCTGGGAATGAGAAGAACCAGAGTTTTTCAAATTGTCTGTCTCGTGTACTACTGTCAGGATATAGTGAAAGTTTCAGCAAATATGACAAAAATGTTTTTTATAAAAAATTACCTACTGCAGCTTTAAAGAGGTCTATTCATAGTGAGGTGTTTAACTTTTTCCTTCTTGGCAATGTGTATGTGTGTTTTGTAGTAATAGGTAGAGGGGTGTGACAAGGGAATTTCCCTGTTGTGGGATTAATAAAGTAATACAATACAAAAAAACAACAACATACAAAATAAACATGTAAAGAAGAAATACATACAATGTAACAAGAAAATCATAAACGCAAGCGGTGGTTATGCATACTGTGTTGAATAGGATTTGTTATGTGCATGCTTTAGGGGGGAGAGTGATGGAGGTGGTTCGTATCGTTAGTATGAGATGTGACAGTCATTGACAGTTGGATGTCATGGGGTAGAGAACTTTTTGGAATTCGTTTACTCAGCTTTTACTGGAACCAGAAAAAGAGGCTTCCCATTGCCACCAAAAAGCCGTTCAAGATTCTGTTAATCACCTACACAGCCATAAATGGATTACTTCCAAGCTCCTCTCAAAGTTCCTTGGTTGCAACCAAGGATGACTGCATTTTCTGCCATGGCACCTGAAATGTGGAATGAATCACCGTTCACAATCTGTACTGTCACTGTACTGTTTTGTATTTCCTTTCAAACATCAGCTAACTGACTTGTATAATTATATCTCAAGGACAATATGGTATCATTTATTATTTTATGTAATTTATCTTTATTACAAATAAAGGTATTATAATTACTTTAAATTATTAAGAAAATATTAAAGTGCCCCTCCAGTAAATTTTTCTTTCTTGTTCCTACAGTGTGCTGTATGAATGATTTTTGTGCAGTTTGACACGAGAAGAAGAATGTTTTCACATTCTTGCTGAAAGTGGAAAGTTTCTCTGTGCTCACTGAAAATCTAATTTTAAAGGGCGGGGCCTACATCCATGAGTTGTGACATCACAAATAGTTTAGCAGTCAATCCTAGTCCAGTATGCAACTTTTCTACAGTGTGATGTAGAAACTTGAAGCCACCAGTGCACATACACTGAATGAAGTAGGAGACATCTTGTGTCCAGCAGGACAACTTTAGAAATGAACATTTTAATTGAACTGCATATTCATAGATTCTGGAATTGTTAATGAGGTAGAAGGAGTAGATTTCTTTTTAAGAGTTTAATGTTTTTTTTTTTTTTCGGAAATATCTATATTCGAAAATTACTTTGACATGATTTTTGAGTGTAAAAACATATTTTTGCCTACTAACTTTATTTCATATTGTCATGTCTTCAGGAGAGGTTACCTCACATTGTGGACCAGACCTTCTCTCTGTGTATTCCTCCACCAAATGTGACCGGCTCTCTGCACCTGGGCCATGCTCTGACTGTAGCTGTAGAAGACGCGCTGGTTCGATGGTAACTCCCAACAACATATGTAGCATGTTATGTGAAGTATCAGATGTCACTAGTTAAGAATTGAGTTGGATTGAGAAGCCGTACTTGTTGATGGAGCAATAATATATCTATTTGTAATCCATCAGGAGAAGGATGCAGGGCTACAGAGTGTTGTGGGTCCCTGGATGTGACCATGCAGGAATTGCAACACAGGTAACTCAACTTCCTCTTGTCCTCCTCTTTCATGACAGTTTTGATTTTAAAGGATAGGCTCTCAATTCTCACCTAAAGCTATTTTTACATGATCATATTTAAGAAAGACTTGTCAGTTGCTTTAAATGTTCCTGCTGTTCATACTGTCCTGGAAGAGATCTCTTCCGTATGCAGTTTCAGTGTAATTGATGGGGATAAAATCCACAATGGATACCCAGTTGATTACCTCTGCTGAAGTTTCATATTAGCTTCATGAAGACCACCATCCCTTACTTCGAAACTGGAAGGAGATCTTTTCACAGCCACTATGGACAGCAGGTATGATTACAGTGAACAGTTTATTTCATCAGAACATACTGTTCCAGCTGATGACAGTTAGGCTACTTGAGTTGATCACTTTACTTGCACAAGTATGACCCTCTTCTTCTGCAAACGGTGAAGATCAGTGTTGCCAACTCAAAGGAAGGCTGTGGTTCAATAAGTCACTTGAAGTTATCAGCCTCCTCCTAGTGCTCCTAATGGCAGAATTCAATTCAATTCAATTCAATTCAAGTCAATTCAATTCAATTTTATTTGTATAGCGCCAATTCATAACAGAAGTTATCTCAGGACACTTTTCAAATAGAGCAGGTCTAGACCGAACTCTTTAAAACATTAATTACAGAGACCCAACAGTACCACCATGAGCAAGCACTTGGCGACAAGGGCAAGGAAAAACTGCCTGTTAAAAGGCAGAAACCTAGGACAGATCCTCCGGCTCTAGGTGGGTGGTCGTCTGTCTCGACCAGTTGGGGTGAGAGAGAGAGAGAGAGAGAGAGAGGCAGAGAGAGAGAGAGCGAGAGACAGACAGACAGACAGACAGACAGACAGACAGACAGGTGCACAGCAACAACAGTATTGGCAATGGCAATCTAGCAGGACCATGGCAGGAGGCTCCACCAGGATCGACAAGAACCTGCGAGACGAGAAAGCACAAGAACTCCGGGGAAGAAGTGAAGTTAGTAACATGCATTAATGGGACATGAATGAGTGCAGAAAGAGAGAGGAAGGGAGGAGCTCAGTGCACCATGGGAAATCCCCCGATAGTCTAGGCCTATAGCAGCATAACTAAGGGATGGTTCAGGACTCACCTGATCCAGCCCTAACTATAAGCTTTATCAAAGAGGAATGTCTTAAGCCTACTCTTGAATGTGGTGAGGGTGTCTGCCTCCCGAAGCACAACTGGAAGCTGGTTCCACAGGAGAGGAGCTTGGTAACTGAAGGCTCTGGCTCCTGTTCTACTTTTTAGAGACTATAGGAACCACAAGTAGCCCAGCATTCAGAGAACGTAGTGTTCTAGTGGGGTAATAGGGTACTATGAGCTCTTTAAGATACGAAGGGGCCTGACCATGAAGAGCTTTATAGGTGAGGAGAAGGATTTTAAATTCTATTCTACATTTTACAGGGAGCCAGTGCAGAGAAGCTAGTACAGGAGAGATGTGATCTCTTTTTCTAGTTCCTGTCAGTACTCGTGCTGCAGCGTTCTGAATTAATTGGAGCGTTTTAATGGACTTATTGGGGCAACCTGATAATAAAGAGTTGCAGTAATCCAGCCTTGAAGTAACAAATGCATGGATTAGTTTTTCTGCATCTGTCTGTGATAGTATGTGTCTAATTTTTGTAATATTACGTAAATGAAAGAAGGCAGTCCTAGAGGTCTGCTTTATGTGGGAGTTAAATGACAAATCCTGATCAAAGATAACTCCAAGATTCCTGACAGTGGTGCTAGAGGCCAAGTTAATGCCATCTAGAGTAACTATATCTTTAGACAGTGAGTCTCTAAGGTTTTTGGGGCCAAGAACAAGAATTTCGTTTTTTTCTGAGTTTAACATCAGAAAATTGCAGGTCATCCAGGATTTTATGTCCTTAAGACATGTTTGTAATTTAGATAATTGATTAATTTCATTGGGCTTGATTGATAGATATAACTGCGTATCATCTGCATAACACTGAAAGTTAATGGAGTGATTCCTAATAATGTTGCCTAAAGGGAGCATATATAAAGTAAATAGTATTGGTCCAAGTACAGAACCTTGTGGAACTCCATGACTAACTGTAGTATTTATTGAAGATTCATCGTTAACATGTACAAACTGCGAGCGATCTGATAAATATGACTTAAACCAGCTTCCAGAATCCACTGGACCTGAATGAAAACAACCAATCAGAGCTGAGAAAGATATAAAGACATGTTGGTTTGGTGGATTGAAGATAGTTGATTGATGAGTTTCATTCCTAGGACTTGGGAATGAAACTCAACAATCAACCCTCTTTCTTAGCTCTGAGCACTTGAAGGAGCCAGTGGAACCAGATTTGTGTCAGAATATAGGGAAAGTGTCAGCAAATATGATAAAAAGTTATTTTATAAACGTTACCTATAGAAGCTTTAATGTTACAGTTAGAGGCAAACTATACTCAGCTTGAAAAGAGGAAAAATCAGCTGTGTTGAATATTGTTTGTTTGCAACCCTTGTCTATTCTATGTATGTGTTGAATGTGTGAAAAAAGCATATAACTTATATGATTATTAGGTGGTAAATTAAGTTCATTCTCATCAGGATATACACCGACTTTATATATATATCTAACAGATTTACTGAGAAAACTTCCTTGCAAAGCAATTGTACTAGCTACATTTGACTGTATTTGCTAAACAATGCTCTAGAATGTGGCCTCCCATTTCACAGAGTCATTTATGTGTGTGTCAGACAGTGGTGGAGAGGAGGCTGCTGAGGGAAGAAGGGAAGCGCAGACAGGACTTCACCAGGCAAGAGTTTCTACAGGAGGTGTGGAAATGGAAGAACGAGTGAGTCTTCATATTTAATTAAATTCAGTTCAATATGTTTTATTGGCAGTGTTGAGTGTAACAAAGACAATATAAATAAAAAATAAGTACTAAAAAATAATTCATAAAATTAAGAAAATATCAGAAAACAATGAACACTTTGCTCTGTATGTGTGCATGTGTGTATGTGTGTATGTGGCATAGCATAGCAATATATTGATTAAATTATTTACAGATTTACAAACCAGGTTGACTGATATATGCAATAATAATAGTAACAATAACTACAATTAAAATTAAACAGTCTTTTCTCAGGTTCAACTGATTGTCCTCAGGTTATGACAGGAGGTGATACATTTTGCAGCAATAATCTGACATTTGAGCATTTCCGAAAGTAAATATGATAGTCTCTCTATGTCTGTTATGTTTTCAGTGGTTTTTTGTTTTTTTTACAAAAGAAGGAAAATGTTAATTTCAGAGCCTGGTATTTGGAACATGAGGTGAGGAAGTGTATTTCAAAGTCAAAGTCAAAGTCAGCTTTAATGTCAATTCTTTACATGCACCAGACATACAAGGAATCGAGAGAACGTTTCTCATTCACCTGCGGTGAAACAGATAAAGTGCACAGGCACAACGGATAAGAAAAGACATTTCCTAATACTAAAATTACACACAACAGACAATAAAATATAAAATATACAATAATATAAAATGTACAATACAATACTTGTGATAATGCAAAAAAGGCAGATGGTAATAGCAGCAGAAAGATTATGTAGCATATAATTTTAACATTAACATTGCAAAAAGAACAGTCAGTAAAAAACAGTATAAACAGTATATAACAGTTTAAACAGTATAGTAGTAAATAAATAGCAGCCAGTATAAGCAGTATACAGTAAAACAGTATACTGTATTTACCTGTCTCATTCACATCGTAACTTTTCATCTACTGTTTGTTCCACGCATGTTTGCTTTGTTGAGATGAGTACTTTTAAGATAAGATAAGATATACCTTTATTAATCCCCGTAGGAGAAATTCTAGTTACACAGCAGCATTGGGAAATATAGTGCAGTAAAAAGAGTGCAGTGTCCATACAATCTTATCACAATAAGATTATTACAAAATATAATAGAAAATATAGAACCATAAATGAAAAATATATACATTATATGCAATGTGCAAGTACAACGGTGTGCAAAATATTTTAAGTAGCTTGACTAAAAAAACTAAACTGTACATGTGCATTTAAGTTAAATTTAAGTATTTTGTCCTTGTGTGTCCCAGGAAAGGAGAAGAGATCTACCACCAGCTGAGAAGGCTCGGTGCTTCTCTGGACTGGAGCAGAGCGTGTTTCACTATGGATCCAGTAAGACTCCAGTCACATATGTTATGTTATAGTGATGAGATTACACCATTGATCAGTGGAATGTAGTAGTTTCCCCATTGACTGTTGCTCTTTCAAAATTAATAGGCCTGAATGTCAGTAACGTATCGTAACTCCAGATCTTGTGGGTTCATCTCTCGCTCATGCAGCACTTAAGGTTTAGTCTATACCCTCTTACTACGTGGGCCCCACCTTGGTGTCACCTTCTGTATAAGTAGACTTGAGACTGCAGAATTGGCTCCTAAAAAGTGCCCTTTTCTTCAGCTAGTTAAAGGAACCAGTGGGGCCCACAGCTTAGAGAGAGCATAAGTGTAAGCTCCCTTCTTGTATGCTTCATTATACTGAAGTATACCACTGGCTATTAGAGGTGATAAGTAGGCTTTTATAGTAATGTTAAACAAATGTAAAAAGTAGCACTTTGGAAGTATTTAAAATATGATTTTTGTTGTTTTTGTGATATTTCAGGGTTTCAGCAGGGCTGTGACTGAGGCCTTCGTCAGGCTGTGTGATTGTGGTCTGATTTATCGCTCAGAAGGTTTGGTCAACTGGAGCTGTGCTCTGGAATCTGCTATCTCTGACATAGAGGTGAAACAGCTTCACATGTATATACAGTAAATACTACAGGTGGACAGAATAATGCTTATCACATGTAGGCGATGTTAAACTTTAACATAAGTTAGGCTCCTCCTTTTCCATGGCTGCCAGCAGTGACTCCCCTTCGATCACCTGTTTTCTCGTCTTTCTAGCCAATGATCAGGACTACATGTCATACTTTGAAAAGGAGTTTTATATTTGATTAATCGCTCACTTAAAATATTATATATATATGTATCAATTTCTAAAGATAGTCCATTAGATATAGGGTTTAAAACAACCTTCTGTAAACCAGTCATCGTTGGTTTGGCACTGATCACCAAAAACAGATTTTACTTTCAGTGTCAAACAAAATCTCTATAAATGAATTAATCTAAATAGGGTCAGATTTACTAAGAAAATGGCTGTGGTTTTCATGTTTGTTTACATTTTGTTTGCTCGAGTTTGCTGAATCTGTCTGTATTCAGCGCCTGATTTACTAAGGTAGCAGCTTATTATACAGTCAGCTCCTGGACTGTGCCTGGTACTGAACCTCCAGATGCACTATGCACTGCAAAAACAGCCCTTATATTCAAATATTCTTAAATATAATCAAATTTTCTTGGATTGAGCAAAACAATCTGTCAGTGGGGTAAGTCAAGTCAGTCGAAAGATTGTAATGGACCTTAAAAGGAGACAAAATGCAGAAAAGGTAAACAAGTTATGCTTATTACAAGCAATGACAACTTAGTTATTTAGGATAGATTTTCCTAAGAATGCACCAGCAGCATTCTTATTATTAGCATTTTTTATTTAAACAGTGAAAAACTAAACAGCTGCTTCATTTACAACACTGGGACTAGACTACTTTCTCTAAAACTTGTAACTATTACTTAGTTCAATATTAGCTGTAATATCTTATTAAGTCAAAGTTAGATATATTTTCTTATAACTATACTATGTTATTATAATCTTTATCCAGAGTACCTGTAGATGGCAATATCTCCCCAGTGATAGAACCTGTGCTCCATTGATTTGTCAGAGAGATTGAGGGGGAATGACACAAAGTTTAAGGTATTTTGAAAGCCTAAAAGATTTGGGGCTTTTGAGAAGAAATTCGGAGCTGGAGCCAATTCAATTCAATTCAATTCAATTTTATTTGTATAGCGCCAATTCATAACAGAAGTTATCTCAGGACACTTTTCAAATAGAGCAGGTCTAGACCGAACTCTTTAAAACATTAATTACAGAGACCCAACAGTACCACCATGAGCAAGCACTTGGCGACAAGGGCAAGGAAAAACTGCCTGTTAAAAGGCAGAAACCTAGGACAGATCCTTCAGCTCTAGGTGGGTGGTCGTCTGTCTCGACCAGTTGGGGTGAGAGAGAGAGAGAGAGAGAGAGGCAGAGAGAGAGAGAGCGAGAGACAGACAGACAGACAGACAGACAGACAGACAGACAGGTGCACAGCAACAACAGTATTGGCAATGGCAATCTAGCAGGACCATGGCAGGAGGCTCCACCAGGATCGACAAGAACCTGCGAGACGAGAAAGCACAAGAACTCCGGGGAAGAAGTGAAGTTAGTAACATGCATTAATGGGACATGAATGAGTGCAGAAAGAGAGAGGAAGGGAGGAGCTCAGTGCACCATGGGAAATCCCCCGATAGTCTAGGCCTATAGCAGCATAACTAAGGGATGGTTCAGGACTCACCTGATCCAGCCCTAACTATAAGCTTTATCAAAGAGGAATGTCTTAAGCCTACTCTTGAATGGGGTGAGGGTGTCTGCCTCCCGAACCACGACTGGAAGCTGGTTCCACAGGAGAGGAGCTTGGTAAATGAAGGCTCTGGCTCCTGTTCTACTTTTAGAGACTATAGGAACCACAAGTAGCCCAGCATTCAGAGAACGTAGTGTTCTAGTGGGGTAATAGGGTACTATGAGCTCTTTAAGATACGAAGGGGCCTGACCATGAAGAGCTTTATAGGTGAGGAGAAGGATTTTAAATTCTATTCTACATTTTACAGGGAGCCAATGCAGAGAAGCTAATACAGGAGAGATGTGATCTCTTTTTCTAGTTCCTGTCAGTACTCGTGCTGCAGCGTTCTGAATTAATTGGAGCGTTTTAATGGACTTATTGGGGCAACCTGATAATAAAGAGTTGCAGTAATCCAGCCTTGAAGTAACAAATGCATGGATTAGTTTTTCTGCATCTGTCTGTGATAGTATGTGTCTAATTTTTGTAATATTACGTAAATGAAAGAAGGCAGTCCTAGAGGTCTGCTTTATGTGGGAGTTAAATGACAAATCCTGATCAAAGATAACTCCAAGATTCCTGACAGTGGTGCTAGAGGCCAAGTTAATGCCATCTAGAGTAACTATATCTTTAGACAGTGAGTCTCTAAGGTTTTTGGGGCCAAGAACAAGAATTTCGTTTTTTTCTGAGTTTAACATCAGAAAATTGCAGGTCATCCAGGATTTTATGTCCTTAAGACATGTTTGTAATTTAGATAATTGATTAATTTCATTGGGCTTGATTGATAGATATAACTGCGTATCATCTGCATAACACTGAAAGTTAATGGAGTGATTCCTAATAATGTTGCCTAAAGGGAGCATATATAAAGTAAATAGTATTGGTCCAAGTACAGAACCTTGTGGAACTCCATGACTAACTGTAGTATTTATTGAAGATTCATCGTTAACATGTACAAACTGCGAGCGATCTGATAAATATGACTTAAACCAGCTTAGTGCGGTTCCTTTAATGCCAATTTGATGCTCAAGTCTCTGTAAAAGAATATTATGGTCAATGGTGTCAAATGCAGCACTAAGATCTAATAATACAAGTACAGAGACAAGTCCATTGTCAGAAGCAATCAGAAGGTCATTATTAACTTCAACCAGAGCTGTCTCTTTGCTGTGATGAACTCTAAATCCTGACTGAAAATCCTCAAATAAACTATTGTTATGTAGAAAGTCACACAACTCTTTGGCGACTACTTTCTCCAGAATCTTAGAGAGGAAGGGGAGGTTAGAAATCGGTCTATAGTTGGCTAAAACCCCTGGGTCAAGACTGGGCTTTTTAAGAAGGGGTTTAATTACAGCTACTTTAAAGGACTGTGGTACATATCCTGATAATAAAGAAAGATTAATCATATCCAGTAAAAAAGTGCCAATTAAGGGAACAACTTCTTTAAGCAGCCTAGTTGGGATCGGGTCTAATAGACAGGTTGATGGCTTCGATGAAGAAATGATTGAAGTTAACTGATGAAGATCGATAGCAGAAAAACAGTCTAAATATATATCTAAGTTTACATTGGCAGAAGTCCCTGAACTTGGAGAGCCACTGATAACTGTTGATGGCAGTTGGTGATTAATTTTCTCTCTAATAGTAATAATTTTATTATAGAAGAAGCTCATGAAGTCATTGCTACTTAAGTTTATGGGGATATGTGGCTCAATAGAGCTGTGACTCTCTGTCAGCCTGGCTACAGTGCTGAAGAGGAACCTAGCGTTATTCTTATTTTCTTCTATTAGTGCTGAGTAATAGGCTCCTCTGGCATTACGGAGGGCCTTTCTATAAGTTTTAAGATTATTATGCCAAATTGAGCGATATTCTGATAATTTGGAAGAGTGCCATTTCCTTTCAGATTTCCTAGCTATTTGTTTTAACTGGCGGGTTTGGTGGTTATACCACGGTGCTAGTCTCCTATGTTTTAATAATTTCCTTTTTATAGGAGCGATAGAGTCTAATGTTGATCGTAGTGAGCCTGTAGCACTATCGACGATTATCAATTTCAGAGGGACTAAAGTCGTTATAGGACTCTGTTAAATTCAGACATGGCATTGAATTAAACACTGAAGGAATCTCCTCCTTAAATTCAGCTACAGCACTGTCAGATAGACATCTGCTGTAGGAAGTTTTGCCTAATGGCTTATAATCTAATAGTATGAATTCAAAAGTTATTAAATAATGGTCAGATAGGAAAGGATTATGTGGGAAGACCATATGATAGAACAAGGTCAAGAGTGTGATTAAAACAATGAGTTGGTTTATTTACACTCTGACAGAAGCCAATTGAGTCTATTAATGATATAAATGTGTTACTAAGGCTGTCATTGTCAACATTCACATGAATATTAAAATCACCTACAATAATTACTTTATCTGATTTAAGGACTAAACTTGATAGAAACTCTGAGAATTCAGATATAAAATCAGAGTATGGTCCAGGAGCGCGGTACACTATAACAAATAGAACTGGCTGCAGTGTTTTCCAGTTGGGTGAGAAAGACTAAGAACAAGGCTTTCAAATGAATTATAATTTAGTTTAGGTTTAGGGTCCATTAAAACGCTCAAATCATATATGGCTGCTAGTCCACCTCCTCGGCCAGTGCCTCGAGGAATGTGAGTATTAATATGACTGGGGGGGGTGGATTCATTTAGGCTAACATACTCCTCGTGAGACAACCAGGTCTCAGTAAGACAAAGTAAATCAATATCATAGTCTGATATTAATTCATTCACTAAAACAGCTTTAGAGGACAGAGACCTGATATTTAACAGCCCACATTTCATTCTCTTATTTTGTGCTACTGAGGAGTTGGTTTTAATTTTATTAGATTTTTATGTTGAACTCCTCTTGTTTTTATTTCTTTAAATAATTTAGGTGGTTGGGGGACAGACACAGTCTCTATGGGGTTTTGGGTGGGTGACTGTTCTAAAGAAAGCGCAGAGAAGTGTGTAAGACAGAAGCTACCCCCATTCTGCCCGTTCCTAGCACCCTTCAAAAAACAGACAGCCTTTCCCCTATTTTGTCCACTTATTGTACATGTTTTAGACATGATCGTCATTCATTTTGTAATGTATTCCTTTGCTGTATTGAAAAAATTGTAGTGAATGTGTATGTCAACTTTAAAATTGTGGATTTGCTGTAGGTTGACTCAAAGCAGCTGTCTGGGCAGACCATGTTGTCTGTTCCTGGTTATGAAAACAAGGTGGAGTTTGGAACAATGCTTACTTTTGCGTACCCTATAGAAGGCCAAGGTGAGTGTTTGTGACTGTCTGAGAATATGATACATGTTGTGCTTGGTTATCATGTTATATTATGATTGTACTGTATTTTAGAAGCAGAGGTGGCAGTGTCCACCACCCGTCCTGAGACTATGCTGGGAGATGTGGCTGTAGCTGTTCACCCTGATGATCCTCGATATCAGGCTAGTATTGTTGTTGAAGTTACCTACAGTAGTTAGAGAATATGAATATTGATAGATCAGTTTGACATGTTTTACATATTCATTGCATGAGCCTATTTCAGCCCAATTGGACCAACCTATAAACATTAACATGCTGAAAAAACAATTGTAGATCAAGGATCAAGGAAGTCTTTTCAATAAACATCATGACACAGCAAAATTATGATTTTGGTAGGTTATGTAGCCGACTTTGGGGTGTTTTGTGTTGGCTGCCTCCAGTTTTGCCTCCAGCTAACACCGTCGTAATGTCAGCACTAAAAGGGCCTGTACAATAAATCAGTGGTTGACCATTATTGGTTTTTCAATGGCCGATGACGATTTTTAGAGAGCAGGAATGCCAATAGCCAATAAATAATGCTGATATTAAAACCAAGAAAAGTAACGTATAATTCTATTATATAGGAAATTTGGGCATATGTTTACAGCAGGGTGCATGAGACTTACAGTACAGGGATTAAGACCAACCTTTTCACCACCTTCCCAAAACTCACAAAGAGGAGCACTAACATCATACCACAGCAGCCACACTAATAAGGCTGTCTGCATATGTGTGGGGAAACATTTATGTTTATCAAACTTGTGACCACAGACATTATCTCAATTATCCCAAAATGCCAGATAATCAGCCGACTGATTAACTGGTCTATCTATTGGTCTTTTATACATATAAACATACACACAAACACCGATCAGCCATTACATTCTGAGCACTGACTGATGAAGTTAATAACATTGATTATCTGGTTATTATGGCACCTGTCAGTGGGTGGGATATATCAGGCAGCAAGTGAACATTTTGCCTCAAGTTGATGTGTTAGAAGCAGGAAAATGGGAAGCCTAAGGATTTGAGTGTCTTTGACCAGGGCCAAATTGTGATGGCTATACGACTGTGTCAGAGCATCTCCAAACCTGCGCAGAAAAAAAGTGGTGAACTGGAGACAGGGTAGCTAAGGCTCACTGATGCATGGGGGGAGTGAAGGCTGGCCCGTAGCTCAAACTGCTGAAACAGTTAATGCTGGTTCTGTTGGAAAGGTGTCAGAACACAGTGTGTACAGTCTGTTGCGTATGTGGCTGCATAACATTATGACCACCAGGGTGCCCAGGTGGTCATAATGTTATGGCTGATTGGTGTATACACCCAGGAAATAAAGAACTTTGAAGATGGTGTAGCTGTTGATGCATTTCTACTGTCTCATGGTATAAATTGTTATATCTCCCAAAGCAGGAAGTAGCCAAGTAAATGCAGACCAAATCTGAATAGTAGAAACAAATGATAACTGATTATAACAGGGCATTTGTTAAGATAGCAGTGCTCATATCTTTCTACTTTATCCACATTGTTTCAGGCTGTTCATGGGAAGCTGTGCAGACACCCCTTCACAGACAGACTCCTGCCCATCATCACAGATTCAATGGTGGACATGGAGCTAGGAACCGGTGAGAGCAACACCATCTGACACAGTCTCATCAAAATATCAACATCAAAAGCCTCACAGCTTGTTTATTGCAGAGAAAAGAGCTGCAGTTTTGGAGATGCTCTGACCCAGTCGTCTAGCCATCACAATTTGGCCCTTGTCAAAGTCGCTCAAATCCTCGCTGCCCATTTTTCCTGCTTCAAACACATCACCTTTGAGGACAAAATGTTCACTTGCTGCCTGATATATCCCACTCACTGACAGGTGCCATGATAACCAGATAATCAGTGTTATTCACTTCACCTGTCAGTGCTCAGAATGTTATGGCTGATCGGTGTATGTGAACTACTTGTGTTGATCAGTTCCCTGTGTTTGTGTTTTGCAGGTGCAGTGAAGGTGACTCCTGCTCATGACCACACTGACTTCCTGCTGTCACAGAGACACTCACTGCCACGACTCACTGTGATTGGAGGAGATGGCACCATGAGGCCCCCCTGTGGGCAATGGCTCGAGGTGCATGTCTGTCACTATCTGTAAACATTGTATACAGAATGTTGAAGAGTCTTTTATCTTGATATGTCAGCTGTCTCAGGTTGCAACACAAGAAGTTAACGGGCCTTGTAAAACAGCTCAGGGTTTGGTGTATTTTCATCGCAGCTGTTTGTCTCTTCTAAGGGGGTGAAGCGATTTGATGCTAGACAGTTCGTTGTGGATGCCTTGTTTGAGAAGAAACTGTTCAGAGGAAAGAAGAGTCACGCCATGACCTTACCTGTCTGCAGGTAGTGGAACATGCACACACAAAGGCGCTCACAACACCAGGCTCATTCTGACTTAAACACAGAAAGTGGGTAGTTTTCCAGTTATGCCAGCAAATTGATTAAAATGACCAATTATCTGGGACGTTTTTAATTGTATTTTAAACCCTCACTCAGATCGCCTATGTAAACCTGGGTATGTATTTTGTTTGAGGCTCAAATGTTTGTAAGATAATCTGCACAGTGTGACACTTTAAACTGGGTTTACCAGTTGCAAAGCAGATTGGTTTCATTTCAGCTCCCATGTCAGTCAGTCTAGCTGGTCAGTGTACTTGCGTTTTGGATTTTCGTTTTGAAATGAGAAAACTAAAATCAGGAAACTACCATTTATAAATAGGGGAGCAATAAACAGAAAACAGCCCGTTTTCGTTTTTTTTTCTAAATAAAAGCCCCAAACTCTTTTTTTGTTCCCCTATTTGTAAGTGCTAGACGGGAAACAAGCTGTTTTGGTTTTGGTTTTCGCATTTCGATACAAAAATCCATTCGCTGCAAAGTACACTGACCCAGTCCACAACAGACACCAGAGTTTTTGCAGTAAAGCACAGAGCTCCTTCTAGTAAAGATGCAAATACATATCTACTATCTAGTATTTTTGGGTATATTTTTGCTGTTGGGAAATCCATAAACTATGTAATGATAGATATATTCATATATTTTATAAATAAGACAGTAGAGGCTGCAATGTGTAATGTGTAATATTCTTATACATCTGTGGTTTCTCTCTTCTCTTCTTCCTCCTTCCTCCTGGTCTCAGTCGCTCAGGAGATATCATTGAACCTCTTCTAAAGAAGCAGTGGTACATCCACTGTGATGAAATGGCTAAAAAGGCTACACAGGTGGGTTGGTGGCTGTGAGATATTGATATTGATTAGTAACCATGTCATACAGTAGTCAAGTAATATCATCTCATCTTTGAACCCTTTGAAAACATTTGTTAAACCATTTATTTTCCTGTCAGGCTGTGGAGGACGGACAGCTGGAAATCATCCCTCACTTCTACACCAAGACATGGAAGAACTGGCTGTCCAACATCAGGTAGACTGTCCTGACCTTACATGTGGACAAAATGAATGTATTTTAACAATGGTGTGAGGAGAAACAATGTGTCGTTGTTACTGGTGTGACATGTGCTTGAAATGACACCACAATGATGATGAATGAGCTCTTGTTTCAACGTATGGGTGGTCAACAATGTACCTCTGTTGGTCTTGCAGTGATTGGTGCATTTCCAGGCAGCTTTGGTGGGGTCATCAGATCCCTGCTTACCAAGTGGAGCTTCCTAACTCTACTGACAAACAAGAGGTTGGGTCTGTGGATGTAAATACCATATATATAACAATAATACTATATGTTATGATCATATATGTCCCCATGTTGGACTGTTTGTTCAGGCCCTGTCATACCTGAATAGAGGAAAACTGGTATAGAAATGGATGAGTGGTTGTATTAATGAATTAACTAGCTGCTGTCTACGCTATATGTATACCAGTGTCAGTTTGTCCTAGACTGGGGTGCAAGTTTCAGTGTGTCTCTGTGTTGTGTGTGGCAGGAGCAGTGGGTTTGGGGACGGAGCAAGGGCGAGGCCCGACAGAGAGCAGCTATCAAATATGGATTGAAGCCAGAAGACATCACTTTGACTCAGGGTGACTTACCTCCATCTTACCCCTTAACTTGCTGCTCTTCATCAGCCATCATATTTACACAGGGCAAAGCTCATTTATCCTTGATCAGCAATATTTTTATGGCTCTGCCGGTAGCAGTAGCTGAAGGCATTCTATTCTTTCCATATGTACATTCTTGGAAATGCAATATCTCATGAATGACATCTCATATACATTGTCCCTCAACTTAGACTGTATTTGAGCTCGTCATGCTCCTTCCATTGAGTACAGTATGATCAAACGATCCTGGATGGTGTGGTGCAGCAAGGTATCAGTAAAGCTGACGGCACAGCAGTCTCCCGTAGCTGTTTTGGCCTGAGTCGTATTTTGTCCATTTTCCTGCGACCAGGACATTAGCCAGGAGTAGCCTGGGTAGTGCAGCAGCCTTAGGCAGTCCATCCATCTTTAGGGGATTGTTGCAGCCTGCAATGCTTGAGCTTTTCTAAAAAATTGCGATGCATGTTGCAATGTTTTTAGGTATTTATTTGACATGGAATTGCGGGATAAATTGGAAATTGCAAAGATAGTTACCGTTTTTTTGGCATAAATCATTAAAAATGAAAGGCAACTTGTTCCAGTGAGAATGACATCGCTTGTAGTTTGGTGATGTAAGGCTCATTGTTTTGCTCGGGGACTGCTACGATTGGTGAAACTCATAGGAAACTACAATGATTGATCAAGTTTGCAGAAAAGTTGCAGTGATTGTACAAAATTGCAATGTCAGGAATTGGTTGAATTTTTAACTGTTGCCGTTGCAACATCGCAACTTCTGGAGGGAGTGGTTAGGTCCAAGCTCTGTTAGCTTAGCTCTTAGCTCTGAGCTCCCATGGTGCAGTTGCACCGATTGCGTTGGCAATTGGTCTGGCTCATCTGGCTGGGAGGTCGGAAGATGATGTGGGCAGTGATCATCTCAAGGTCCACTTCACTTAATGCAATCCCTGCCTTTCCTTTTCCAATGTTTAGTGTTTTTTTGTCATAAGTATAACGTGCTTCTGTAATAAAATAAAAACAAACATAGCAAAGTTTGAGGAAGCTACTGGCCGCTGCATTATGCATGCCATGGTAATGGTGGTGCAGGGATCATTTCAAGGGATCCTTTTAAGGGAGCCTTTCAAAAAATTGTATTAATGTTATGTATTTATCTTAAAACATGGGCTTTTAATAAGTAGTTTTAGAACCAATAAAGTCAAAAGCAACTTTATGGGTAAATAGGTTAAAAACAATCTAGTTAAAAGCCTACATTAATAGTTAAGTTATTGTAGTGCTGATCTGCTGTAATTGGCGTTCTTTCTTTTTTTTCCTCACATCTGCATATTTCCTGTTTCAGACCCTGATGTCCTGGATACATGGTTCTCCTCTGGGCTGTTTCCCTTTGCCATGCTGGGCTGGCCTGAACAGGTACTGCACTTCCTCCATCTCAGCATAGTCCTCAGCATACAGCCCTATCCCTCTGTATTATAACCATACCCTCACCTCCCACAGACCACCGACCTTCAACGCTTCTACCCCAACTCAATTCTAGAGACAGGCAGTGACCTAATCTTCTTCTGGGTTGCAAGGATGGTGATGCTGGGCACAGAGCTGACCGGACAGCTGCCCTTTAAAAAGGTACTTAGATAATGAGAAACCCCAAATGCATACATACAGTATGGATGAAACACTGTGTCAGCCCATTCTGTTGTTTTTCTCTCTCCCTTTTTTGTTCCCATCATGACTCAGGTTCTATTTCACTCTCTGGTGAGAGACAAACATGGCAGGAAAATGAGTAAATCTCTGGGAAATGTCATCGACCCATTAGATGTTATACATGGGGTCTCTTTGGAGGTAGGTAGAATGTGGACTTGGTCCAGGAGGCATATTACTGGTAATGACATGATATCTACCATATATCTATCTGAATGATGGGGAAGGACTCCGATGCTTTTTAAAGTGGTTGTTAGAAATATTATAATCTGAGCATCATCATTCATCAATATACAGTACACCTTTAAGCAATCAAAGTCAGTAAAGCTCCCTCCCATTTTTAAAAGAGAAAGTCATTTCACAATTTGGTATAAAATCTTGCTTATAAAAGTTGCTTATAAAATGTTAATTATTAAGGGAATTAGTTTCTTCCACAAAGATATGCATAAAACCAACACTGGATTGTCACATAGAATACATTTGTGACTTCCATACATAGAAGTAGGAGTTATGAAAAGAATAATGATGTCAGAGAACATAATGCTTTTTTCTGTTGTGTAGTTACAGATCATAGTAGTAAGTAGGAAATAGCCCACTGAGACAGTCGTCTGTTTTAATTCTCTCAAAAGACTTTTTGTTGTAATACTCTCTGTCCCTTGTTTTTCTTTTTCCTCCTAGAGACTTCAAGAGAAGGTAAAGGAGGGGAACCTTGACCCCAGGGAGCAACTGGTTGCCATGGAAGCACAGGTCAGCTCCCTTGTCTCCTATCTGTTTCTTTTTGGCTAACTGAGCACGCTCATTACTTCCTCTCTTATCTATGTGCTCCATCTGCTTCCCCACAGAGGAAAGACTTCCCCAAGGGAATCCCTCAGTGTGGGACTGACGCTCTGAGATTTGCCCTTTGCTCTCACAAGATGCAGGGTGAGTGACTCTCACCTCTTTTATCAGACTCTATAAATGTGTTGAGCTGTGTGAATGTAAAACACAGTGTTGCAGGAAAAGAAGAGGGGGTGCACTTAAACAAGATTAAGAGAGAGATGAGTTGTGAGGGACTGCAGTGAAAAACTGACAGGACTACAGTTTGCTTTTCACAGAACTTTGGCTCATTGGTTGCCTGTTCCAGTTTGTCAAGTGATCTGCTCTGCCTTTCCTTAAAAGTTGAACTATTTTTTGCATTCTGTGACAAAGAAATATAGCTGCACTGCGGGAATGCTACATGTTCTCATTCTTCCATGAGGTACTTAAAAGTGTCCTAAGTGACATGTCTCTCTGGTTAGTCCACTTTCCCATGCTTGTGCCTGGAAGGATTAGGAATACTTTGGATAAGTTCAGCAAAATGTAATTATAGACTAGGGCTATGGCGTTATATTTGTGCCTCATTCCTGAGCAAGCAAAAAAAGAAAATGTATTTTGCAAACGCACACAAGCACAAAATTATTTCATCTGTGCAAATAAAAATCTATTCTGTACTCACTAAATCTGAGAATTGCAGATTATTATTGGATAAATTACTAGTACCGCATTAAAAATTATAACTGATTAGAGTGGATTTGTTTGACCACAAATTGAATAAAACACATTTTCATTGTGAGTATTTCGTATTATTGCCAGAAATGTTTTCACAATTTGGGACACCCTGGTACAGTCGTACGCAAAAGTTTGGCCACCCCTTGACAAATAACACATTTGAGTGGACTGCTCATATGCTGGTCAGAAAGGCAAATCACAATGTGAATGCAAAAAAACAGCAATGTTTTCACAAACAAGACATTTATGCAAGAGTCAGTACAAGAAAACCTTACCTGTGTCCACATCATAAAATCTAATGTCAGAAGTATGCAACAGAACATCTACAGAAACCTAATGTGTTTTGGAAAGAAGTTCCGAGGACTGATGAAGTTGAAGTAAATGAAACCATATACTGGTATGAACCCTCACAGACGTTGCTCAAGGTGTGTCTGACTCTTTTTTTCTGCCTGTTTTTCAGGAGAAGACATCAGTCTGTCTATCTCTCAGGTCCTTAGCTGCAGAAAGTTCTGTAATAAAATGTGGCAGACACTGAGATTCACACTTGGAGTGCTGGGTAACAACACAACACCAGTGGGAGCACTGGAAGAGGTACACCAAAGGAACTACCTGTTGGACTGCATTTGTATTCCTTTTTTCATGTATATAGTTATACTGTTACTTATAGCTATACTATATTGTTGATAGACAAAAAGCTTGGCTTCACGTTAAATATGGGATATTAGAACAGTTTTCAAAACTTGTTATGATTTCCACAACCATCACTGACAGAGACACAGTAAATGTCTGTGTGCCACTGTGGCGGATTTGAATGAAAATCTGCTGAATTGCTTTATCACCAACATATCACTTTATGTTGCAAAACAGGAAGACAGAGCTGTTCCTTTTGCACAAAGCAGCAGCTTTTAGTGTCCTGCAGCAACAGATGGTGGCTAGCTTAGATGTAAAAATAGTGTTTCTCTGTGAGAGTGAGATTACAAGAATTACAGCATTGCAGTAATGCTGTATTCATACTATATGTTACACAGCAGTTACCAGTTTCCAACTTGTAAATACTGCTAACGTCAACATCAAAGTTATAACTGGGAAACTTCTGGAGAAAACCAACACCATGACAAATAGCATGGTATAGAGTGAACAACGACACAGCACACAATGTAGCTAATGTTAGCTATGTTGTTGGCTAGCAAACTGTTGCCAGAGTTGCAGTTCCCAGTTGCCAGAGTCAGCTCCAGACAGCAACACTCACAACTCTCCTGCTACTATAGCTAACATCACAACTGCATATCTTGGTTAATTAGAAAGTAAGCTGAATGTCTCTGGGCAAGTCAGTAACATTACCTGACACACAAATCCTGACTGGAATAACAAGTTAGTTTTGTGTAGCTTGTTCCAATCCAATCCTGTTTTACAGAGCCAGGGCTGTATAAACATTGGATTATTTTCAGCGCACACACAGTACAGAAAGCTAGCGGACCGTAAGGAGTTGGATTACAATCGCATTACTGAGAATCACTTACCCCACCTTTAATATGGAAGTGTATGCAAAGGCAAAAATAAAAGAAGTGTTATAAAAGAATATACTATATAAATGTCTCGCTGTTTCCAATTTCCAGACGACTCCTCTGAGCAGCATGGACCGCTGGATCTGCTCCAGACTCTACAGCACAGTAAAACAGTGCGAGCAGGCCTTTGAAGCCTTTGAGCTGCATATTGTCACATCTGTCCTGTACTCCTTCTGGGTCCACAGCCTGTGTGATGTCTACATGGTGAGGAGCATCATTTTCACACAGCATTATGGGTACACTTTGATGTCATCAAAAACAGCACAGATTCGAAATGAGATCCTTGCTTTGTTCATTTGAATTAGCAGTAATCTACTTACTGCTCAGGCTGATATTTTTACCTGATTTATTCATGAAGCTCAGTCACAGTACATCAAAGATTGATGTAAACAGATTCTTCTAAATAAAACCAGAGAGTAGCTACCACATTATGGAAGTGTAACCAGTGTTTTTCATCATCTTCACCTGTAGGAGTACGTGAAGTCTTTGCTGGTCCAGCAGGGTGAGGGGACCGTTGTCCAGACTGACACAGAGCACAGTGGCAGATCAAGGCATATGGCGGGCAGTGTCCTCTATCATTGTGTATCTACGTCCCTGGCCCTGCTCTCTCCCTTCATGCCCTTCATCACTGAGGAGCTGTGGCAAAGACTCCAGCCAGTTAGACCTGGAGCTGCAGCCCAGACCAGCCTGTGTTTACAGCTGTACCCCTGCTCCTCTCAGCTGGTAGGACTACAACCATCAAACCTCCTCACAACCACAAGAGTTTAACTTGACCAGATTTACATAATGGAAGTAACGATACTGGGGTTCATCACCATGTTTAAAGCTCCAGTAGGTAACTTTTGTAAAAAGTAAGTTTTTGCGCTGTAACTTTCACTATATCCTGACAGTCGTCAACCGGACCTGAACAAAAACAACCAGTCAGAGCCAAGAAAGATAACTGTTGAGTCTCATTCCCAAGTTGTCACAAACCGATGCAATCAACCATCTATTGACTCATTTTTCATTCATGCCCGGTTAACTTACTTTCCTCACTTACCTCAAGTGGAATCTAGCCATGCAGATGGTTTGGGTTTTATTTGTTCAGGTTTTCATATATCAGATGTGAGCCCAATTAAATTGAATGGTATTTCATTTGTTTTGCTTAAAACAGTATATAATATCAGTGTGTCTTAACAGAGGCAGTATCCGTGTTGGAGCTAGGGTATGTATTTCATGTATGTTTTTTTATTAGGGACCTCGCAAGCGACCGCTGGAGGTCCCTATTGTTTTTGCTATGTTTCTTCTTACTTATTATTATTTTTAGCACTTTTGATTGCGTTTTTGCCCCCCTGAACATATACGAAAAGTCAATTTTATTTGGCAAAGTGGTCAGGCCTGGTGAAAAATTTTATATTCTATGCGTCGCTTTCAGGTTGACCAGTAGGCGGCGCTACTATCATAAAAAATGCGTTTAGGCTAATAACTTCTGCATAGTTTGTCGCACATTCAAAAAACTGGTATCCACGCGTTCGGTGAATAGAGCTGAATCTCCCATATAGGCCCCGCCCACTTCCGCCTATAATTTTTTTTTGTTAGAGCGCGAAATGTCTTTAAACTACTTTTTCGTGTTCCTCCTACACGCTTTGTCCGATTCGCACAAAAATTTTCACCTAGCACCTGCGGACCGCCCTGGCAAAAAAAGTTATTTGAACATTTTTGAAATTTCAAACAATAAGCACGCTATAAAATTAGCACTTCCTGTGGATTTTTCGTCAAAAAAGGAAGTGGACCATTTCTCCACATTGGTATGTCCGATTGACACCAAACTGGGGTCCATAGTTCCAGATGTCTTACTTAAGCATCGTGCACAATTTCAGGCCATCGCCACTAGGTGGCGCTCTATAGAATTAAGAAGTTTATATCTCTACAACGGTATGTGTGATTAAGATGCAACTTTGTACGATGCTTCCCAATGGCTCCCTGAGGCTCACTTAAAAAGGACAAAAAAAATACGCCACTAGGTGGCACTCTTTTGGCATGATAAATCACTGTGCGGAGACCGTAATAGTTATGAATATGAAATTCACAGGGCACATGTAGAGTAGTGCCTGAAGCTCACATACCAAAAATCGTGTTTGTCGTGTGTGTAGCGCCCCCTACAGGATAAAAAAACAGCAGCCCCGGCGCCACGTTTCACCGATATGTACGAAACTCGGTAGGCACGTGTAACATGCCGGGACGTAAAAAAAAAGCCTCTTGGACCCATACCCGAAACCCCACAGGAAGTCGGCCATTTTGATTTAAAGTTTCACTTTCGGCGAACTTTTCGCGTTGTATTTGAACGAACTCCTCCTAGGGATTTTATCAGATCTGCTTCAAAATTTGTGAGTACAGTCAAAAAATGGTGCTGATTAAAAGTTGTGCTATTTGTGCATGTACGTTGAAGGGCGCGTCCGTGGCGTGCCCTCAAAGTTGGCCGGTAGTGATTCTGCATTTTCTGTGATTTTTCCGAACTCCTCCTAGGAATTTATCGGTCTGCTTCAAAATTGTCAGTACAGTCAAAAAATGGTGCTGATTAAAAGTTGTGCTATTTGTGACTGTACAGGTTGTTCCCCTCAAAGTTGGCCAGGTTGAATTGAATGTCAAACTGTGATGCTATTTCCGGCATTTAAGGGTATATATTGGTAACAGGAAGTATCACGTTTTATACTTTCATGTTCTACTCCTCGCAGGATGATCAGATCCATCTGAAATTTACTTATGAATTGAAAACACATTGTTGATGATATGTGTTGACTGTGGTGAGGGGGCGTGTCTGTGGGGTGGCGGGAAATTTTGATGGACCGCCACAAAACACGAATTTGCTATAACTTGAGTGTACATTGTCCAATCGGCTCCACACTTCAAATGCTTGATAACAGTCCCGCCCTGAACACGTGTACATGACAATATTCAGACATAGTGATAGTGCCACCTACTGGCAATAGGAAGTAAGCGCTGCATGGCGATTTTGAGCTGATTAACGGCAGATTTTCATGTTGAGGTCCGCACGTGTTATGACGGCATGCGATGCGGCCGCAGCACGCCCCGAGTTGTGTGGAGTGCGAGGTCCCGCCCAACGCTGCTTGCAGCTTTAATTTATTTATTTATTTTTTACTTTTTTACACTAGGTCACTCAGCTACATTGGATGGTATACACATACTTAGGTGTATGTCGTAAGTAAAGAGAGAGACAGGTGAACTCAATATCAAATCCTTTTATACTCTTAATGCATCTTGAACATTCTCTCCAGTATTGAAATACGGTTTTATATTTAGGGTTATAAAAAAACCTCATACAGTTCTTCTTGAAGTTGTCACCTAGGTTTGGATGATGAGAGTCCATTCCTTTGGGGGGATTTCAACATCCAGTTCATTCAGCTACTTTTCCTTTATGTAGTCTGTGGAATTGCTCATTACGAATGTGAGCATTTGCCCACTCGGTTATGACAACGAACTGTCGAGACCCCCATGAGGACGACGAGCATGCAGATGAGCTTCCCTGAGACGGTTCCTGACAGTTTGTGCAGAAATTCTTTGGTTATGCAAACCAATTGTTGCAGCAGCTGTCTGGGTGGCTGGTCTCAGATGATCTTGGAGGTGAAGATGCTGGATGTGGAGGTCCTGGGCTGGTGTGGTTACACGTGGTCTGCGTTTGTGAGGCCGGTTGGATGTATTGCCAAATTCTCTGAAACGCCTTTGGAGACGGCTTATGGTAGAGAAATGAACATTCAATTCACGGGCAACAGCTCTGGTGGACATTCCTGCAGTCAGCATGCCAATTGCATGCTCCCGCAAAACTTGTGACATCTGTGGCATTGTGCTGTGTGATGGAACTGCACATTTTCGAGTGGCCTTTTATTGTGGCCAGCATAAGGCAATACCCATGCTGTCTGATCATCATCTGTCAGAATGTATAGTTCAACCTGTACCTACAGCAGTTTGCACTGCTAAACAAAGCTAGAAAAGAAAGATAGTACAGAAATATAATAGAAAGTGGAACATTGCACAGAGAAACAAAAAGGAAACTGAGCTGAGGGGGATCTCGTACTCTCTGTCATCTCATACAGGTCGCTTGTATTCTGGATTGAAGCTGCAGATAACAGCTATCTTGCATTTCAACCTCACTAGTATTTCAGAAAGCAAATCATCAGTCAAAACCTGTGTATGTTCTGTCTGTATGGCTTTCCTTAAGATGCTCTGGTTTCATCACACAGTTCAGACACAGGCAGGTTAGGTGAACTGGAGACTGTTAATTGCCTGTAGCTGTGAATGTTAGTGTGAAAAGCGGGTATAACCCTTCTGGATCTCTGCTGGAGAAACCTGATTTCTTGGTCAAGTATACAGATTGGTGACAAATGAAAGGAAAAAGCAACATAAAGTGTGTCAGTAAAGTGCTGTTCCACCATGAGTCTCCTAAGCTCAGCTTCAGTGGTGCTTGTCATAGATTCTTCAACTGCGTGAAACTCTACTGGAGGGATGAACAGCATTCATCTTGTGAATGTGTTTCACATTTTCTGGCAGTGTGCGCAGGTATTTTTTCCTGTGGGACTGCTATACTTTGGTTACACGCATGATATCGTCTCTTTAGGGACCCACTAACGGCTTAATCCAGCCATGCTAAGGTGTAGCTGTAGTCAGTATTGTACAACATTCTGCATATCTGCATTAGCAATTGTATACACTGGTCTGCTTTACAGGTGAAACAAACAGTGAACTTTCCCTCTGCTATTTTGCTCTTGTACACTTCTAAATATGTTCTGTTATGTTTGGCAGGATTTTTAACTTTCCATGTATTTTAGCTGATGTGTTCTTTTTTTGAATCTCTCCATCCTGTCAGGAACACTGGCATTTCCCTAAGGAGGAAAGAGATTTCATGCTGGTCCAGGAAGTGATCCGAGTGGCCCGCTCAATACGAGCTCAGTGCGGCATGACCAAAGAAAAGCCAGCCAGTAAGTTATATAGCACCTGAAAACAACAATTTCAATAATAACACAAAAGAAACTACACTGATGAATGCTCAAAGACTCGTACATATAAATCCAGTTATGTTTTATTAAATGGTAAATGGACTGTACTTATATAGCACCTTTCTAGTCTTTCTACCACTCAAAGCGCTTAACACCATGTCAAATTCACCCATTCACACACATTCATAGAGTGACGGAAAAGTCCCTCACAAACGGAAACAAATGCTCATTCCACTATACAAGTAAAAATTTGGGATTCAGTATCTTGCTCAAGGATACTTTGATATTTAGTGGGAGAGGCAGGGAAGTCGTGGAGCCTTTTGATTAGTGGATGACCCACTCTACCTCCTGAGCCATAAAAACTACAAAAACAAAAATTGATGAACCTTATTGATAAATTAATAAATGCATTCATGTTGCTTGTATGTTTCAGTGTGGGCAGTGTGTTCACCCAGCCAAGCCAAAGTCCTGCTTCACTTTGGGTCAGCTGTTTGGACTTTAAGCCGTATCTCCAACCTCCATATCTACTGTCCTCATAGAGGAAATGACCTCCTCTCTGTCCACTCCACTCCTCCACCTGAGGGAGGCCTCATTGGTGTGGTGAACCATGAATGTCAGCTACACCTTCACATTCAGGTACTTTACTTTGTTCTGCTGCAGCCCTTCAGGCATGAGCACAACTGTACTGATTTGCAGAGCTGTTGCAGGCCCCCTAACGAAGTGCATATTTCATCCCGGGATCAATTCTGGTTCTAATTCTGATTCTGAAACGATTAGTGGATGACAAAAATACATTTTGATACACATCAACAAAATCAAATTTGGTAATTGTTGCGATTTGGTGTCCTACTGTAGTAAATATGGACAGCTGTAATTTGTTAGGATTCCATTACTTATGATCAAAAACTAGCGAGTTGACAACTTTGCTAACACATCCAGACATCAAGCAAGTGCATCAACACAAGACATAGCAAGCAGCTAGTATTACTGACTAGTCCGTCACAGCCTCCATCAAAGTCCTCCCTCTTAGGTCTCTTCTCGTCTACCATTAGCTATGCCCATAGAAGCTGCTGAGCCCAGTTACATTCCCCGCTCGCCCAGCTCCTGTTCTGGCATGACACCAGTGCTGCTCCCTGTAAGCTAACTAGCTAACAGCTGCTACATTTGGCAGCAGTTACTTTACTGTCCATCACAAAACTTTGTAAATCACAGAGAGTTGATATGGGGCAGCTGGAAGACATCAGAGAGAAAACCAAAAAATATTGTCTCCATAAAATATAATCCAGTTTCACCAAAATCAGTGACATAGTTGATGGTGTGTGTGACTTACTGCTGTAAAGCGTTACATACTTGTTCCGACCCAGAGACCAAAGTGACGTAGTTCCAGACAGGCGTGTGGGGCGCAGAGTGGGAATGACGGAGGCACTGTTTACCCTATTACAACAGCATCAAAATGACTTTGAAGCTGTTATTTTAAGGTAGAAAAGTTACATAATGTTGCAAGTCAAGGGCCTTCAAGTTTATGGATCTACTTAAGATCTAGTTCAATTAACAAACCCTACTTATTATTACTAAGTTAATGTGAAGTTGATTTTGTATTGACTTTGCTATGTAAGTGTATCAAAATGCAAACTGCAATGACACTGATGTAGCCTTATATTATCCACCACCACATTTGTGCAAACACATCAGTGTGCTGGTGTGTTCCACTATTTTAGGATCTTGATCATGTCTAACATACAGTAGTGTATGATTTCCTCTCTCAGAGTAGAACAAACATTGACAAACAGATGAGACAGCTCTCCCAGCGCAAAGACAAGCTTGTTCCAAAGCTGAAGGAAATCCTCTGCAGAGTCCAGTCTCCAGACTACCTGACCAAGGTTCCTGCTCATGTCAGGCTGAAGATGGACAGTAAGGTGAGCACTGAGCAGTAAGGTGGATGGTTATTTATAATGGTTTATAATTGGTCTTGGTTTGGTAGGTTTTTGTTTAAAATGCTATGATTACATTTTTCAATTTTAGGGTTTAGTGTCTAACCTGCCACAAACTACCTTGATTTTTGATCTACCTACAAATTGAAATGGCTTAGTCCAGACTAATATCTCAACAACTATAAGATGGATTGGTACAAAATGTTGGACAGTGTCTCAGTGATTTTGTGGATATGACGTGATATGGCGTGCCCTCAAAGTTGGCCAGGTTAAATCGAATGTCAAACTGTGATGCCATTTCCGGAATTTAAGGGCTTCTGTTTTAACTAACTCCTCCTACAGATTTTATCAGATTGACTTCAAATTCAATCACTGCAATCTAGACACATTGGTTATCAAAGGTTGTTCTATTTGAGACTGTACGTTGAAGGGCGTGTCTGTGTCGTACCGTCAAAGTTGGCCATTTTGAATTCTGTGGTCATACAAACTGATTGAAAAGTTGAGCTATTTGTGACTGTACATTAAACCGCGTGCCAGTGACAACTTGTCGATTTCAGCAGATTCGCCATAAAATAGTACTCATAACTTCAGTGTGCAATGTCCAATCTCCAATAAACTTCATATATTCTGAAACAGTTTTGCCCTGAACACGTCCTCATAACTTCAGCGTACGTGGTCCAATCTCAATGAAACTTCACGTGTTTGATAACACTCTCGCCTTGAACATGTCTGCATGACAATATTCAGACATAGTGATAGCGCCACCTACTGGCAACAGGAAGTAAGCGCTGCGTGGCAATTTTGAGCTGATTTACGTGAAATTTCATGTTTTGGTCCGCAACTGTAACGATGGCACGTGACGTGGCCGCAGCACGCCCCCAGTTGCGTGGAGGGCGAGGTCCCGCCCAAAGCTGCTTGCAGCTTCAATTATTATTATTTTTTTTTTTATTTGATGAGAGGGAGGGAGCTAGCAGAAAGCTGTAGTTAGTGTAGTTTGTAGAAAAATCCTTTTTCTAAAAAAGTGAATGATGAAATAAAATTTGACCATGAGTTTTTCATTCAATAAATTCATATAACTGTTGACGTGATCAATATTTTTTACCCTTCCTGTGTTCCTTCCTCCTGCTGTATTCAGATGTCAGCTTTGCAGCAGGAACTGAAGACTATTGAGGAGCAGCTAAGGGTCCTGCAGGAGACACAAACAACAGGATAACTACAGCCAATAACTGTATGGACTGCTGGACATCAGAACTGATGAACTTGATCAACTATTTATAATTTCGTCTGAGCCCAAGATCTCTACACTGCTTGAATGAAGGAGACGTTGCATAATATCAGCATTTTGTTGTTTATATAATGCAGTATCCCTGTGAGATACTGCACTGTGTAATTAACAACTCACCTGCAGATGGAGTCGTGGCAGACTGCAGGAATCCATTGAAAGTGAATGCACAGATGGCAAGATGGGAATTTTCAGCAGGTCGTTGGTTGCTCCTGATCAGCAAGTATTTGTGTCCTGTCTTGGCCTTTTAAGATCACAAAATGTCTTTTTTGCCATTTTAACAAACTTTATTGATGATTAGTTTTTCTTTAACTTGATTAAAGGTGAATCCTTGGGGGTGTCAGAATATGTAAGATATCAGGTTTAATTTGCTGTAAATAAAAAGCCTAGTTATGTTGAAACTGTCATATCAGTCTGGTGGATTATGTTGCATATTGGACTTGGCGGTGTCAACACAGGCAGTAAACAAGGCACCAAATCCCTCCATGTTGGTAATCTAAGATAACAGAAAAGATGTGTGCCAGTCATAGATAGAGAGAGAGAGAGTTTAGAGAAAGAAAATTGTATTAATTAATGAAGTAGATGTTATAATAGATATAACTGTTCATTTTATATGTTTACCAACAGGTAAATATTGTGTTGTGTTATTATTACATTATTGATACTGTATATACTGTATATACTCTATACTCAATAGACTGTTATTAGAATACAATTAACCCACAAAGGGGGTTTTAATACATCAGACTGCCACATAATGGTTACTTCACTTAACGTCACACCATCCATTTGGGAGAAAGAAAACCAATGATGGTCCAAATGGACCCAACAGTGGCCAAACATTATTTATCCAGACATCTATTTAAAGTGTGTAGGATTTAATGGCCTGTAGTAGTAAAGTTGCAGATTGCAACCAAAAGAATACCGCTCAATTCACCTTCCTCTTCCAAGCATGCAGGAGAAACTACAGTTGCCACAAAACAAAATGTGAAAGACCCTATCTATGGATTGGACCATTTGGAACCACTTCTCAGCTGAAACTGAGAACTCCCCAATCCAGAGCCTAAAAGATAGTTTTCTCATTCTCAGGTCATCAAATATTGATGCTGGGAATGAGAATCAAGATCAACTATCTTCAAGCCACTGACCCAAAGCTCATTCTGTCTTCCTCTGCTCTGATTGGTTGTTTTTGTTCAGATCAATAGATTCTTTCAAATGCCATTAGAAGAACTAGGAGGAGCCAGAGGAACCTGCTTTTTTCACAGATTATCTGTCTCATGTACTACTATCAGCAAAAAGTGAAGGTTTAAGCAAATATGACAAAAACTTATTTGTACTCTTACATGGTACATATTACATACTGCAGCTTATACATTGTTTTATTTTATTGTATTTTATTATTATTATTATTATTATTATTATTGTGACCGCTTTTTATTTTATTTTTATTTTTTACCGTTTTACAGATAATTAAATTGTTCGGGTAGGACTGCGGGTCGGGTCAACTCGGTCCTAAAGGAGTCAATCATCCGGAAGTGTAGTTTTATATTGCTAAATGAAAAATGCCGTCGTCATACATCAGAGGGGCAGCCTGTAACCTACCCTGCTGTAGTACAAGAACCTGAACCAGGGCAGAGGAAAGGACTGAAAGGCTGCAAACTGTCACTGTGGATACACAAGCCGGTGGCAGTGGAACATTTGTAGCAGAGCAAACACTGTTAGCCTGCTAACATTAGCAGCTACTGGTGTTTGATAAATGAGAGAAGCCGGGGGAATAATGGAAAGAATAGGTGGAGGTGCAAGCAACACTGGGTCTGCTGTGTACCGACACAGAGATGTTCTGTGAATGTCACACCAAAAGAAACAACGGTGGCTCGACTAGCAAACGTTAGCTAGCTAGCTAACTAGCTACTACTATCAGTGCTGCAGCTTGATGTGAACCTCATTTCCTTTAAGATGCACGCCGCATCGACTGATTCAGAACGACATGTGAGAGGTGAGTGATACTTGCTCCGGCTGATACAACCATGTTTTCGATCAGTACGGTTGATGAATGAAAAAACCTTCCCTGCTAAGCTAACTGCAACTGTCAGCTCTTAGCTTGCTTGATGTTAAGACATTCGGCAATGTCCTGATGCTCAGAAATCATTATAGGGTCGACAAAACACTGGCTTCGTCCTTGCTGCATTTAACATCCATGATGACCTGTATTTTAACTGAACTAGCCGGTAGCTCGGTATAAGCTAACTTCATAGCTTCACATAAGTATCTGAGGCATGAAAGCTCTCAACACAATGCTACAGGCAGCTGCACCACCTGCGCTCTGTGTCAGTTGAAAGTAAATAGTATTTAGTATGAGCACACTAAGACAGCCCTCATTGTTTTTCCACAGTGTAGTCATGTGAACCATTTGCCGGATGGTACACTGTCTGATGTCCCAGTTGGTTCCTGTCGCAGGCTGTATGATCCTACCAGTCAGCTCCACGTTGTCTGACGGTGGGAGGAGGGGGTTTAAGAAGAATAGAGTTTCAGCTGCTACAGTTTGTGAGAGGAGCAACAGTTCCCTCCCCCTGCCCATCCTCCCTCACTGTTCACTATCGGCTCGTCTTGTCAGCAAAGCTTACTACAGTATTGAAAGGCAGGCATGACAGTGTAGGCTCCTCTGAGTTCAGGTAAGGTTCATTTTACACGTTTTATTCCTTAACCCTGGAGTTCACTTGTTGTCGGGTGCATACTTTCTGACTTTCTAAATGTATGTCCCTGACACTTTTTTGACTGCCTGATTTCTTTTTTTTCTTTCCCTCATATTTTTCCTTTTTTCCTTTAATTGATCCATTGTTGCCCAAAGTTACTGTGTGTCAGTTTTTTTGTGTTTTCAAGGTACAGATAGTCTGCTACAAAGTGTACAGCCACTCAGTTGTTTATTAGGCACACCTATTGCTAAAACTAATAATAAAGCAATAAATCCTTCCTTCATGGAGATTCTAATGTAGACAGCTGTTTTCAGAGCTGTTGATTCAACTCAGAGCGACACTATGTAACATTTCAGCATTAAATTGTCTAAACACAAGCTATGTTCTATATGTAGTTCAGTTGTGTACTTACATTATCTCAAATGTTTCCAACAATGTTCAAACTCAGAGAAATATGTCATTTTATTCAGGTAACGCTGTGTTACCGGTCGCTTGTCAATGGTGTCATATACCCTTTGAGCATGCGTCAGTGTTGTGGTTGTCTGCCAGAAGCTGTCATACATTGACTTTTTATCCAGTTTTAAGCCACATTATTACCTCTATATTTGAACCGTATGAAGGATTTTAGTCAGGTTCTTAAGTAGTTAGAGAAACAAGCTGAGCAAATGTTAGCAGCAGCTCCAGGACGTCCTTTGTCTGCCCAACGTGTCAGAGAAACAGTGATTTTTAAGGCGGAATTGCCTTATTCAGTATTTTTAGCGGTTTTAATCAGCGGGTCCATTTATTTTAGAGAGGAGGAGACCTCTGTGCATAATTGGGCCCCAGGTAGAAACCTCCTGAACGATGAACACTGAAGAAATCTTAACTGTGGTGGTGAAAACTCCCATGATACTATGTTACTTCACAATGTCATCAGTCCTTGTCTTTTGTTGTTATTTTTATGTGAGAGACCTGTGGCAGAAATTACACATTGTATGTTTAATGATCATTTAAGAGGGTGTAATTTTTAGTGCTGTTAGATTATATTGCATTACACAGAGGTGTTTCTGTTATTTAACCTCATCGATATCACAAATACTGAACATTAGAAGCTTCATGATGGTAGGATTTATTTAAGGACTATTGAATTAGACTGCATTAGCTTTAGCTAGGCGTACCTAATAAACTGGCTACTGAATAATTATTAATAAACTTACTTGACTACATCTCTTCTGTAAAGAGAACACCTTTTATATCTCTCAATCAGATTCCTTTTACATTACTTTTTGTAAGTCAAGTCAAAGTAGAGCTAGAATGGCCTGTCGATTAATCAATTATTGACAGGTAAATTAACAGAAAATTTGATAATCGGCAACTATTTCCATTATCGATTATTTGTACAGTTGCTTGTTCCAGCTTCTCTCATGTGAAGATTTGCTGCTTTCCTTTGTCTTATTTGATGATTTGGGACTGTTGGTTGGACAAAACAAGACATTTGAGCACGTTACATTGATTGATTAATTAATTGAAAACTTACTCAGCAGATCAATTAATAATCACAATAATGGATTGCATAATTCTGAAGAGTGTTGTAACCAGTATCTTTCCACAACTTGCATAAGCCCCTCTTCCCCCAACCCTAACCAGAACCATTTATTATTTCATTATGGGTGGGTCGGGGGGTTCTTTGTAAGGTGCTGTTATGTTGATATGTAGATAAACAGGTCTGTTCGCTATCCTGTCCCAGAGCAGTGGAGCACAGCCAGACATCCATTACTAATCAGAGCGTTTGTTCCTTGTAGTCAAACATCCATCCTTATAAGATTATTGTAGGACTATATTTATCAGCACTAATTGGTTTAGGGTTTTCTAATGCTGAGGAGCTCCTGTGGAGATTTCGTGACCTTCTTCATCCTCCTTCACCGACTCACTTTTTTCATCCCTTCACCAGTTAACAACAACAAAGAAAGACCTTTACTGATATGCACACATCCACACTGTTAACACTCAGTCGTAGTTTTATTTGAGTTGAAATCAGTGTAAGCATTTCAACATTTGTACTTGGCCATGTTTGTTCAAATTGGACTTTGACTGTTCAACAAAATCAGGTACTGAGAGACACTAAGTTAAAGGGTCATTCAAGCCAAATTGAAAAGAAATTTCCTCTAGTAGTATTCAAGTGTGAACCTATCATGACGTCACCCATTGGTTTGTGGAGTACTGTTTTGAATCCCCTAGTTCAGGGCTATTCAATTAATTTGGAATTGGGGCCAGTTCGTGAAACTAATATGAGTAATTATGGTAACAAATAAAGAAATAACAACAACATACTGAAGGAGTCAATATATTCTATTTTGTAAACGCAGAACAACGTATGCACATTGTGATAGGCCTAAGGCATTGTTACATTCAAATGGCAATACAATGTTGAAAAATCAGAGACACAGACAATAAGAGAAATGCAATTAACTAACAGAAAACATCCACTTAATCGCACATAACTTTACAGCTTGTTATCCTCAATTGACAATGAGGAGATAAATTTCAGTGTTACAAGTAATGAGGGAAATAATTCTCAGAAACATCAAACTGTCCCCCTTCTCCACTGGCTAAAAACAGAAATGTAGCTAATTGGTAACTGAATACAACTCACACTTTTTTCCTTCTAAAAAAAATAATATAGACTGCCCCATATATCCACACATGGACTACTACTGTACTCACTTTTGTCCATT